ATTTTCTTTAAATCTACGAACTAAAAAGTCTTTTTTTAGGCAGTTGGCCCAAACTGCCTTAAAAAGTGCTACTTTATCTGCCCAAAACAGGCACAAAAAAGACACTTTTTCATGTCAATGGCGAAAAAAATTATTTTTTTGACCCTACAAAGTAGAAAAAAACTTTTTTAGTGTAAAAAATTAAATGTATAATTAACTTCAAAAAAAAAAGAATTAAAAAGAAAAAAAAATGAAGAAAAGAATAAAAGTGTCAATTTTTCTTCTTCTTTTTATCCCCTTTTATAGAAACTTATTTCTCAATAAATAAACACCTTTTTTCTTTCTAAATAGGTTGTTCCCCTATACATATAAATAATTCGAGAATCACTATATATATAAATAACATAATATGTCCGCGAATTTAAAGATATCGACAAGAGCGTAAAATTGAGTAATGAAAGAAATTGAGGGTCATCGTGTCAAAAGTTAAGCAGCTTTTCTGATTTAGTGCGTAAAGAAGAATGATAATAAGAATAAGCGATTCGAAAAAGATATATATAGTTTGTTTTGGAAAGTAAGTCACCCATGATTTTCAAAAGGGGGAGAGAGAGAGCATTGATTTTATTTTTTTCCCTCACAATTTTAAGGGGAAAAATTTATAGACTGAAAACGTGAAGAAAGCACGGTATATATATATATATATATATATATATATATATATATATATATATATATATATATATATATGAAGTAGTTAGTGAAGTAAAACATGTTGAATATATTTGTCAAAAAGGTGGGGTTGTTGTGTCGGGGGGCCACCACACGAATATTGAGGAAACAGCTGTGAGGAAGCAGGTGGGTTATAATACTGACGTCAGCGGTGCGGAGGACACACGCGGCTCGCGTGGCTAACCGGATGTTCATGAAGATCCGCTTCTCGCTTCACTTCTTGCCCTGAAGCTATTTTCACAAAAGAAACGCTTTATAGATCTATATAGGCTCCTTTATTGTTATACATCTCATCCTTCTGAAACATATAAGCTTCATAATCGACAGGATGTTGAACCAATTTCATCCCCTTGCGTTTTATATATATATATATGTATATAATCAATTTTTTTTCCTTTTTATTTTTTAATATTTTGTGTTTTTTATAGTTAATTTTTTTTTCCTAACCCTTTACCTTGTGGAAGAAAAGTTTTTTTTTTGTTGAAATTTAATTTTAGTAAAAGGGGGAAATTTACGGTGTTTTTCTTTTATGAGGTAAGAATATAAAATAGCGGTGAGTATATATTTTTTATATCAAGGGCGGTAAAATTTAAAGTTTTATTTCTGATTTATTGAGAATGAAAATAAAAAGGTGTAATTTTTGAAAATATTTAAAATTGAAAGTGCTGAATTTTACACGCATAGAAAAAGTTTGCTGTGACAGCGAACTGCACGGGAAAAAAGAAATTGCTGTTAAATGAAAACTGATGTTTGCTATCGGATCTATCAAAATTAGTAATCACAGCTAAATTTTTTGCTATGAAAACGAAAAAATTTGCTATTATAAACAATATCAGTCTTCATTTTTAAAAATTTACTGTCACAGCAAACTTTTTTGATCCCACAGCAAATTTGTTAGCTAACGTAATTTGCTGTGACAGCAAATAGTTCGCTGCCACAGCAAACTTTTTCTACCCGCATATTTGCTGTCACATTAAATTACGTTAGCTAATATAGGAACAGCCGAGAAATTTGCTGTGGGATCAAAAAAGTTTGCTGTGACAGTAAATTTTTAAAAATGAAGACTGATATTGTTTATAATAGCAAATTTTGTCGTTGTCATAGCAAAAAATTTAGCTGTGGTTACTAATTTTGATAGATCTGATAGCAAACATCAGTTCAGTAATTAAAAATTTCGTTAAATAAATTTATAAATGGAAATTAAATTATAATTTTCAGAATTAGAATGCAAAGATCCGGTGTATATATATATATATATATATAAAAGCCGTGTTTCGAAGGCGCAGACTTTTGATAAAAATCGAAAAGGTATATAGAAAGAGTGAAGGGATGTGTAGAAAAAAAATAATAAAAAAAAAGATAAAGACAGCAAGTGAGTATATAGGATTCACCATCTGTTCAAGTTTTTGGTCTACTACAACTACCAATACACTGTTCTTCTACACTCGATGCCCTTGTTGAACGATATCTTGCTTCGTGAAACTTGTCCCACCTCGCGCGCATGCATAGGTATTTATTATCTTCGTCTTATATATATACGATCCTTTCCTCTCGATCTTTTTTGGTCCACGAAACATCTGCGGCAGCTGCGAGGCGGTGGCCGCAGGACTCGAAAGGCAGGTGCTCCAGGCCTCTCCCTCGCCTGCCAATTACGCGTGCCTCTTTCTGCCTTTCTTTCTATCCTCCCTCTCCTCCTTCTTGAAATTTTTTTCTTTTTCTTTTAACATATATTAAGTCCATTTCATTCTGTCCTTCTCATCTGAGTTCAGGTTTTCTTATATATATATACAGCTTCAAAAAATCTTAAAATCTTCCTCTCACTCTCGCACACCTTCAATTTTGAAGCAAACTACCTATCTTCCAACTGTTTTTTTTAAAGAGGAATTATAAAGGCACGTGCACTCAGGAAATAACACGAGCCGTGTATTTAATATATCTTGAAGATCATCCTTAATCGGTATAATGCTTCGGAGGTGAATTTTCAGAGAGAGAGAGAGAGAAATTCTGGGAATGATGGGAGTAATTTTTGCTAATAATGTTAAATTATGCATGCGCGTAACTTTGAAGTGTCGGTTTTGGGAAACGGGAAAAATGACCCACGACTTTTTATTTTTTTTCTTAGTTTTTATTTGTTTGAAATTAATTGCCTCAAATTACTGTTTTGACCAAAAAGATAATGTGTCTTGATTGGGCAATTTTTTTTCTTTTTTTGGAAGAGAAAAATATTCTTTGCCTTTCTTTTGATGATTCGTTAAAATTTTTATGTAAAGTGGATGTCTTGTTTTAGGAACAGGTGGTTTTTAATCAGAAACGGTTACAGAGAGGACTTTTGATTTGATTTTACGCACGCGTATAGAAAATATTTTTATTCTAACCAAATATATTTTTTTTAATTAAAAGGAGAATGTTAACATAACATCAAAATTAAAAAACAATTTTTAATTCAAACAAAACTTTAATAAAAAATAGTTTCAAATTTTAAAAGATCTATATATACGCAAAAAAATCTTTTTCTAGAACAGCGATATCTTTCTCTAGAATAAGGAAAACTTTCGCTGTTTTAGTGAAACATATCGCTATTCCAGTGAAACTTATCGTTGTTTCAGGTAAAGATTTTTTCTGTGTATACATTTTACGAAAAAAATTATATAGAGAAATTTTTTTACTGACACAGAAAATTAAAAGACATTAAAATAAGCTGCAACGCTATTATTATTTTAATCCAATTTTGCTTATTTTAATACCAAAATGGATTAAAATAAACAAAATTGGATTAAAATAATAAGCGTAGCAGCTTATTTTAATGCCTTTTAATTTTCTGTGGAGTTTATAACAATAGGATTAAAATTGCAAATAGTTGTTTAGCGCAAATAAAATATTTATTTAGCTTTGAAATAAATTAATTTAAATAGAAATTTTCGAAATTTATAAAATTGTATTTAAAATAAAAAAATAATTATTAATTTTTTTTTAAATCGTACACTGAAATGAGCCAAAAGTTTTGAACGTTCAAATGAACGAAATTTTTTTTGTAACTTCTTTAAGTACGAATTTTATTATAAAATATTGTTTTAAATGTCTAAAAAGATTTTATTTAATTTAATAATTGTTTAATTTATTGTTTTATTTTACATTGACATCATAATTTTTAATAATTTGTAGATTGGAAAATATATTTCGTTCATTTGAACGTTCAAAACTTTTGGGTCATACACTGAAAAAAAAATTCTGGTTAGGCTATATATTTAACATTACTTTCTAGTTATGTTAACCAGAATTCTAGTTGAATTAACTAGAATTCTCGTTAAAATAACCAGAATTCTGGTTAACCTAACCAGAATCAAAATGTTAAATATACCCTAACCAGAATTCTGGTTATTCTAACTAGAATTTTTTTCAGTGTAACACTTTTTTTTCTATAATTGAAAAAAATTCGATCTTCCCACGAGGATACCTTGACACTCTTTTATGTATTTTTTATATATTGAATAAACTCTTTATTATATATATATATATACATATATAAAATTGTAGGGAATATTTGGTTGACTTTCATTTTGAAAACGATTAAATTTTGTTCAAATGCGAGATGAAAGAAAATTAGCATTTTTTGATCGATGTGTGGTTTTCTCATGAGTTTACAAAGAAAGTATTATATATTATTTATATAGCCTCATTCAAAAAAAAGGAAAAAAAAAATTGTGGAAGATATCCAGATCAACTTTCGGCATTTCTGAGAGAAGCGACTTTTATTTAAGTGTCAGGGCAAAAGAAAAGTATATAAAGAACACATACATATCGCCAGGACGCCGAAACCTGCTTTCGCGTTTCTGTCGCGCGTTCGAATATGTACAAAAAAAAAGTCGAGTACTTTTTTTTTTTTTAAGAGTTTGACCACATGCCTTTAGCTCAACTCTCAAATTCCATATCTTGCAGCTGCTCTTTTTAAATGTCTTAGTTTTTTTTCTTTTTTAAATATTTATTAATTATCCTCCCAAAAAAAATTTTTTTCAAAGTAAAAAAAAGTAATTTCAGTTTTCTTATTATTAATAATATATCATTAAGCATTATGATTGATTAATATTTGCGATAATAATTTAATAACAATATAAAATTAATTAAGTAATAATAATCATAATGATTGATTAGCTATACAAAATTTATTTTCATTTAATTTTGTTATTAATTTAAAAAAAAAAACTGTAATATTGTTCGCTTTTGTCAGAAAGGTAAATTTTTGAAAATATTTTTTTTTTTTTTTGAATTTCGAAGAAAAATTGTAAATTACTTACCCATACATCATGGCAGCTCCTGCTATTCCTCCACCACATTGAGCTGCAATATAAAGGGCAGCTCGAAGTGGTGATATTCTATTGGCCAAAGCAAAGGACACGGATACCGCAGGATTTACATGTCCCCCTGTAATAAAAAAAAAACACTTCTGTATAAGGAACCTGTTGCTTTACAAAAATCTAATTAATTAAAAAAAAAATCCACGTTCAAATTTTTTTTTTATTAATCCTCGAATATCTTTATCAATTTTACAAATATGTATAAATATTAACAGTAGACTATAATTTTTCTTTCCGATTAGAAAAGATTTTTTTAACAAAAAAAAAGGGAGGGGGGGAATATATATTTTTTATATATAAAATTTGTTTGAAGCAAATATATAAATTTGAAAAATTGTACAATTTTATTGTAATTTAATTTATATAACATAATCATTATAAACGAACTAATTATTATGTTTATGTAATAATATAATATTAACGAGGATTAATATGAAATTGTGTATATATTTGAAAAATAATATTGTATTAATTGGAAGAATAATTCAAATAACATTCCTCTGTATTATAGTAGTGACTAATAATTAAGACATGTGGGGACATATTTTTTTTATATAAAAAGAAAAATAGAAAAAAGGAAATGGATAACTTCCAGTTACTATAATAATTTAGTCAATTAGTGTTTGAAACGCATTTCTAGATAGCTCGGAAGACTAATTTAAAATTTCATATAGGATCAAGTACAGTGAAAGCTTTAATGGGCATAACAAGAGAATAGTGTGACAGTGTATATATATATAACAAAAACCAACGGCTCAAAACTGTTATATACGTACATATACATATACTTAATACGTATAACGATCAGTTAACGAGCCAATCGAGAGAAGCCATGAGGGCTCACCGCAAACGATTCTACAATAGAAATATATTTATGGTATATCCTCGTTTGAAGGATCTTATCTTACTTGAAACACTCTCGTCTCAAAGAATACATATTGTATTAATTTTTAAATTATCAAAAAAATTCAAATTGAATAAAGAAAATTAATTTAAATAACAAAAACCTTTGAAAAATTATTTTCGAACAATTTTAATTCATAGAATAAATATTAAAATCAAATTAGGGAAAATTGAATTTTAATAAGAAAATTGGTATTTTTCCTTTTCTTTCACTATATTACAAAAGAATAATTTTTCAACTACTTTTCCTTGAAAGAGAAATGAATTCTATTGAATTTGAAAATTAGTTTTTGCCTCAAAATATCCTTTTAATTCGAAAAAATATTTTATGTGAAACTTTTTTTTTTTTTTTTTTTTTTTTGACTTGGTAAATATGGTAAAAACGACCAAAAAATTACTTTTGAAATATTTTTTGAGTCAAGCAATTTGTATTTAGTTGAAATTAAAAAATTTGGAAGAAATACATTTTAATATTAGTGTAAAATTGGTGAAAAAAAATTTATATATTTTTAAATCATTTTTTTTTTGTTGATGAAAAAAAAATTAAATAAAATGGAATATTTGTTTGGAGGGAATAAAAAAATCTTACCACTGATGGGCCCAAAAATAAGTGAAATAGCCGCAATGCCAAGACCAGCGGCGACTGCAGTGGACAAGACTGATAATCCACTACCATAAACATTAGAAGCGTTTGTAGTACCGGAAACTACGAAACTAAAGAGAAAAGTTGCAAAACACTCGACAGCAACGGCCCTCCAAAGTTCTAAACTCCACACTTCAATCGACATCGACGGTCTTCTTTGGACCACCAGCTCATGATTATTATCCCTCAAAGCTGAAATTTTACTTAAAAGTGTCACAATATGAGCATCCACATCCCTTGGTAAAGGCTCCGTCATTTTGAAAAATTTTCTTTTATTTTCCAAAAAGAAAAATCAATTCACTTCACAATATTACTTTTTTTTTTGTATATTATACTCGCACTTCACCTTTTTTTTTTGTTAATAAACATCACTCAATAAAAAAAAATTCCTTCAATATTGTTATTTAGTTAATAATAGATTATTGTTCTCACTAATGGTAAAACTTTTGTATAACAAGAGAGAGAGAGAGACCCAATATTTTAATTATAGAAAGTTTATTTCAATCACATTTACTCTTGTATTTCAAACTATTTCAATTTTGAAATAGTCAAACTATTTTATACAAAAATTTAAATTCGTTTTAATTCACAAAAATAAAATAAATGAAACAGAAACAAGGAAAAGAAAAATGTTCTTCACTTGAAAAAAAAAATTCACTAAAAATTGAAATTATTTTTATTTTCAAAATTCACTAAAATTGAATTTGATTTTAATTTATAATGTTAGTTATTATTTATTTAGATTATAATAATTGAGAGACAAGATATATATATATGTATATCGATGTTGCCAGTTCGGCAACGCGCTCTCGAGTGGGAATGAAATCTGAAGCGAAACAAGTGGACCTCGATGGAGTGCATCATGGCACCCCCACCGATCCACCCCCACCCCAATATTTTCTTGATGCATCTGTTTTCGAAACGAAAATTTTCAGTGATGACACCCCCGAAACATGTAGTTACAGTATACAGTATATCGAATCAATTGATAAGTTTGACGGAAGTTAAATTACTTTTTTTTTAACCCCTTTCACAAACACACATATATATATATATATATTGAGGACATTTGTAAAAAGCTCTTTTTGGGTCTCTTTGATAAATTACAAAATTTGTGTCGCATTCAGTTGAATTTCATTTTTTGACAGAATATAATGATTTAGAGAAAAAAAGGTCCAGTAATACTGAAAAAAAGAGAAGAAGAAGATTGTGTTTAAATAAAAAATGTTTAATTTAGCTTCTTTTTTTTTTGAAACATTTTTTTTTCTTTTTTGAGAATGGTTATTACATTGTGCAACTATTTTTCTTTTTTTTCATTTTAATATTTATGGTTTTTTTTTTATGAAGTATTATTTTTTATTTTTAAACAAAATTTGATAAATGATTTTAGTTTTTTTATTGTAATAATTGTAGATAAATTAATTAATAGAATTCATATAATAGATTTTTTTATACATTACTTTATTTATTTATTTGTTTTTGTTTTTGTTGTTTTATTGTATTTGTTATTCTTTATATAACATACATACAATATAATAATAATAATAATAATAATATATAGATAGTAATTTTTTATTACTTTTATTATTTAATTTATTAACTTATTATTTAGATCAGAATCAAACGAATAGTCTAAATTTTTAAAAAAGTAAATAATTTTCAATATATAGTATTCAAACATAATTTTTATTTAAAAAATGTTGTATTCTAAATAATTTTTTTAATTAATAATTATAAAATGAAAAGGCCTAGTTTTTTAATTTTTACAAAATGTTAATAAAAAAATCTGTTTTTTATGATCTATATTAAATTTAAAAATTATTTTATATTCCACACATACATTTTTAAAAAAATAATTAAACAATTATTATTAAATAACTTTTTCTACTGTAATCATCTATATATTTTTTCTTTTTTTTTAAGAATCTTTTTATATTTGTTTTTTTTATGTATTTAATTGAAAGATTTAAGTGAATCACATTTCTTAACTTACAAAAGAATCGTTTATTTTTTTATTTAAAAAAAAGGATTTTTTGTAAGTTAAGAAACATATGATTCACTTAAATCTTTTAATTAAATATATAAAAAAATAAACAAATATAAAAATAAATTTAAAAAAAATTCAAATAAATTAAAAAATAATTAAATAAATAATAACAATAATAATAATAATAATAATTTAGTAATAATTGAATAGAAAAATATTCAAAAATATTCATAAAATATATTCAATATTAGTTTTCATGTTGAAAAGTATTTCTTGATTTGAAAAAAATCCTTTAATTCGAAATAATTTTTTGTCTTAAAAAAATTATTTGATTTTAAAAATTATTCAACAACTCGAAAATTATTCTTTCATTTATATATATTAAAATTCTCTTTATCAATGAGAAATTTTTGTAATTAAATCAAATAGATTCTTCAAATCAAGAATATTATTTAAATTACCGTAACAATAATTATGAAAAAATAAATTCAATAAAATGATCCTTAACAAAAACAGATACTTATACTTGAGTTAGAAAATATTTTTGAGAACAACGAATTCGATTTTTAGAATTATAACAATTTTTTTTTTTATTAATAACTATTTTGCGAATTAATTTTTTTCTAATTAAATTAAAAATAAAAAAAAGTAAATTAATGCTTGTCTTAAATATCTTTTGATTTAAATATGAAAAATATTGAATATTTATTTTCATATAAATATTTATAAATTTTTTAAAATATTTTTTACAATTTATTTTAAATGAAAAAAATTATTGTAATATTGCATTGTTATTTATATATGTAAAATATATATATATTAACAAAGACTTTCTGTAAATAGTATTGCAAATGAAAAATTGATGATTATTTAATTTCTTTAATATTTTATTATTTCTTTATTTATTTCTTTGTGCAATTATGAATGATTCATTACTAAAAAGAAATGCGGGTTAATTGCTTTTTTATCTTTTCGTTTATTTACTTAAAAATGATATAGTAAATAAATATAAAAAATAAATTTGAAAAATCATTTTAATATAATTTAAAATTCATTGAAAGCTTTTAAACTAAAAGATATTATTGTTATTTCCTTTTTTTTCATATATTTTTAAAAAGAGAAAAAAAAGTAATAAATACCAAATCGCTCAATTCAAAAAATTATTTCTGATAAATTAAAGTACTTTCTGTGGGTGTTGGGGGTTTTTTTTTTTTAAATTCCTTTTTTCTTTTTCTTTGTTTGTAACTTTTTATTCAACTGACTTGGCTCCGTTTCTGAGAAAGTGACCCTAGGACCCTGATGTTTGAAGCGTGACGATTTTAAGAGGATGTTATGTATATGTACATGAGTATGTAAAGCTGTTAAGATAAAGACTTCAGTATAATGAAACCTTTTTCTGATGCTGTTGTTGATTATGCATGAACCGACATTGGAAAATAATTCTCTCTCTTTCTCTCGACTATAAATGAACGATTCTAAAGCTCAATAAAATTGTATATACATTGTCATTTAATTATGAATAAATATTTTTTATTTTCTTTACATTTATACGTTAATTCAATTTCTTATTTATATGCTGCTTTTCTCATTTAAAGAAAATTTATTTAAATTTTATTTTTTGATGATTTAAATTCATGCAATTGAGAAATGTGAGGTAATTTAAATTTTAAAAATTGAAAGAATAGGCGGAAATTTCGTTTCTGTATTACTTTATTTCTTATTCGCTTTTTTTTATATTTCTTATGATTTTTCATTTATTTCTTATTCTCCTATTTATTTTAATTTTGTTTATTTTTTTTATTTTTTTTTAGTAAATTATTAGTAAATTTAGTAAATTTTGATTAATTTTAATTATTTACATTTTTAATTTATTCTCTTTGTATTTATTTTACTTTTTAAAATTTTATTTTTCACATGTTTTCATTCGTTTTGTTTACTTTTTAATTTAATTGTATTTACTTAATTTATAATTTAATTTCTTCGTATTTATTTCAGTTTATACTGTATTTACTGCAATTTGTTTGTTTAATATTCATTTATTTTTATTTGCCTTTATTTAACTTATAATTATTTTATTAATTTAACGGTTGAAATAATACTTACAACGCTGTATAAAGGGTTGCCTCAAATTATCCCTGACGGTAAGGCAGATTTTTGGTTAAGTTGATAAATTCTTTACAACTCCTATGATACAGAAAAATAATTTACAATAAATTATATTTTACCCTTTTTATAGTTTATTATTTTATTATTTAGTAAATATTACTATTATTGTTATCGGATTACAATTTTTTTTTTTTCATTGATTCTATATTCGTCATTAATTAACTGTATTTTATTTCACTTTTAATTTTAATAGTATGACAATCATTAATATCCTGAAAGAATCGCTTCTTTTAACTGGTATCTCTTTATGTGGTACTATTGCTAATTAAACAAGGAAATTCATTAAATAATATTATTCTATGAATTAAAGTGTGTTTACTATTTTACTACTACGTTGTACGCACACTTACGCAATACACATTCTCATATTCTACGCTTTCATTCGTTAAATATAGGCGTGGACAACCAATCATAATTCTCGTTTGATTTTCATCTATAAAAGTGACATTATTATTGGTCAATTCAAATAGGCCAGTGACCTATATTTTTGACATTTCACGCGTCCATATTGAAAACTTCCCTTCTGAGAACTGTCAAAATTCAAAACAACCCTATCAACATAACCTATAAAAATCGCATTGGTTCGTACTCTTTGCTTAATATTATAAAAATAAAATTTATACAGTGTTCTTCTTTATTTTATACGTAACAAAAATGTGATTCACAAGTGCATTACTCATTAATATACGTCAAAAATGGGAGTGACTAATGAGAATACACAAGAAAGGTTTCTAATCTGATTTCAGTCTTCAAAAGTGTATCAGACAATGCATTTATTTCTATTAAGAAATAAATTTTTTTTTTAAATGATATTTTATTAACAAAAGTAGAGTTTTTAAAAACGTTTTTCTTTGTCAGTATTAAGATCTAAATAAGCGAAACTCAGTGAACCGTGTACAAAGCTTTTTTTAAATTTTGGGCCCCGATTACGTTTCTCTTCTGTGTGTGTGTGTATGTTACTTTTACTTGTTTGTGACTTTTATAAAATGCCTTTCCCTTTCGTTCGAAGGTGGTTCTTGGACTTTCAATAAGTGCGAGTGAGTATAGGTGCTTGTTGTGGATGACTCGTGGCGAGAAGAGAACAGCGGTGTTGTGACCGCACCATCGCGGCAAGATGGCTGCTCGTCAGGAACACGCCTTGAAGGGCCTCGTTGTTTTTTGCCTTTATTTCCTGTTCGCGATTGTTTATGGACAACAGGACAGTTATCAACAATATCAATTTCCACGTTATCGTGATCCTCAAAGTGGAGGATTCTATAATCGCGAGGGTGTTTTTGTGCCATCAAAAAACACTCCCGATTATCAGACGTACCTGTATAAAGACAGACGATATCCACTTCAACCAGATTTTCAAAATCCTTATTATCGTGGAAATACTCGTCTTCCAGAGGATCGTTATAAAACTGGGGTGAGTTTTTTTTTTTTTTTTAATTTATCATACATTTATTTTGTTGATAATTTTTTACGCTACGAAGAACAATTAAGAGAATTTGACAAGTGCTTCTTTCTTGACTGCCTCTTCATTTGTTTGCCCTAGATTTTAAAAAGGGCTTGCATAATTGCCTTGATGTTGCTTCTTTGATGAGATAATTTTTCTAAATCTATATAGATTTATACTTTTATAATTTATAATTTATTTAATTAAAATTTAATTTTAATTTATTTTTATTTTTTTTTTGAATAAATTAAAATTATATTATATTTCGAGATAAATCTATTTGTAAAGCAATATATTTCGTTTAGTAAAATATTTATTAAAAAATTTTAATTTTGTAATCATTTTATCATAAAAAAAATGTTATTGAATTATTAAAATTATTTTTTATTTTCTATTGTATTTGAAAAATTAAATAAAAATATTTATCTTTTTCTCAATTACTTTTTATAATTAATAAAATTTTATAAAACGAACGAGTAATAATAAAAGAATAAAATCTAATTTTCAATCATCAATCGTTTAAAATAGTTTTACTTTTTTGCACTTACATAATAAAACTAATATTTCCCTATTTTATTCAAGTCCCACAATCTATAATAATGAGTTTCCCTTGTAATCATAAAAAGAATTCTATTCTTATGAGTATTTCAAACTGACTGCTACAGTGACTTCATGCGATGCGATAATTACTTAATTATCGTTACGCCTAGCTTATTATTGTGACCTGAAAGTATTTTATTGACTATTTGTAAAAAAAAATTTATTAGAACAAAACAACTATTTATACGTCTATCGTTTTTTTTTTAATTTTATTTAAAATGTTTAATTGAATTGTGAATTTTATTTTAAGGACTCTACACCACGATTTCCATTGCCGGGAGTTTTGGCAGGTTGGAGACCAGATCTTCAGGGAAAAGAAAGAGCTGATTCAAAAAATTTAGATCGTGATATTTTTGTTCAAACAAATCATGGACAAATTCAGGGATTCAAAGTTTATTTGTACGATATTCCTGAATCAAGACATAGACCTTGGAGTCAACCTGTTGAAAGAGTCACTCGTGATGTTAATGTTTTTCTTGGTATACCCTATGCGATGCCACCAGTTCTCGAAGGAAGATTTAAACCCCCTAGACCTCATCAGTGCGTATTTTGTAAAATATATATACATACATAAACTTTTGCTCATTAACTTATAAAATACATTTAAAAAAACTCTTTTTATCACCTTTAAAACGTATCTTCAAAAATTGTTAAATTGCTTTGAAAAAAATGATGTTTTTTATAAACAAAAGGTAACATATCTTTGTTAATCATTATTGTAAAGAAATTTTTTAAGCAGCGTTTTAAAGGCAATAAAATGAGTTAGAAATTGACAAAAAAAAAATTGAAATTTGTTTCTATTAAGTATCATTAAAGAAAAGAAATTTTTTTTATTTCTTTTTATAGATAGTGTAAAATTTAAAAACAGGATAATAAGTTTTAAAATGAGAACTTTTTTAATTTTTACTAAAAGTCAATTTGTTTTTAAATTAGAAGTTCTTGATAAATTGTTTTGATTTTTTTTAAACCAGAATCTACTATTTTAATTGTCTGAGTTAAAATATTCTAAAATTCTAAAAAAAATCCTAAAAGGATTTAAGAATTCTAAAAATTACTATAAATAAGAAAAATCAAGAGTAAATAGACACTTCTTACAAAATATTTTTTAATAATTATTTTTTAATAGTAAATAAATTATTTATTATTTTTATCAATAAATAGTTTTTAATAAAATAATGAAATATTTTCCGTTTTCAATAGAGGTTGGCAACTTTTACAAGCCGTTGATTGGGGACCAGCTTGTCCTCAACCTGAAGAATATACAGGAATTTCAAATGGTATTCGAGCTGTCGATGAAGACTGTTTATATCTAAACATTTTCAGTCCTAATGTAAGTTTTTATTTTAATTCTTTATCTTTTGTTTGTTTGATTTTTTTTTAAAGAATGAAATAAGTATTTTGGGATATTTCACAATAGCAAAGAAAAAAAAAAGAAATGTGCGCGTTAATGGATAAATTTATTTTATTTTACAATATATACGGGCTTACAAAATTAAAAATTCTCTTTTGTACAAGTCGACATTTACAATAAAAGTATTTGTATTATTGCAGAAAAAATTTGACTCGTTATTAAGTAAATTTATCTCTCATGTAAAATCGAATATAACGATTTTTTCTTTATTTTCAGATTGGCTCTGGTTTAGCAAGAAAGTATCCCGTAATGCTTTATATTCATGGCGGGGAATTTGTTCACGGAGCTAGCAATTCATTTCCAGCTCATATGTTGGCTGCTTTTTATGACGTTGTCGTCGTTACGATAAATTATCGACTTGGAGCTCTGGGTAAAAAATTGTGTTTTTTTATATCTTTCATTCATACACTAGTTTCCTAAATTTGTCATTTATTAAATATTGGATATATTTCTTATTTGAAATTTTTTCTTTTCTTTTTATCTGTTTAGAAATAAAATTATTTTTTATTTTAATTTTATTTTTTATTACTTTCATTTTAATTTAATTATTAAATTTTTCTAGACTTTTTGTTTATAATTTTTATTCCATTGTTTGATTTTAATATTTCAGGATTCCTTTGCACGGGAGATGAAAATAGTCCTGGAAATTATGGACTTTTTGATCAGGCAATGGCTTTGAGATGGGTTTATGAAAATATTGTCAATTTTAATGGCGATCCTAAGGCAATAACACTTTTTGGTCCTGGGGCAGGTGCTGCGAGTGCTGGAATACTAATGGTGGCACCTCGGTTAGAAAAGAAAATTAAATGTTTCAAGAATAATTTAAAATTATTATTTTATTATTAATATTATTATCATTGACAAGTATTAAAATTTAATTACAAAATTAATTTGATAAATTTATCATTTTGCAGAACGCATTATATGGTTTCAAAAGTAATTGCTCAGTCCGGTTCAGCATTAGCTGATTGGGCAGTGATAATGGACAGATATAGAGCACAAAATACATCAAGAGTTTATGCACAACATGTTGGCTGTGGCATTGAAAGTAGCTGGAGACTTGTTCAGTGTTTAAAAGATAGTCGTCAATTTCTCGATCTTGGAAAATCAAATATGAAACCCCAGGTGGGAATGTTTCCTTGGGCTCCTGTTTTAGATACGAATTTCACTGTACCTGGTGATACTTGGTATGAAAATTGGAGAGCCGCCGATTGGCATTTCTTTATTGAACCTCCCGAAGAAAGTATTAAAGCTCGTCGATTTAGAAATGATATCGCTTACATGGCCGGTGTTACAACTCAAGAAGCTTCTTACATCATTTGTGAGTATTCAAAAATTTACTACAAAATCCACGTCTATTTTCTCCATCGTTTAATGGATTTTTAATAAAATTTTATTAAATTTAAAAGTAATATTGAAAAATAAACCAAGATCGATTAAAAAAGAAATAACTTTTGTATCGCAATTTTCTTATCGCGATGAAACTGTTTTTTAAATTAAATCTTTTCTATGTAGAAAATTCAACAAAAAAAAAAGTAAAGAATTGAAGTAACAATTCAAATAAATTAACAATGTAACAAATTTCCAGCGAAATAACTGGAATAATAAAAAGTTTAAATGTTACTTTTTTCTTTGAAAATATTGTAAATATTTACATTAATTTTCCAGCTAAGAATGTAACATTGTCAAGAAATCAGTTCATCATCACTCCAGAAATGTTTGATCAAAAAGTTTGGGAACTTGTTTTGCAATATAATTACACGTTAAATCCACAGGGTGTATTCGAAGCAATAAAATATATGTACACATATTGGCCAGATCCGAAAAATGTTACTCACATTAGAGATCAGTATATTAACGTGAGTATTTGAGATTTAATTTAATTTAAGATAATTAACCATTTTTATTTTAATAATATCATGTAAATTAAATTTTATTTTATTCTCTTGCAGCTTTTGTCCGATTTTCTTTATGTTGCGCCAAATGATAAAATTGCAAAATTATTAGTAGAACAAAATGTTCCCGTATATTTATACGTTTTAAATACGACAATTGAAGCTTTGAAATTAGAACATTGGCAACGTGTTCCTCATGATATTGAATATTTACTGTTAACTGGTGCCCCTTTCATGGACACTGGTAAGTTCAAAAGAAATTTAATTCTAAATTGTAATTTTAATTTTATTATTAATTATTTTAAATTCAAATTGAAATTAAATCAGATAACTATGAAAATATTTATTTATAATTAAAAATATTTTAATAACAATTAAATGATGAAATTAATTAAAATTAGTATTAAACAATAATCAAATTAAAATGTTGTAATTGATTTTTTTCTATTTAAAATGTAATTAACATTTTTTTCAGAATTTTTCCCTGATTCTTTAAAATTAAAGAGAGACATGTGGACAGACAATGATCGTAATATGAGTCATCTTTTAATGAAAGCTTATGCCAACTTTGCAACTTATGGGTAAATTAATCTTTTATAAAAATTAAAAATGTTTTTATTGATAAAATATTGTAAATTAATTTAATAATTTCTTTTTGTTTACTTTATAGAAATCCAACGCCTTCGCAAATTCTTGGTCTTCATTTCGATGAAGCTAAACAAGGCTGGCTGTGTTATTTAAATATCAATACAACGTACAATAGTTCAATTCTTTTAAATTATCGACAAACTGAAAGTGCATTTTGGTCCATGTACTTGCCGACAGTTATTGGACGATTGGTCCCAACTTATCCTCCCGTAACAGAGGTACATAAATTCATTTTTTTTTTTTTTTACGGAAACATTGGAATTATTTATTAATTTCATTAATTAATAAAATCAATAAATGTTAAAATAAGGTTTCAAAATTTAGATTTGATTTTAGAATTTTTAGAAAGAAAAATATATTTAAAAAATATGTATTTTTTTAGTATTGGTGGGAACCGAAGCAACCACTGCAAATTGCTTTTTGGTCAATGTCAACGGCTTGTTTGGTATTAATTGTCATATCGGTGGTCTGTTGTATGCTGTGGCGAAACTCCAAGAGGTAAGGAAAAGGTAAACAGAACCAAGTTGTCACTACTCTTTTATTATGTAGGTGTTTTTACTCACCAAATGGGAAATAAGTAGTGCACGTGGTTCTGGTTCTCTGTTAACCAAATTATTAAAATTCTATTTCACTTCGTGTGTTCAATTAGCTTTTATTACTAACAGTTTTGAAGTAATTGACATTGTTTCATTATTCTTAGCCAAGCAATGTCAGCGAGAGAGAGTTTCTCAGGTAATTCTTCTCACTAAATTTTTCATCATGATTTTTCTTTTAAGGTATGCACTTGATTACGTTTTTAGAAACACAAGTTGTTTCAAATAAATAATCCAAAAATAAACAAAAATTCACTTTTTTAGTTTCGCACCACATTTTTTTTTATTGCTGTAGCAAGGCTTTAACACATTTAACAAGAATAAATGGCCAGCAATTAAATCCAATATATTTCAATTGGTTTCAATTAAAAAAAAAAATGTTCTTTCTTATTTTGTAGAAAGTGCGATCACTACTATAGCGGAGACATCTTGATGGTACGAGACGAAGAGCCTTCGGAGGGAATCGAAAATATGACGAGGGCTTCTAAAGAAAATGTTTATGAATATCGTGATACACCGCCAGTAAGACCACGTGTTTCACGGCAAAATGATGCTAAACTACAGGAGAGATTGGCTCAAAATCGAAAATTTAGCTCAACACCCTCATTAAGAAGTAATTCTAATATATCATTGAAAGATATGCGCTCTGAGGGTTTTGTGACAAGTTCGCCGAATGGTCAAACAAAAATTGGTAAGGCTAATAGTCAAACAACATTGGCAACAAAAACTAAAAGTAAAACTTTACTCGTTCAAGGTGTGCCTCAAACTGCCGTTTGATTTCTTTTAAAGAAACTTAATTTTTTTTTTAGCTTTTAAATGAAATTTACCTCTAATGGAAAATTTTGTTAGTCTACATTTTAATGGTTCTAAATTGTGTTTAAATTTTTTCGTTTTACTTTTTACAGTACTTTTTTTTTACTTTTTATAGTACTTTTTTAATTTTACTTCAAATAATTTTAAAATATGGGGTTTTTATTTTTTATCATTTTCAGTTTTACTGAAACGTTTTGGTTTTACTTGATACGACTGATGAGGTTTTTTTAGAAAAAAATTTTTATTTTACTTTTTATTCAAATTGATAGATTTTCTATAAGTAGTTTAATTATTTTTTTTATCAAAAGCAAAGCTTTGGTAATTTGTTTTTTTGTAACTATTTTTTAATTATGGTAAGCCCATGATCAAACTATTAAAGCACCGAGTCTACAATAATTTTACAGCATTAAGCTTTATATTAATGATAAATAAATATTTTAATATTTTCAATACTTGAATACATTAAAAATATTTGTATAATACTTTTTCTTCTCATTTTTTGAGATACACGAATTAAGATTATCGAATCATATTTGTAATTTTTTTGAAATGTTAAAATTTTTTCAAATTCAATATTTAAAAAAATACTTTAAAAAAATTTTATTTATATTTTATTATTATTTATCTAAATAAATCGTAATATATTTAACTTTTTAAAAATTTCAATTTTTTAATATAAAGCAATTGATTAATTGCAATTTGATTCGAATTGAAAGTGAAATTTTCGTGTATTCTTTGAATTGGGGAAAAAAAAAGATTTACAATACCTTCCGAAATGGTTCTTTACTGTAAGACAATGATAAATTTAAAATATAGCCATTGCACTAGCCATTATATGCCTAAATAAATGGGATTTAATCATTTAATTATATAAGTCGCAAGATTCATTGCATGCTAATGAATCGATGCATACCACCGTCTTGTCCGTTCTTCAATATATTCATAAGTAAACCTATCCGTCCATCGAAAATGTGAACGTTATAGATTTATATCTAGAATAGATTATAGTTTATTAGTTTTATAAATAATTATACCTGATATATTCATTAAGGTATACAAACAAAAAAAAAACCCAAGTGTACATGAATATATATTTTTACAATTTATTGTATATATAATTATAATAATTATTAAATTTATATTCAATAGGATTGAATGAGAAGAGTGTATCTTAGTTTTTTAAGTAGCACAAAACTATATTATATATAGATATGCTTTATTTTGCGAATATTGTTACCCTCTCTTTCGACAATGATTCACAAATAAAAATTTTTTTAATTTGTCCCTCTATTTGAGAGATAAAATAGTCTCTTGTGAATCACGCCAAATATCCTTAGTGTTAAAAAAAAAATGTTTAAAATTTTTAGAAAGTATTAAAATTGCTAGAATAGAAATTTTAAAAGTTTATATTTATCACACAGAGATTTCTAAAGTTTTTAAAACAAAAAAAAAAAAAATACTTTGTGTATAAAATATTGATTTATTCGGAGAATTTTGGAAATTTTATATTTACGAAATTGTTAAATATATATACGTATTATGGGAAATTAAATATTTCCAAATGTTAGATAAGTTTTACACTTCATTGTTGTATACATGAAATATCATTCACGAAGCTCAAATAATAAGGATTTACTTCTATGCAATCGACGATGGAGAATAATTTCAAAGATGTTTTTTAATACAATTATTTTCGATAATTAAAATAACGTAAAAAATAATAAATGTAAATAACTAAAAATAATTGATAAAATCTAAGAAATTAAATATTTTATAATTTTTTTAGATCTTTTAATATTCTATTGTACAAAAAAATGTAACGATTTTTTTATTTTGACCTTAGACATCGTCATTGTATAAAAAGTAAATTTTAATTCTCATCACATATTTTTAGGATTAAAAAGATTCACGCAATTTACGACTTCTAGCAATAGCGATCTCAAAGTTTTTTTTTTGTAACACTTTTAAGAGATTAACGTTTTAAGATCAACTACGATACACTAGAAATATCAGTTAAAAATAATTTACTTACTTTTCTACATAATTTTTATAATTCACTGTGAATAAATAGGTTTTATAAAAAAAAAATGTATGTAAAAAAATAATACTGTACACAGCATTTTATAATACGAGTCACATAACTCGCAACTAAATAAAGTGTAATAAATCTAAATTTAATGATTTTTAGTTTTTTGTCTAATTTTATTATTCTAAACTTATTAATTTTTTACGTTCTATTCAAAATTTTTAATCTCCGGATTTTTTGAAATTTTTAAATACAAATCTGATGGAAATATAAAAAAAAAACTATCAAACTTTTATAAATTTTCAAATGTTTTTACAAAAATCGTTTTTGTTTTTATTTCTATTATTCCAAGTTCATTTTGTTTTTTGTTTATATATAAAATCCAGGTGATTGACATTATTTTACAATATTATTTTTTCTGACAAAACAATTTCAAAATGGTAAAGAAATCCTCAGAAGTAAGATTTCTTCTGTAAATTTTAGTCACAAGAAATAATTTTTGTTTTCATTTATGAATTAAAAAAATATATTGTCTACAATATTTTAGAAACGTATTTCTAATGGCAAAGAAAATCGTGAAAAAGAAGTAAATGAAAATGAAAATTTTGAACCCCTGAAATTAGAAATAACACAACCGGACACAGCGATTTTACTTTTAAAATGTAAAGAAAAATCAATTCTTGCAGCTGCCGTTTCAGCTTTATCGACTTTTGCCGAAAAATCCCCAGGAAATCGTGATGTTCTTTTTAATCTTGAAATTATTGAAGAAATTATTCCTTTACTAAATCATGAAGATATTTTTTCTCAAAGGTTTCTTAATGAACAAATTCTATTCTGTTTCTTTTTTCAATTATGATAGAAAAATGTGAAAATTTCAGATTTGCTGCAAAACTTCTGTCACAAATGGCAACGATTTCTTGTGTGAGAAATTATCTCCTGAAGGACGATATCAATTTACAGTTTATAAAAGTGCAGTCAATAATTTTTTCTGATGTATTTAATTTTTTGTTAATTTATATTTTGAAATTTTTTGATAAAGAAAATTTTCAATCATTTAATTTATTTATTTAATATTTATTATATATTTATTTATTCCTATATTTGATTCAAATTAAATAATTTACTTTTTCTGAAACGTAGGGATTTTCTTTGCAACCAATTTACAAATTATTGCAAATACCAGATTTAATTGTCAAAAAATCAGTTTGTAACTTAATTGAAAATTTAGTTACAAAATGTAAAGATGAAAAAGTTCAAGAAATATTTAGAAAATCCGGAGGTTTGCAAGAAGTATTAAATATTCTGGTAGTGATTACAGTTTTTCTTTTAATTTAATAAAATACAAACACTTTAATTAAGAGATATTTTTAAATAATAGTAAATTAAATATAAAAAAATAATTTAATTTAATTTAATTTTTTTCTAATGTCAATTTGATTCCATCAGAATTCGGAATCAAATCTTCAATCTGATGTTTTGAGAATTTTATCATATGCTTGTAATAATTTGAAAACTATCGATTTGCTGATTAGTGAAGGAGAAATGCAAAAATTGTTTATACATTTGGAACAATCAAATAAAAAAGTTCCCGTCGATATATTGAGAGTTATTGTAAAACTTGCAGATACAATTTCTGGGAAAAAGGTATGTAAATAGTTTTTTTAAAATTATGCACTCTTTCTAAATTAAAATAAAAATTGAATTATTTTTATAAGGCGTTATTCTCTCACGATTTTGTTAATTATTTATTACAAATTTTACGAGACACTATACATCCTGATATTTGTGGTTTAATTTGCTTTGGAATTGCAAAAATGGCACAATATGGACCGGCTGCTGTAGTATTAACACAAGAGAATCCAATTAACAATTTATTGAGTAAGTGAACCTTAATTTACTAATTAAGATCCCTGGCGAAATTTTTCTTTTGTTTCTTTACTCAGAAAAGTGACCATTACATTTTTAAAGTTGCCTACATTTATTTTTACATTATTATTATTATTGCATTTTTTCTACATTTAAAATTCTTGGTTAAAAAAAATTAATGATTTCTTGTAAATAAATTCATGTAAATTGTAAATAATTCATTGGTATTTGGATAGTTACATTAATTTATCAATTTAAAATTTCCGATTTAATAAATTTTTAATTTTAAAATTTCAGTTTGATAATTTTTCAATTTACAATTATTTATTTTACCAGATTTTCTAAAAAATGAGAATTTAGATTGGTTAACAAGACAATCGGCTGCATTTGCATTGAAGGAATTAATGCAATGTGATTTTGAAAATTGTCAACATTTTTTAGATGTTCATGGACCGGTAAATATTCTTTAAATATTATCTAAACTTAATTAATAATTGACTAATTTAATTAGTAAATTACTAATTTATGACAAACAAAAACATTTTTTAATGAAAATTTATTTTTCAATTATTTGAAAAATGTTTCCCATTTTTTTGAGACCCATCTTTATTGGCTGATTAAACAAACGGAAAAAATGGTTCAGGAAACGCAAATTACAGTGATTCAAATTTTAAAATCAATTGCAAAATATCAAAAATTCAGAGAAACTTTAATCAGTATTGAACTTATGGAAGCTCTATGTACACCGTTTAATGTAAAGTTTTTCTTTTTTCAAAATATACTATCGTATTGAAATATTATGTATATTTTTTAATGTTAAGTTATTTTTAGATAGTCGAAAATTGAAAATGATTTAGTAAAAATTGCAAGCTGTGATACTTTGTCAATATTTTGTATAGAAGAAATTGGAAGAAGAATTTTTTCCAATGTCAATGGAATTATGAATCTCTATCCTTTAATTTTAGAGACACAGTCAATACCAGTGAGAGATTCTGCAGTAAAATTTGTCCAACAATTGAGTTCTGATTCAATTCTTGTTGAATTATTTATTAAGGCGGAATATTTGTTATAGTACGTCATGTATTGTTTGAGATAAAAAAAAATTTTTTTTCCAGTTATATTAGGAAAGAAGTTTTCAAATCTAAATTTATGTAATTTTTAAAATTTAATATTTTCAGTATGCTGCAACATCGAACTGCTGCAAAAATAATTCCCACTTGGGAGAGTTGTATAGAATCTTTGATGAACGGACATTTACCAATTAAATTTGCTTACACCGGAAGACTGTCTATGCATGATATTACTCAAGATGGATTTTACGTTCTTCGTCGCAATACTTGTCCGTCAGTGTATTTCATTAAAAAATTAAATTAAATAATATTTTTTTAAAAAATAATAACTTAAATTTTTGCTTCAATTTAACTTTCATAAAAACAGATTTCCTATTTTGGAAGATTTCTTCAGTTTGAAAGCATGTCCCTTAGAATCGATTTATGTAATAAATTTTAGTCAGCCAATACAAATAGAATCTGAATCTTACGAAAAAAATGCAGTTAAAGGTAAATCAACAAAAGGTAATTAATTAAATTAAAAATAATAGAATTCATTGAAGAAAAATCTACAATTACTTAGAATTAATTTCCAAAATCAAATAATATTTTTAATTCATTGAATTAAAATTATGTTTTAAAAAAGCTCATATATATTATTATTTTTTCATTCAAATTATTTAATTGAAATCAAACTATTGATATTAATTGTCTATAGAGGCAAAAGAAAAATCAACAAATTTTAACAGTCCTGAAACGTCTCGCTCATCAGTAGGAACATTAATTCCATTAGATGACCTTAAATCTGGTAAATAAGCCGTTAATATGTATTTCCTTTATTATCAAATTATTATAATTTAAAATAATAAAATATAGTTAAATTATTATTTTATTTTCTTTTCATAAAATTAATTTTTAGAGAATGTAAGAAAAATGATTTTTTCTAATTATTTACAGAAGCCTCAGAGCAATTAAAACGAGAAAGCACTTGCAGAGGGATTAAATTATCCACTGTAACATTAAATGCCTGGCTCGAATTGAAATTTGGTAAATTACAAACGGATCCTTTTCTTTATGAATACTTAGAACTATTTAAATGTAAACTTCAAGCTGTTGAATCTTGCAAAAGGTAAAAGAAGACATTTATAAAAATTATACTAATAATAGTTATTTTCACATACAATTTTTAAGTGTAATTCAATTACTGAATTTTTATTCTGAAAATTGTACGAATTTTTTTTTTTTAAGCGTTAATCAGGTCGATCTCGTGGACATTAGTTTAATAGCATCGAGAGCAAAATTACTCGCAGAATTTGTGGATCGACAAATGTCAGGTCCTGCACCGATAAAAAATGGATGTATCGATCATCAATTGGATTTGCATTTGTGTGAAATTAAATGCGACATAAAAACAAGTGTAATTCCCTTAGGTCAACTTCGACTAGGATCATATTTAGAGAGATCTTTACTTTTTAAAGTTTTGTCAGATAGAATTGGTTTACCGGTGGCTCTTATTCGCGGAGAATATGGAAAAACTTGGGTAGAAATTTCTATTCCAAAAGTAAAGCTTTTTATTAATAATTATTATTATTAATAATAATAATTAAAATAATTATTATATTTCTGATTATATTTATTTGTACTATATTTCAAAAAAAGTCTTAATATGAATAAAAAATTATTTTCCCAAATTAAAAAAATTATATCAAATATATCTAAAATCGATTTTGGAATTTAAAACAACTTTCAAAGTTGTACTTTTTTATGCATAGCCTAATGTATAAATTTTTAGATTCCAAGTGAAGCGAAAAAAGAAGAAGAAACATCGACTACAAAATACGAAATAGAAAAAAGTTCTAAAATATCAAAGATGTTAAGTCATTCACATTTATTGATGAAGAAAACTTCATTTTCAAGATTCAATCAAAGAAATACTATTTTTCCTACTAAACTTCTTCGGACAAATTATATTGTCGATTTAATGAACGTCCCTGGTGATCTCATTCCAATTTTTAGCAAAAGAGCAATGGAATATTGTGAGAAACAATGGAAAGTCACTGCATCATGTTGCAAATAGTTTATACTTCAAATATTTAAATATAATTCTGAAATTATTTTTTTTATAAATTTCAATTTATTTTGTCTATTTTTTTCTATTAAAAATTTAATTTTGAAAACAAAAATATACATTTGTCATTACCTACAGTTATTTTGCAACCTTGTTTTAAAGAATACAATATTCTTAAAAAAGAAAGTGAAAAATTTATTTAATTTCAAAAAATGAAATCAAAATTCTATCTTCAATGAAAATTATAAAATTAAAAAAATTTATTCAATAAATAGAAAAAAATCGAAAAAGACGAAAGTTTTAACATTCATAAAGAAGAATCTGTTATATTTCTAAATTGAATGTGTCCTTGAAACGAAAAGGTAACCGAATAAAATCGTGAGAATGAGGCCAGAATTCGCAACCCTTTTATATATTTTTTTTTGTGGGTCCTTTGTGACCTCGTAAACGTAAAATGAATCGTAGAATCGTAGTAGGTATAGTAGTATAATAGTATCGAATCCAAGATTTATCAAAACTTCAAAAAAAATAAATTTAGCTAAAAACTATTTCAAAATTCAAATAAATTTTTCAATATTATAATCAATAATAAAAATTAATTTAATCATTCATTCACGATTTAAAAAGAAAATTCATATTACAAATTCTTTATTAAAGTTTACAAATTTATTTACATTAGCTTCGGTATAAAATTTATCACGTAAATTGTATGAGATCGCTAATAACAGATTTTTGTAATAATTACTATAATATATTAATTATCAAATAGTAAATTATTACATTATAAAAGCTCCTTGATATATAATTTAGGAATTCATTTTTTTAAAATGCCTTCCACAATATATTTAAAAAAAAAAATCAACGAAAAATATTTTACTTTTAAAATTATTCTTTCTTTAAAAAGAACTATTGAGTTCTATAGTAAATAAAAACGAAAAAATAATTACAAGGACTTAGAAATTTTTGAAATTATCAACTATTCATAATTATTAAATTATTCTCTCAAATAATAAAAATTATTAAATAATCGTCGCAAACATAGTCAAAATTATATTAAATTGTCGATTTTAATACTCAATATTCAAAATATCAAATAACCAACTCCATAATATATTAATTAAAAAAAAAAAAATCAAAATTTATCTCGAAATTTTGATCTCTTATTATTTTTTAATTAAAATTAGGAGATAATTTTCTAAAACTCACCAATTTTTTAAAAAATACTTTTAAGGTGGAACTGAATGTTGCTGATGCTTTTGTTGTTGTCTCCAGTCTCCAAGTTTGACGAGACCAAAGAAACTTTTGTCTTTTTGGAAAAGTGTATATCTAGCGGATGCCACATCTTTTAAAACTACGTGATCTCCTGATTGTAAAAATGTGATTTGCGCAGAAAAGCAAGAACGACTTTTGTGTCCCGTTCCCGGACTGTAAACCTAAAATTACAAATTTTATACTTAACTAATTGTCATTATATTTATTTTCAAAAAGACAAAATTAGTTTGAATTATTAAACAAGGAAAAATTTAAAAATGAATTTAGTAAACAAAAATTTCAAAATCATGTGAAATTTAAAAAAAAAAAAATGATTCATTATATTTTATAATAAAATAATAAAATTCGATTTCATTTTTCAAATTTTGTAATTAGTAAAAAAAACTTATAGTAATAATATGACAAAAATATAAATAGACAACGAATTATGATTTCATGAATAAATGCAATAACAGAGGTCAATGTCTCAAAAACGATTACATAGCTGGAAAACTCTTTATAGTGCAAAAAATAAATAATACATAAAGAGTGTTGGTATTTGCATTTATCATTCAACTTTTTAAAAGAATTGATTGCTTTCGCCAGATGTATAATAATCGCCCACAATATAACGGGTCAATTCTGTGACCAGTATGCTAAATTGTTTTATATTGTGCGTAGCTATTTTCTCTTCTTTCGCTATACAAAGTTTCATTAATTGAATTAAATCTCTAAGTAGAACATTCTTTGTCACCAATCATACTTTATTCGTACTTCTTTCATTCAATATTTTTATCATCACTAATATATAAAACAGAAATTTCAGAAACATACAAATTTTAAACTTGTTCTTTTTTTAAAAATCAAATTAAAAAAAAATTTAATTTCTTTTTCAGAAACTAATTTAACTAAAATTGAAAAAATAATTGAATTTAATTCATTAAAATAAAAGTTGATATTCATTATTTTTTTTAAATGAACAAAAAAAATGTTTCAAAAATAAAAGATAAACTTTTTAAGAGAAGCGAAAATTTATTTTGCGATTTTTCATTTAAATAAAGAATATCTAAAATTTCTTTGTCAAAAGATTCCGTCATTGTGATTGTAAAATTTCAACGTCAATCATAATCAACACTGAAGAAATTATAAAAAAATCTGATACACTCGCGTTTTAAATAGGGGTTAACTACTCAAAGAATTCGATCACAATCATATAAAGTAATTAAAGTTTCTAAAACATAAAGTGTCAATAGTTGAAAATTACATTTAAAAAAACCGTATGGGAAACTATTGTATAAAAAAAGATATCATGGAAATTAATTTCGAATTGTATATGAAAAAAACAAAAAAAAAAAATTTTAGTTTATAAAAATTATGAAGGACATAAATAATAAAATTATGAAAAATTGTGAAATAAATATCAATGAATAAGACTCACCATACATTGGAGTATTGGTCTACCATTAACCAACATATGAAATCCATTTTCATCGTTTTCATCAAGATAATGAATTTGTGCATAAGCAAGATATAAACCTGGCTCCTGAACAGTTAATTTTCCATTTTCGGCCAAAAAGAAATGTCTGTTCATTCCAAGATCCGTTACCCAATCACTTGCCTGCCAGGCCTTGAAGATGCCTTCACTGTGTTTTGCTCTTCCGTTTCCCGTATGTTCATCATTATCAGAAAAAAGACTACTATCACCTCCATAATGCACCGCAAATACCTGCCTAGGAACTTTAAGATGACGCCTCGTTATTCCTCGGCCATGCGATCTTGAAGCAATAGCTTCTTTTAAATTCTACAAAAAATTGTTATTATTTTTCAAATTTTTCTATTAAATTAGTTAAGAAATTTACAAAAATTCAAATCGTTTATCTAAATAAAAAATTGAATTATTATCAAAAAGAGAAATTTTGTCAATTTTTCTTTTTTTGTATGAAGAAATGCAATTTTTTGTTTACAATTGAAAGTTTAATAAAGAAACATTAATTAAAAAATTGATAAAATTACTAAATATCTTGTTTTTACTTTTTACGCATAGGAATGTAATTGAATGTCGCATCAAGAAATTTTTACAAGGACAATAACTAACCACTATTACTGAACTCGTTTAACGTTCTTCATCTATAAAATTATTACATAAAATGTTAACGATACCAGTTGCAGTAAATTGATATAGATTTGTAAAATGATTTATTATTGCAATCTATTCAATAATAAATATAAAAAAACCAGCAACTGTGGTTTTTATTAACGACTAATTGATATATAAATTAATTAGAAATTATTACACAATTCCATATTATTCTATACCGTAAAATCAATGAAAAATACTCTCAATTTTCTTCATTGAATTTTAAAGGGTGGAAAAATTTTATGTTAAAACTATTAACTTTGATTGTTCTTTCAAACAATCACTTTTTCTTTTTTAAGAAAAATTATATGATTTTTTAAAAATAAATTTTACGAGTTTATGAGAAAGAGATCATAAAATACTCCAACCAGGATTTCTAAGTTAATTGCATCAAATCCGGGTTTTGAGTGAGACAATTTTTACGGATCTTGCAAATTGTAGGAAAGTTTTTTTTCATATTTAAATATTACATTTAAATATTTTTAATATAATAAATTTATTTAAAAATAAATATTATTTATATTTCAAAATTTTTAATAAAAAATTATCTTAAATATCAAAGTTATATAAAAAGAAAAAAATTTATACCTCTTTGAGTTTTTTGATTTTCGCATTGTCGTGTTTGACACGATCCCAAAGTAGCTTTTTACGATTCTTTATAATTCCAAGACCCTCTTTCTTAATGCTGGAAAAATTGAAATCATCTTGAGAATTTTCATAGTGTTCATTCGTCTCTTGAAGCACTTCTGATGTTTTTGATTTTGCAAAAAACTTTTTCGGCAAAGGCTTATCATCTCTGGACGTTGTTAGACCTCTGAAAAACGTCGAGGCCACTCTCAATAAAAATGACTGCCATAAATTTCAAAAAAATAAAATTCTTTTTAATTATCTCCCACCGTAATTAATATAATGATCAATATTTTTCTCCAGATTTAGTTTTAAAAAAAAAAAATAAATAAATAACATGCAATTTTCTATACTTTTTCTCATATTATCACAATTGAAATATTAAAAATTATTTTTAATTTTAATTTGCCAATTTTGCTCTCAGCAAAGAGAAATTAATATATTTAACTCACATTGAATCATTATTTTTGGCTTTGCTATTATTTTTGTTAATCGTCAAATTAAAATTCAATCGATTTCTCTGTTTTCGAGTGTGATTTTTTATTAATAATTCTTTGGGAATCTCGTAAATAGGTTCCTTTTCATCATCATTTTGATAGTTGTCAATGTCTTCAGCACCTAAAATTGATCTTTTTTGTTTTATTTCCGCATTATTGGTGAAATTTAATTTCGTTACTGTCACGGAAGTTTGAACTTTTTTCCCACTATCTTCAGATCCTTCTTCTTCTTCTTCTTCTTTTTTAATTTCTCTTTCGTCTTCCTTCTCATTTTCATTGTCATCATATAACTTGTGTTTTTCTTCTTTCTTCTCTTTTGCCAATTCGTCACGTTTGACATTTTTAATTTTTTCCCGTAAACACTTTTCAAGATCACGACTTCGTTTGACTTCCATTCGACGTAGGGCAACTAAAATTTCATCAAGATCGTGATCAGAATTGTTGGACATTTTTGATCCTTGTGAAAGATTCGACGATTGTGTAGACAATCCTAGAGCTTGATAATCATCAGTGTAATCATGAGATTCGTCATCATAATTATAATCGTAATCAATGTTTTCCATATCAAGATCATCGTCATCTTCATTTCCCTCGGAATAAAGCTATGGTTAGAGAAAGAAAAATATAAAAACGATTTTTCATAGTTTATCGTTTTAAAAGATAATATAATAATAATAATAATTAAGAAGAAATGTCATTAATGAAAGAAGAAGCATCGAGTAAATAAGATTATAAAGAATATTTGTTTAACGGTGAGAAAGATAACAAAAAAAAAAAAAAAAAAAGAAGAAGAAAATTGAATATCTTAAGAAAGAGAATTAAAAATAAATTTATAATTGATTAAGAAGATAATATTTTTGGGATGTGAATTAAATATATATGTTATACGAAAAGCCATTAAATTTTGAGGCAATCTGATGACTAATGTGAGTATGAGGATGTTACACTTTGTGATTGTGAATCATCAGATAAACGTTGTCAAGAACATGTACTTAATGTTAATTACTAATTACAAGGTTTGTTTCTCTCGAGGGCTCTTTTTCTCTTTCTCGAGAGGAATATTATTTTGAGAACCTCTGCGACTTTATAATATTCGTATAAATTGAAACTCACTATTACCTCGCCCACAGTGTTTTTCTACGTTAAAAACACTAGACTTCGAGAGCTTACGACCCTATAGTTGTTCTACTGGCTTTGATATCTTTATTCATATTCAAGCTCATTTGCACACTTATATGAAAAGTCATTGAACCTAACTGCAAGAGTGAGAAAAAATTTCTTTCTCTCTCTTTCTGATAAAATGTATTTCATTGATACACGTAGTCACTAAATTCATTAATTTAGATTGATAAAAAGTGAATCATAAACTTTCGTTTATGACTAAAACATTTTTATAAAATAATAAAAAATTGTTAAAATCATTGTGAGAAATTAAAAAAATTTATAAGATACGAAACATTACATTAAAATATATTTTTAAATTGATAATTTAAAATACTATTTTACTTTTTATTTTCCAATTTTTCATAAAATATATATTTTGATTCAATAGTTTTCTTTTCTAGCCATAAATGCAGTTTTTAATCCATAGATAATTTTTTTTATATATAAAGTAATCATAATTAAATGGGAACAATTCCTGACAAACTAATTACATTTTTCTATTTATTTACATACAAATTGAATTTATTTATTCAAGTTTAGTGATTTGAGGAAAAAAAAAATGTTTTTTAACTTTCATTACTTTTTAAATTTATAATTTTTTCTTAACTTATTAATTTTTCATTAAATCTAATTGATCTTAATAAGATGACCTTAATTGATCCGACTGATCTAATTTTCTAATAAAACTATTAACTCGAATTTAAGATAATTTTGAAGTAATAATTAAAAATCTTATTTTAGTAATTATTTAACAAAAAATCATTGAAAGAGTAATCTCTACGACTAATTATGTTAATCACTTCTTGATTATTGTGACAAACATTTCTAAATATATTTTTTATGTCAAAAGCTTAAATTTTTTTTTTCGTTTTATTTTAAATAATATTTTTGAAATTTATTTCAAACTTCGTTCTAAGCTGTACTTGTAACTAAAATTTATAATTTATAACTAAAATAAATTACAAAATTTATTTAACGAAAAATAAATAATTTTTTTTACCTTTTCTTCAAAAGCTTTCAATTCGTCGAGCAAATCCTCTTCCAAAAGTCTATGCTTTAAAGTATCAACATCTCGTTTAAGAATTTCCATTTCCCTCGAATTATCCACAATCCATTTTAATCGGCAAATTTCCACAGCAACACAAGCCAAAGCCAAAATTAGAGCTGTGACACTAATTATCGTGTGTTTGCCAACACGAAATTTTGTTTTATTAAATCCCTGTTCAATATCTGAATTTGAGAGACTTAAATTTTCCCGAGAAAATTTTAAAAACGAACGTGTTTCCTCTCTAGCAGGATGATTTGGTGATTTTTGATTTTGTGATTTCTGCTTCATTATTCGAATGACATTTCTTTCCTGATCAGGTAGAACAGAAGTCATTATTTATATGACAGCTGAAATTAATCAAAACAATTCCAATGTTCAACGATATTTTTCATATCTCTCGTTGCAATTATTGTTGATAAAAAAATTTTATTTCCATTTCTAATTAAAAGAAAAAAAACCGAATTTTTATTTATCATTTAAAATAAATTGTAACTTTAGAACAAAAAAAAAAAAAGATAGAAATTTTTTTTGTTAATTTTATCGAAATTAAAAACGTAACTCTAGAAACGTTTTAAACAAAAAAGGAGGAACACAAAATAAAATCGAGATTTCACGATAAGAAAAATAATCAATATCCCAAATTTTGAAAGTTCTCGAAAAAACATTAAGCACCTAAATTTGAAAAATTCAGATGCCTTTGCAAACACAATGTTATCTTCAAGTTTTATGACATTTTATCCTCTGTCAATCCGTATCGATAGCCATCGTTCATCAAACATTTCAATTATTTTTTATTTTTCTTGTCCTTTCTTGTCTTTGTGGAAATATTCAAAAACTAAATCTTTGAAATGTTTAATGACACGAAAAATTAAAAATAATAGTTATTAATCTGTTTTGTTTGCTTTAATTTTTTAAAGCATTTTTTTTTCTTTATTATTAGCCAAAGAATTTGTTTTTAATTTTAACTTTAATATAAACAACAATTAAAAAAAAGAATTAACAAAATTATTATTAAAATTGTTTATATTGTATAATCTTTTTATTTCTTTATTATTTTTTTTATTTTATGTTATTAAATTATTTGTATGTAAATAATAATAAAAATTCCCGTTTCACATCTCATGAAAAACAAAATTTTAGCAAAACTCCGTCAAACAAAGGATAAGTAAAAAAATCTTCTCAATCAACTTTTTTTTTAAAACATTAAAACTTTTTGAGATGTGAAAATTTAAAAACAAATATTGTCAATAAGCGACAAGTTACTCAAATATAAAGAGCGACCCCTTTAAAACCTGTTAGTTAACTCTTTCCTCGAGTTTGCGAAGAGACCACGCAGCTTCCTCTTTGCTCCTTTCAAGTCTCTCTAACTTCTCTCTCACTCGATTTTGGTTCCTCCTTTTCTTTTTTTTATTTTCACGATTCCTTTTTCTCTCGAGTTTCGCTCTCTTGTCACAAAAGGACCTTCACACTTATTTATTTTTTTTTTTTTTTTGGGAAGTGTGGCTCACCTTTTCCTTGTTCTTTGATTCTTGATCCTGTAATCCTGATGATGATATTAGAATCGCATTCAGCGATGTGGCAAAAAATTATGAACTCGAGTGTTCCTCATCTCCTGGAAATTGTCCTCAAACAATAATAGTAGAGGAGGAAAATAATAATCCACTTGTTGTTTTACACGTTGAACCAACACTCTCGGGAGTTTCAAGCAAACTGAGACTAGGATGAGCCCTGACACACGTTCGTTATGTTTATCAGAAACGGCGCCACTATAGCGTGAATGCATGATTCGATGTGAAAGAAGAATAAAATGATGATTGATATTAATGATCCAGGAAACTAATGATGATGAGGCGCGTGCTGCTAATTATTGGCTCGTGTGTCAAAGATCTGTAAAAATTCGAACATTCATTAGAATCGTGTCAATTTCTTATAACAAACATATTTAATAGTAACTCTAGAAATTATTTTCCATGATTGAATTATTTATAAGGAATAATTATAATTTTTTTTTTAATGTCATTTTTCAATTCTTATCATTCTAATATCACAAAAAAATTTCGCTCTTTTTTTTATTTTTAAAGCCAGAAATTGATTTAAAAATTATTTTTTAATTACCGAAAATTGCGAATTAAAAACTCAATTTTTTACCTTTCAAAAATAAATCAAAATTACATTGAGCGAACTGAGCGAAGTTTTTAAAAAGTATATAATTTTCATATTTCAATTATAATTATAAATTTTAATTTTAATTAATTTTTTTGCATAAAATCAAAATTGTATTATTACGATGAAATCTTTAATCGACAATATGATTCTTTGATGATTCAAATTTTGCATACTTGAAAATATAGAACGTTATAAATATATTTTATATATAGTGGGAAAATTGAATTAAAAAGGATATTAATCATGAATTTCTGAGAAAATTCGTTTTAACTCGACCTTAGAAAACCTTCTTTACTCTAGTAAGATAAAAATCAGCAACGTGGAATTATCTGTCCCCAACTGCATCATTGTCATTTCGTAGAAATTCTCTGCTGTGTCATAAAACTTAATGTACCTTTTTTTAAGATAATTAAAAAAGAAGAAGCAATTCATTAAAAATTTAATTATTTAGTAATAAAATTATTTTTCCTTTTTTCAAAAATTGATAATTTCTCTTTCAAAAAACAAAATTTTCTTCCATTTCCATTATAAAGTGCAAAATTTTGAATCGCAAAAGAATCATTGTTGGTAAAAAAAAAAATTTGTGACTTATGAAATATTATCAAAACATTAAATATAAAAAACCTTTTTTTTGCATTAAATATAAATGATTAAATATTAAATTAAATTGGTACAAAAATGTATTAAAGGGTTATTTAAATATTTTTTCAACTATTATGAAATATTAAACATATTTACAAATTGTTAACTTTTTTGGAACAATAATTTACAAGATTAGATAATAATATTTCAAATATGCTACCACAGTAGCAAAATTCTTATATATATATATATGTATATAGTAAATTTCCTTTTTATAAAAGAAATAAATTATGTAAATTTGATTTTAATTATGTGTAAAATTTGCCATAGAAGAAATTATTAAATATACAAAATATAGGTTTTTTTCCATTTATTGACAACCGATTAAGTGTTAATTGCACAATATTGAAGTTTCGATGGTAATCAAAATGTGATTTAAAAGAGATACGATATTTTTTTCCCAGAATACACACACAAGGGTCGTTTAAATTTACGATAGGCCACATTTCTCTATACCATCGACATTTCGAAATATATGAGAACAAAAAAAAAAAAATGAAATCCACTTCAGTTAGGAGATTCGAGACTTTTATATAATTTTTTCGTTTTTATAGATATAATAATTTTTTTTAAATTTTTATTTAAATCAACTTTTTAATTATAGTTTAAAACTACCAATAACACAGGCCTACAAAATTTTGGATTTTGTCAGACCCAGAAACTGGAATAGTCATTTTCGATGTAATTTTTCACGCTGAATCCAAAAATTACAAGGAAATTACTCTATCACGTCAGCATTTTGAGATATTCTAACCTAAAAGCGTGAAAAATGAAGTTTTTGGTAATATTTGACACTCTATAAAATCGACAAAAAATTTTTTTAATCATTGGTCCAAATTTCAAAAGAAAGTATTATATTTCTCCTTTCAAAATTTTCTAGGTTCGATCTGATCCAATTTTTTTTCTCTGAGATACAACCATTTAAGTTTTACATTACATGAACTAAAATCCTTTTCAAAAATAAAAATAAATTGCAAAGTACTCATATCACTGAAACTTATTTCTCGGGTATTTTTGAGGTCGCTAATTACGAATCTGACGTCAGATTTTTGAATTTCAAAATGTCGAATCCCATATGGCGGACACTTTTTAAAAAATTTACCGAATTCGCTTGTCATTCATTACTTGGGGGTTTTTAGGGTTGTTGATTACGAATTAAATGTCAGATTTTTGAATCTGATATCACATTCGTAATTAGCGATTTTAAAACCCCCTGAGTAACAATTTTCAGTGCCATGAGTACTTCGCAATTTATTTTTCTTTTTTAAAGGGATTTTAGTTCATGCAATGTAAAACGCAAATGGCTGTATTTCTGAGAAAAAAAATTGGATCAGATCGAGCCAAGAAAATTTTGAAAGGGGAAATATAATACTTTCTTTTGAAATTTGGACGAATGATTAAACAAAATTTTTGTCGATTTTATAGAGTATCAAATATTGCCAAAAACGGCAATTTTTACACTTTAAGGTTAGAATATCTCAAAATGCTGACGTGATAGAGCAATTTGCTTGTCATTTTTGGATTTAGCGTGATAAGTTACATCGGAAATGACTATTCCGGTTTCTGGGTCTAAAATTTGTAGGCCTGTGTAATTAAAGAAAGACAATTACGAAAAATTTTTAAACTTTTAAAAAACTGATATTTTTACATATTTCTGATTAGATAAGAATTTACATGTAAATATTTTGCGGAAATTTCCCAAGAAAAATTATTAAATTTCTCCTCACGAATAAAATGCAATAAATTGTTAATTATATTATAATTTTTTAATTCTAGTAAAAGTGACAATAAGAAGAACAATTGCTGACATCACTTTGATAAAATTCCACTGTCATCAATTTTTTCACAGAAGAAGATCTTTACATTTTCTTTTTATAAATTAACGATCATAGTTAAATATTTTATTACATTATATATACTATTTATATGTGAACATACAAAAGTGATATCATAATTGAAATTAAATGGGTCATAGTAGAGAAATGTGGGCCATCAGCAAAATGAGAATTTTTATAAAAAAAAAAAAAAAATTTATTTCTTTTGTCTCTTATTAAGAATTCATCATGTTTTATCTAATGATATAGATATTTGTGGTCAGTGCAATTTTATTAGAATATATGTAACATATGTCAAGGATATTAATTTTTCAAGCTAAAAACGTTTCTCTGAGAAAAGATTGAAAAAATTTTTCCTCTTTTTTACTCGTAAATTACTTGAAATTTCTATATCAAAATAATAATTAATTACGTGTATAAATTAAAAAACATTTCATAAAAAATAGCGCTATCAATTTTTTATTCTAGTGACAGAAAAGACATGTTTTTTTTTTGAAATTTGACAATTTTTACATTGTTCATAACTAAAAATAGATTTTATCAAGTCGTTGAACCCTTTCTTTTGTCCTCATTGATAAAACAACTAGAAAGAATCTGTAGTTAAATTAAAATCAATTTACCAGTATAGAGTGTAATTGTTTGTAAATTGTGCACGGTCAAATAAATTGTGAATCAAATCGGTTGAAATTTGTTTGATATACAGACAAAATAGATTGTTTTTTTTTTTGTTTAAATAATTCTTAAATTATGTATCTAGATCGAGAGTCTATTATATGTAAATATATACATTAATGCGAATGACCGATATTACACTGAGATTTAAATTGAAAATGTCACTTGTTAATCGACCTTTGCTGCGAGTCAAGTGTTTTGTGCTCGAGGAATTGAATATGCGCAAAAAGAAAAAACGAGATCTCTAAACTAATAAAAGAAGAAGAAAATCTTATCAAAAAATTAAATTCCAAAAATTAAATTTATAAATTCGAAAAATGTGATTTAAATTTAAGAACAAAATTTTAATGTAGAATAAAGATAGGAAATATTGAACCAAATTTTTTTCAATGTAAATTGAAAAATCAAAAACTACTTTTTTCAGTTTTGGCTAAAATTGTTTAAATTTTTTTTAATATTCTTTTTATATATTTTTTATTTATAACAACTTATAAGCGATTTTTTTATTAGAAATATATTAGAAACCAGGTAGATGTAGAACTGCCAATTTCGTTTAAAAATTAGGAACCTGAAATCCCTAAGACTTTTTTTTGGGGTAACGGGTCGATTTTACATAAAAGATTGCAAGAGCCTTGGAAACGAGTTTGAAATACGACTTTTGTATAGTTTAGTTTCTTAAATATACAACTAAAATCTATTTTAATGACTTTTTTCAAATTCACAAATAACGTAAAATTGGTTTAATGTCGAATTTTATTCATTTAAACCATCGAATCTATTCGGAAGTGAAAAAAACTTAAATCTATCTTTTTTGTTTCACCAAAAAAAAAAAAAAATGTGGTTGTAAATATTGTGAAATTTTCAATCTCACTTAACAGTTAATGGTCACTTATCAATATAGCGTGAAAGGTGCCATACGAGATAAAAAGCAAATAATACAGAAATTGAGAGTGAAAAATGAAAATTTTACAAATTATTATAATTTCAAAAATAATAATAAATTTTAAATATAATAGAAATTTTTACAATAATCAATTTTTAATATAAATGAAAAACATTTTTTTCAAAGATTAACAAAATTAAGTATAATAAAAACTATATTCATATATCAATTTTTCCCTGTTAATATATTATATGAATGCATAATTTCAGATTATAAACTTTCGGTTTTATAAATAAATATGCCTGAGTGAATGGAATCGTACTCAAGGTTTCAAAATCTTGTTTAGTTTTGCAGTGGGAAATTTTCAGAAATTGGAAAATATTCAAATCATGAATTTATCGAATTCAATCGAAGGAAATTGAATTGTCTCTTCGAGGCAGAAATTTTAGAAAAAACATATGATTTCTTTTTTCATAGTTATTCTATAATCCATTCATAATGAAATTATTAAAAATATTGAAAGTAATTTTTCAAAATTGAATTAAATTATTTTTTCCAGTTGAAACTAAATTGGATGAATTGAAAATTCTTTAATTTAAAAATATTTTAACTAAATTGTAACATTTATAAATTCGCGAACCGATTAATATGAAAAAAATGGCTATTATTTTTTCTAAATAATTGAAAATTAATTTAAAAAATAAAGAAAATAAAATGAAAAAAAAAAATTCGCAAACCGATTAATGTGTAAAAATGTATTTCTTTTTTTCTCCAAATAATCGTAATTTCATTCAAAAATACGATAAACTATTTTTTTTTTAATTCATTAATAAATTATCTTCTCGAAATTGGCAGTTGTAGAATTTTGATATATCCACATCGTGCTTTATGTGTTTCGAGATAAATAATTGTCGAGTCTTTGCAAAGGGAAACCAAAGAAAAAAAAAAGAATAAAAAAGGCAACGAGATTCCCGGGGGCAGGGTCTTGTGTGTATTATAAAGAAATGAAAATCTGATCTCAGGTTGAAATTCCAACACGTACGGTTTTTGTACCCTCCTACGGTCGCGTAAGACTGGCAACCACTGACCTAGGGATTTCAGCAGTTGGCAGTCGAACACCGTTTGCCTCCGCGACGAACCGGTCGGAACTTACTCCGCGTGTGTTGTGGAGGAGGCAAAATTCTCTCTCGCAGCAGGCTCAGCATATAGTAAACAAAAGATGGGACTTGAAGGCGAAGCTTATGTTACCAAGAGTTTCTCGTGAGGCAAAATTCACGGCGTCCACGCCACATATATCGTGGATCGTTTTCACATCTATGGGGAACCAGAAATGCGTGTGAGTACTTAAAAAAAAAAAAAAAAAAAAAAAACAGAAAATCCTCTCTTCAAAAAGAAAAAAAATCTCCACCTGAAAATTTTAAAGAAAAGAATAATTTAAAAAAAAATTGTCAAATGAAAAATTGAAAAAAAAAAATTTCTTATCAAAACCGGTGCATTGGTACCGCTATTTCTAACTGCGTCCTTTCTTGGAATGCAAACGCTTAATAAATTACTTTTCTCCCTCGAATATATGTTGTATAATAATACTTATAAATATTCGGGAAAAGATATGTGATACTTTCGCACTTTTGCTTTTTCTGGAGCAAAGATTCCAAAGTGTGACACATAGAAATGAGAATCAAGTCAGTATTGTTACGGATTCCGAGTGAACGAGAACTTGGAATAGAAAAATAATAATTTTTTTTTTTAAATTTCTTTTTTTTTTCATCAGCGATCAGTTTTGATAATTTTAATTTGAACCGGTTCTGAAACTTTTTACCGCGCGTGTAACTGTTGTTTCTGTGGATTATAAGCGAATTTACATGAATTCGAATTGAATTATTTTTAGAACACAGTTGGTCCGGAAAAATTATCACAACTTTCATCTCTTGTTCTCTCAAGAAGTTAGTGAAAGAATAATTTCTTTTAATTTTAAATTTATTTTTTGTTTTTTTTCAAAATTTTTTATGTAACCAAATCCGGAAGTTGTTATTATGGTTTTGATAAGAATAATCGCTAATTGATCGTTCGATTAGAATGTGCTTCGTAATTTAATTAGAAGTAATTAATAAAAGTGCTCTTCATCTTTATTTCAAAAAATACTTTTTTTTAAAAGAATTTTTCAACAATTATTTGAATTTTCATTTTTAAAAAATAATTAACTTTAACTAGATTCAAAAACAAAATGTAAAATGTATCAATATTTTCTAAAATTAAATTACTTTTAATTATTTATAAATACTTTTATAAAAATTACTTGGTATAATTTTTTTTTCTCCGAATTATGTATAATGTTTGTGGATAAAAATTTCACACTTGACACAATTTGAATTAAGTTATGAATGAAATGTTTTAATCATGATTGGACGAAATATAGTGACGAATGATTACAGTTCCATTGAAAAATATTATCACACAACATAAGTGTATTTAGTCGCATATAAATTAAAAATAAATATTTTAATAAACAAAAGTTGAATTAATTTATTTAAAAAAGACCTGACAATGTTAAATATTTTTATTTCCTGTAATGAAATAATTTTTAAAAAAAGAAATTACAATTTTTTAATGATGTATTACTTGCTAAAGATTTGTTTACATTCCCCAATGCAACGTACCTTATGTTCTCATAATATGATAAGCATTTTGATAACATGTATTATAGAGATAAATGATATTTTACACACATATATATCGTATGGTCTGATAATTATCTATTATATTAATTGTCCAATTTATTTCAAATTAATATTTTAATTAATCAATAAATATTTTACTCTCTTTGTCCAAAGAAAATAAATTTTTAAATAAAATTACAATTTTTTAATTTTAGCTAATTAATTTTTTAAGTAAAGATTTTTTATTAAATTAATTATTTAATTCATATTTTTCAGGTTAAAAAGTCATTAAACGCATGACTCGAAAGTGCAACAAGTTAGAAAAATTATTAAAATCGAGGGAATGGACACAAACCTGAAAATGGATGCTCCGAAAAATGATATCAAAGTTTTAGTCAAGGATCCCTTATTAGAAAATAGAACGAACCTCATTGAGTGGAATGTGGATATGAATGTTACTCTATCTGGATCAAAGAAATTACAATTTATTCAGAGGATAAAAAATCTTCTGATTTTCATTTTAGTGGTTGCATTTGCAGTTGTGTTCTCTCATTTGAAAGGAGAAATTCGCGCCTTACAAGTTCAGGTATTATTTAAGGATCCATAAAATTTAATTAAAATAAAATTCATTTTAGTCATTAATAAAAATCAGAAATCAATTTCATAGAATTAAATTTTCATATAAACTTAACTGATTGAAATTAAATTAAAATTAACAGATTTCATTGACTTTTGTAAATAAAACAAACGTATCAAAGATAAAAAGACAAGGTGATCTTGCTATTATTTTCCTTTCTTCGGAAAAAATAAATATAATACGCTTAATAGACTTATCTCCATAAGGCAAGGGAAATCGTTTAAGTATTTTTTTTCTATTCCTTTTTGAACTTGCCAAAGTCACGTTTCTGTGTGACGAAACTTTTGTTAATCTAAAAGGAAACAATTTGCACACAGTAAATTGTGTAAAAAAATATTTTTATCTGACTCAGATCATTTTCATTACGCATTCGCGTTAATCGAAATTTTCTTCCTTTGTTTTTCCACATATATAATATATATTATTAATTTAGCAAAATTTTCAAACTTCCACCAAATTCTTATTATATGCAAAAAAAAAAAGGTGAAAGTAAAATATACGAATATGTAAATTTTACATTTTACTCTCTCGACTTTCTAAGTTTTTTTTATACTAATTTTTGTTTCTCCATTCTTTCAGATAAACGACATGAATGCAAACCTTGTGATATTAATGTTGAAATACGATAAATTAGATAAAAATTGTAATTTCCTTCAACGATCATACGAGAGATTTCAAATGAACGCAAAGGATTTGAAAAGATTCACGAGAAGAGATTTCAATAATCATTTTATTCAAGTCACTCAAATTCCTTCGCGCGAAATAGTTGTTGAGAATTTAAAGAAACAAAATGAAAAAGAAATGGAGAAAAATCCAAATTCCAGCAGTGAATTTAAAAATGAGAGGATAAATATTGAGAATAAAGAAAAAGACAATGTTCAAAGTCTCGAAAATGAAAGTTCCAAGTTTACTAGAAGAAAAAAGAGTTTAAGAATTCGAAGGTCTTTATTAATGGAAAAAAAAAGAAATTCAACAGATGTGGATTTCTTGCTCGAAAATGATAAAAGTGATTATGATGATGATGATGACGATGACAACGACGATGATGATATTAACGATGAGGATGCTGACTTGGAGAGTAGCGAATATAGAACGTCTCGAGCACGCAGAGATGAAGGAAGAGGTAAAGAGGCGAGAAAGAACAAAAACAAAGGGAGGCCCAAACGCAGTCGCAGGCGATTGGGTACATTTTGTCGTGATTTTTATTAATTTTATTTATCTTTCGCTTCCCTCTTAAATATAAAATTCTTTTTCAATTAATTTCAAAACTTTCGTAAGATTATTCAAAACAGTTTTTTCAATATTTTAACTCGAATTTATTTCTTTTTTTTTTTATTTAATTTCTCCATTTTGGACTGTTAAAAAATTTTTTAATTTACTTCTTTATTCAAAACTCTTTTGTTGAAAAATTAAATATTAAAGAATAGAATTAAATTGAAGAAAAACTGTATTTTTATAATCTTTTTTCGAAATTAAATTTTAAAAATGGAAAAAAAAAATTAGTGAAAGAAAATTATTTTTCAGGGCCTTGGATAGCAACTTTTGTTGGAGCCCAACCCGAGCAATTCGTGACTGACTCAGGTAGTTAGTATAAGTCGTCAGTTCTTGCGCTAATTGCAGTATTTTGGCGTTTTGTGCATGTAATCTTTTTTTTATATGAAAAACCCTATCTTACTGCAGTTTACATCGGGCCGTGGGTGAAAAGTACGAGAAACGAATCACGCTATAATTTCAACAAGTTTCATCTAGTCGAGAATGAAAAGTCCATTGAAGTTACCACTAACGGCCTATACATGATCTCTACACAGGTAATTAATAAAAAATATTATAATTCTCAATTCTTTTTTTTTTTTTTTTTTTTTTTTTGATTTAATATTAAATCAATTATTTTCAATTTAGAGCCAATCGAAAAACATGTTTTGCTATTTCTGGCAAAATTTTCATCTACAGTTTAATAATTTAAAGAAATAATTTATTTTGCAGATATTTTACTTTGGTGAATCAACGAATTATTCATATTGGATTCTTTTGAGTTCCGAGGGTTCGTCAATACCGCAAAGACTTGCAAAATGTGCGACAGTTTCGGCTGAGACAGTTACAGAAGTTTCTTGTCATACGAGTATAATAATTCTACTAAAGAGAGGAGATCGATTGCGATTACAGCAACAAGAACGTAATAGGTATAAAAATGAAATAAATTTATATTAAAATCAAAACGAATTAAACTGCATTGAATCTCAATTTTTAAATAATTGTTTTATTTAAAAATCTGTTTTAGATTAATAAATCTTCGCGAGGGTCACAGTTACATTCAAATTGCCCTTTTATCGAGTGATACTCAAAAAAGAAGATTATCATAAAAACAGCAATATTGAAAAAAAGAAAACAAAATCCATTTGTATTATAAATCATTGTGCATTCCAATGATCATATTTTTAAGTTTCGTCGTCATAAAATATTGTGATAGTTTATTTTTTGTTTTCTATATATATAATATAGAAAATATTAAATTTTCCAATTATTGTTTCACGTTACAATTTATTTCTTCATCTTAATATCGACAAAGTGATTTAAACTGCCAAACAATAATTTTTTTTTTTACGTTAGAATCAATGTTTAAGATTTAAATTCTAATAAGGCAAGTTATTATTTTATCTTTGTAAAAAGAAACTCAACGTTACATTCTTGTAATTTCTATTGTATTATATTTTTTATAAGTAAAATAATAAGGATGTAAAATAACAAAAAATTGAGGCTGAAATTAATTTTTTTCATTTCTTTGGAAGAAAAAAAAATTCATTAAATTCTTAATTAAAGTATTTAAAAATAGTTTACCTAGGGATTGTCTGAAAAATTAATGTTACAAAATTAAAAAAAAAAATTTTTTAATAATAAAAATATTTGACACTGTTAGGTAAACTATATCTTTTAATTGAAAGTGGAAATTAATAACAGAAATATAAAATATAAATATAAATATCCATAAAATAACAAAATGAAAATAAAATATAAAAAACAATAAAGGAAAAGTAAAGAAATGAATAAATCTATAGTAACTTAAAGAAAAAAGTTAAAATTAAAAATTGAACTCGCCTTTCCTTAAAGAAGGACACAATTCATATTTCATGGAAGACTTTATTAAAAAGTATATGTATATATATTTATATTTCATGTTTTATAACGACGTATATTATTTCGTAAAAATTTTAACAAAATAAACAATCGATTCTCTACCTTTTTAGCATTTAACGAAGACACTGTCACAGACTTCTTGGTCCTGAATTGTAATCCTGGATATCCTTTTCATTATCACAGCCAGTCATGTGGCATTGGAAAGAGCTCATTTTCATACGATGTGGCCAACATCTCACAATCTCACTGTCATCCTAAACAGAAATCAACGATATAGAACACATCTATAAATTTCATAAAACAAAAAAAAATTGAATCAAAAAGTAAAAAAAAAAGGAACTGTTTACTACTACAGAAAAAAACCAGAACTCCTTGGCAGGATTGTCATTAATTAACAATATAAATTTCTACATATATTTCTTTTTTCTATAATTCTGCCTAAGAGTTTTCTTTTTTTTTTTTTTTTTTTCTTTTAATTAATTCAAACGGGAATCTTGAAATCTAACTACTTGTGTACCTAAATTGAATATTTCATTTTAATTACTATTTTTTTTTTTTTTTTTTGTTTAACTATTGAGGCAAATTTCCTAAAAAATATATTTTTTTTATTTCCTTTATAAAACCTTTATTAGCTTTTGTTCTCATTCTCGCGCTTTATATACACAGAAACAAAATTTTAAGTTTCGTATCGAATTGTTTTTTTTTTACCTATTTATTTTTCATTTCATATCGTGTATAGTACATCGAATAAGGTTTTTTTTCGTTTTTCAAATAAAATGTGCCGCTTTACTTTGTTATTGAAAAAATTGTCATTTCATGATTATCCTTATTTAAAAATATTTCAGCGATCGCATTTTGGCTGATTATTGAAAAATTAATTTTAAAAAACGCATTCTTTTATTTTTGATTGAGTGGAATATATAAGTTAATTATTGAGAGACGCGCTTCTAAAATATTGTAATTTCGCTTTGGTTAAAATTTGTACAAAGAAAGAGCGGATAGATACTTATTCATTGTTTACTCACCTGAGTTTCATCTGAGGTTTACTCGAGCTTTTATTTCGATTTTAAGGGTACAAATCTACCTTCTTTATCCTTTTTCTCTATTTTTCTCTATTTTTTTTTTTTTTTTTTTTTTTTTTTTTTTTTTTTTTTTTAATAATTCTCAACTCATATTTTGCTGCGTTTACTTGCTGTGATTTCTTTGTTAAATCTCTGATTTTCTTATTTGTTATAAGAAAAAAAACATTGTCTATCATTTGACAACGAAATTAAATTTTTACAAGGAAAGTATTAAGGTAGTTCACCTTCGACAATCATTGTCAAAAAAGTTAATGCCAAAAACAATTTTTTTTTAAATTAAATAAAAAATTAAGTTAATATTTAATTACTACAAGTTATAACTATTTTATAAGTTATTAAATATTTATTATTTAACTTTCCTGTGGACAATAATTTTTAAAAATATATCCAATTTTCAGCATTAACTAAACTTTCGACTCAAATTGCTGTAGAGGAACTTTTTTTGAAAGGAAAATAATTAAAAAGGGGTAGTAAAAAATTTTTCACAAACATACCTTATTATCATTAATTAAAAAAGAAACACAATCTTTTTCTAAAAAAAATCAGATTAAACTTCTAAAATTTCAAGGTAAAATATCTCATGTTTAAAAAAATAATTTTACCTTGGAAAATGAAGCTAAGTTCTGCCTTAAAAACTTAATAAATAATATTAAAAACTTAATTAAGCTCCTTAAAAAAGAAAATGAGTAAAAAGATAAACATAAAAATTCCTAAAATAAATTAATAAAAAACGCCTAAATTTTTTTTCGCAAATAAAAATGTGTCCCAGTGCTGGTAAATAGTATTTCACTTTCCTGAATAAAATTCTCAGGTTGTTGTTCAATGCCTGTGGAATAAACTTGTTTTTTTTTTGTTTCAAAAAATTTCTCTTTTAAAAAATGCCACTCAAAAATTTGCCTTTTTGGAAAAAAAATTCGTCATTTACTTAAAAACCAAAGCTGCTTTTTTTTTAATAGTGATTTGTTTAAACTAAATATTATGGAATAAAGAAAAATATATATGTGATATACGAAAAAAAGACAACTATTATATATATAGAAAAAGAAACAACGATAATTAAATCGGCACAAATTTAACAAAATTTTTTTTTTAATACCTACGTTGCTCGATTTGTTCATTCAAGTTTAAAAAGCTTACACATCTCATTATTAATGTTGCCCATTAATATTGGTTGCGCCGTTTTTTCCCTAGAGCAGTTGCTGGTTTACCTAGTCATTAAATTATGTATAGATATATTTACGTATAAAAAAACATAAATATTTTGTGCAGGTCAGGAAGCGAAAAATTAATTGTCATCTTGATTTGTTTACCATTTTTTTTTTTTTTTCTTTTTTTTTCTATTGTATACAACATTGTCGCTACACATACGATTTAAGCGGGGCTTAATAAATAACATTTTGTTTTATTGTATACTAGAAAGAGAAAGAGTTAATCGACCGTCTTTCTTTCTCCCCTATAAAAACGGAATACGTTTTTATTTATAAATAAAAATTTTCACACTGAGAAAAAGAAAAAAAATCTGTTTTTCTTTTAAACTTAATTGCATAGTCGCTCTTATTCTTTCAAATTTAATTTTTGACGTGATTGACCTAATATCAATAATTGTAAAAATGGTAATAATAATAATAATAATAATAATAGTTATAATAATATAATGTAATTTGTGATACTTTAATACTAGTAAATGAGTCTGTAGATACAATTTGCTCATTGAAAACGCTTCTGAATAACATATTTCAGAAACAAAATCGCTACATTATTCTCTTTTTTGAAACTAAAATATACAAAGCTGATTTTATTCTATTTTTCGTTTATCAAGAACGCAGCATTAAATCACTGAAATTCGTTTATCAGTTCAAAATGCTAGAAAACAATGAAAATAGTTTTATTTTTTTTTCTTTTTAAAAAATCGGTTTAAAAATTATCGTAAATCCTACACGTAGTATACAGTCGACTGATTATTAAATGACAATTATGCGGGAATTATAAAATTTTTTTTTTAATTTTCTCTCTCTCGCTCGCACGCTCTCACAATGAAAAAAAAATCGATTTTACGGACAGATACACTTTGTTTTATAATTAAAATTAATATTACAATGACTTGTAAGATTGTCCCTAAAGAAAATGTTTTTAATTTGAAACAAATAATGAAATATTTTGCGAATTAACTTATAATCTACAAAAAGAAAAAAAAATTAAACAATAATTTTACTGAAAGTCAAATGTAAAATCTCTCATTTATACTTTCTCCGAGCAAATTCATTGTACATTTGACAAAAAATTTTGTCTGCACAATGATTTTTCATTTATTTTCGAAAATAAAAATTAGTTGCTAATATTGCTAACTAAAATTTATGATTCTGTTATTAAATATATTATATATGCGTGTGTGTATAAAGGAAATCAGATCACATTGAAAAAAAAAATAAGAATCATAGGTAAGTAAAAAAGAAAGAAAAAAAAGATTTACTCAAACATTCCTTAATGTACAAATTTAATTTTCTCACGCACTTTATTATTTCGATCGATTATTAAAATGGGATAAATTTTTTTTAATTAACTACTAAATATTTTTTGTATTTTGTTTCTTTTCCTTAATTTTTTTTTTGTTTTTTTTTTTTAATTAAAATTTTTGTTTTTTGAAAGCTTCGCTGAAACTGGGCGTTTTGGTAACCAGCACTGCCACCTGCGAACAACCACAGCTCTCCTCCATTCAATTTAACTCGTACATTATTCTTTTTTCTGTACATAACATTTTGTTAAGCAGATACTTGTTATATCTGTTTATTATGCGCTTGGATATCCAGAGTAATAGTTTGAATCTGTAAATGTCAAATCAGGAAGACTAATTTCACCTACTTTTTTTTTTAGAATCATGTTTTTTTTGTGCATTCTTGTTTTAAAACTCAGGTAAGCCTGCGTTTTTAAAATTCAGGATCGCACGACTATCATTTTTTTTTCTATTCAATAAATACTTAAATTTAAGAAAAATTCTCCTCAAGTTCATATATTAAGAGAAATTAATATACCTACTTCCTCAGAATAAACTGGGAGTATTATTTGCTTTTTAATTTTCTCTCTCTTTTGAAATTGAAGTACTCATAAAAGATCATTACATAGGTATAGAAGTTTCGTTATTGAATTATTCAAACTATGGGAAATTGAATTAGTTTTGTTAAGTAAATATAGTACACCTAGAGACTTTCGTAATTTTGCGTATTTCGATCAAGATTCTCTCAGCTTTTTTTTTTCTTTTTATATATATATTTCTTTAATTCTAAAAAGCACAGGACTTTAATTTGATTTTTTTTTTGTAGGAAAAATGCACCTCTGTTGGTCATTATTGCATTTTTCTTTCAATTTTTGGTTAAATACATTTAAAAAAAAAAATTCGCATCAGTTAATTTTTTCAAATTTATGTTTAGTACTTACCATAACTCTGCTTTCCATATGTGCTGTCTTGTGTTGTATAATCTAAAAATTTCAACAACAAAAAATTGTATTAACTTAATATGTGTCTTCATTTATACAATTGTTTTAAAACGATAAAATTTTAATAAATATTAATTTAAGTACAATGAAATTAAATTAGAAAACTTTTTTTAAAACAAAACTTACTAAAGAATTTAAAAAAATATATTTTCAACAATTTTCCCCTTTTAATAATGAAATTAATAGTAACTTTATACAAAAAAAATTTTAATTTATAGGAATTTTAAAGAAATCTTTAAAAAATAAAGATAAAAATTATTTTTCAAATAAAAAATTTTGAAATTCAAAATTTAAATCAGAAATGTCGTTTAAAAAAATAACTTAGGAAAAATAATTTTTAAATTCAAGATAATCGAAAATTTTTAAGATTATTTAGATAAAAGAGGATCTCTCACCTGCGACAGCTGGTTTACCATAGCCATAAGGATCAGCACTATATCCGGTGGACGCAACAGCTGGGGCTCCTCCATATCGTGGATCTGGTGCAGCAGCCGCGTATCCCTATTTATAATTATTGATTTATATTATTCAATAAATAGAGAATCACAAATTATGACTTTATAGTTTAGAATTATCCTTTAAAATTGAATTAAAATAAATGTAAAATTAATTTATAAATTACTTAATTGACTATTATCATAAAAATATTGTACTTGATACTCATTATAATTATTTTTCAAAAAATAAAAAAAAATCTAAGAAAAGTAAAGTGGTATATTTGTTCACCTATACAAAATTTTTTTTCAATTCTGTAATTTTGCACGTTTCTGTAAATCTGTGTGTTCTTATTTCTCAAGAAGAAAAGAAAAATAACTTTGAAATACTAAAAAAAATTAATTTTCATACTTCCATTATATTTTATATTTTGTTACAATATTTTTGCTTTTTTTTTGTTTGTTTATTAAAAATTGTAAGAATATTTCTTTTCTTATTTTCTCTTTTGATATTAACAAAACACCTTTAATATAATTGACTTAGATGAAAAAATAATTGTTTTTAGAAACGTGTAATTTTTTTTTCTCTTTTTAAAAATGAATGCATTGCATTTTTTGTTCTAATATTTGGAAATTTTTATTTAAAACAAACTTTCTTATTCAAAATAAATATTTTTTGTCAGAGTAAACAATTTCAAAACATTTGATTGGTAAAAAGAACAAATTTTGTTCTTCCTAAATAAAAATAATTGCAACTTGACTGAAGTATGAAAAGAAATAAATAAATTTTTTCTTAATAATACTAAATCACTAAATAATTAGTGCTTAAAAAAAGAAAATAAAAATCAATCACAGGGTGTCTAACAAAGATTGATAAAAAAATTCCCTGACTTTTCCCAGACATTTTTTGATTTTTCTCAGACTTTTTAATAACCTTATTTCCGCTTTTTTTGGCCAAAAATATGGTTACTGACATATTTAACAATAAATTAATTTCTAATGGTAGTAACAAATGGTAATAAAAACCATTCAAGTTTTTTTAGATTTAAAAATTTTTAAATTCACAAAAAATTTTAATTTTTGCAGAAATTTACAGAAATTTCCCTGACTTTGAATGAAATTTTCTGAAATTCCCTGACCGTTAGGGATCGTTCACATATTACGTCACGCTATTTTTCATTATTTTTTAACCCCCCCCCCCAACGTCACACACTATTCTATACATTAGCGCCATTTTTTCTACAGGTCGTCACACATTCAACAGACCCCCCCCCCCTAAGCGTGTGACGTAATATTTGTGAACGATCCCTTAGACACCCTGAATCAACAATAGTGAAATTTTTGATTTTTAACTTTGTTTTTACATTAAATTTTATTTTCAATAATCAGAAAACGAATTATTTATTAAAAATTGAAGTCAACTTTTGAGTATATTTTTTTTCATCTCATATTTAGTGGCAAAAAGATTTTCAAATTTAAAAATCATTTTTTCTTCTACATTCTCAAATATTTAAATTTAAATACAAAATATTAATTACCAATTTATAATATTTATAAATCATTAATAATTTTTCTTTCTTTGTTAAGATTCTATCAATAATTGTTTTTCTCTGTAAACTCATTTCCTCCTATGATTCGGAATTGCATATATATACTTTTAATTTTTGTAACATGCTATTTTAAATTAATTTAAAGAGTAAATAAATCTCTAAAGAAATTAATTATTCTAACTAGATTTTCCCTCACACTATCATCCAAATATTGCTTTGATAAACAAGTCTCCCAATTATTGAAAAACGTAAATATTATAATAAATCGAGCAATTCAAAGCTTCTTTAAAATTATATCATCTTATCTTTTTGTTTTACAATAAAAAAAAAAAAATTCTCTTTATATTAAATTAAAAGCAGCTAAAAACTATTGATAATGAATACTCTCGCAACTTTGACAATTCAATATATGTAAATTATTTATGGTCAACTGCATAAATGATATTTTCCATTGTTTTTACTATATATAAAAAATGAAATTTTTGGATAACTTACTGCAGACTGCCCATAATCTGCTGGCTGTTGATAACTTTCATAACCTTGATAAGATTGGGGATACCCTGGTTGAGCTCCATAACTAGCACCATAGCCCGCCGCCTGCGGCGGTCCTTGTGGAGCACCTCCGTATCCATTACCTGAACTTGCACCATATCCTTGACTACATTGGAGAGAAATTGAAAAAAATATATATTTATTCTCTAATTACCTCTGATTATCACTTATTATTATAAGTTAAATTTGTAAATTCATAAAAAAAACTCTTCAGTAAAATACAAATTTGACATTATTACTTTTTTTTTTATTAAAAATAATTAAGTTTATTATTATTTTTATTTAATTACAATGTACGAGCTTACAATTTTGTAAAAAAAAAAAAATGTTAAGCAAAAATTAAAAAAATTAGAAATTACTTTAAAAATTCTACAAAAAAAAAAAAAAAATAATGAGAATTAACAGAGAAAAAAAATGAATCAACGATAATTAAATTAAAATCATTTTAACAATTACCTGATTGGTGCAGATGCGTAGCCATTGGCAGACTGTCCACTTTGATTTTCAAATCTTGGCCTCTTTGGGGGTCCGCTGGCTCCTGGTGGTCCTCCACCTCGTTTTGAGGGTCCACCTCGTCCTCCCCTTCCACGGTCGCCAAAACCGCCACGGCCTCCTGGACCTCCTCTACCTCCAGGTCCACCTCTGCAAATTAAATTTTAATTTATATTCCAATTTGCAAATTACCCTTTCGATATTTTTAATAAATTTATAAATATACGTATTATAATTAATAAATACTTATTAACAATTAAATAAAATATTTTTTATTATTCGTCGATAATCAAGATTCTTATTAATTATTTACCATCATTAAATAAAATAATTGCAATAATTCTTTAATAAATGAATAAATTCTGATTTTCAGAAAAAAAGTTTATATTTTCTTTAGTATTTAAAAAATTTTTAGGAATAATTTTTTTTGTCTGATTCTATATTAAAAAAAAATTGTTTACCGGGAACCACCACGACCGCGGTCCATTCCTCCGCGACCTCTGAAGCCACCTCCACGGCTATCTCCCCTGCCAAAGCCACCGCCTCGTCCACGGAAGCCACCACCTGCACCACCTCTTCCTCTTGGTGCTCCTCCCATAGGTCCCGAAGGAGCGCCTCCTGGTCCTCCTGCCTGATCAGGTCCTCTAAAAACAATAAAATTTCGTAAAAACTTCAATTTACTATTTTCGAATAAAAGAACAAAATAATTATTCCAAGATATTTTAAATAAAAAATAGATTCAAAGTTAAAAAAGAAATGATAAAATAACAAATTAATCATGAATTGTGTAAGAAATATTTAAATTGCCTTTTTCTTTTAAATTAATTAAATAAAAATTTATACCCTGGTGGAAAGTGACCGCCTCTGCCACCTCTTCCTCCGGGTCCACCTCTGCCTCTCATTCCAGGTGGTCCACCACGCATTCCTCCTGGTCCTCCACGACCTCCTCGCATCATTCCACCTCTGAAAATTATTCAATTTAACCTCACGATAAAATTAACATAAAATAAAAAACAAAAAATAAATTCAAACAAAAATTATTGAAAGCAAAGAAAATAAAGAGTTCGTACCAAAAATCAATTTTCAACTATGTCAGATAAAAATATTTAACTAGTTCATCGATTTTAGTTAATTCAAGCTATCTTTAGTGTGAAAGTTACAAATAAATATAGAAAGTGTTACAAACACACAAGGATCAATATTATAAGTGAATAAGTTAGTTTTTAATTAAAAATAGAAAAAATATAAAACACTCTCGTGTAAACAAACACATTCAAAATTGAAATGCGTTATTAAGAATTGTTTTTATTAAATACTAAATAAATGCGTAAAATATTTCCATTACCATTAAAATTGAATCTATTTTTAATGAGAAGATGCCATAGCTTTATATACATATATACACAGTGCAAAAAACGAACCTTCCTCTTTCCCCGAAACCGCCGCGTCCTCTCATAGGTCCACCAGGTCCTCCTCGACCACGAAAACCACCACCACCACCACCACCTCTGGGAGCTGGTGCACTATCCATTATTGTGTCTAAAAAAAAATTCACAAATTTTTTTTTAAACTCGTGATAATGTTACAGTAAAAAAAAAATATTACTGTATAAGTCAAACACTATAGTAGTATATGAAAATCACGACAAATAAACGATAAAAAGCACAACAACGTTACGACAATAATGTTCACTTGTTACTTTTAAATATCTAACATTGTTACACAAATCAATTTTATGTAAAATTTACTTACGGTTTATTTAAATATTAAATAATTTATAGACGCTTAAACTTTTGCGTCTAACGAATTGATGCCAACAGAAAATGGACGCCGGTTGCCGGAAAAGGAAATATCGATCTGTGATGCTCCCTACCTAAACCGGAAATCCCCCACTTCAGATAATTTTTAACCAATCAATAAATTGAATATCCTATTTCATCTAGGTTCAAAAGAAAATATCCAATCATATTTAAGAATTTCTAGAAATCACCAATGAGAAATTTATCATCTCAATATGTATTTATATATCTCGTCACATGATGACGCTAAAGTATCAATGTGTCAACATTTGTAATTTCTTAAACTTTTAGTTATTTAACCTAAAGAGAATTCTAATAATTGTTTCTATTAAATTTAATTTTACTTCCATTAATCAAGAATTTGTTTTTTATCTGTAAGTATGTTATATTTAATAATTTTACTTATTGTACTGTATGGCCCTGTCAACATAACCTCACTTTTAATAAAAATAAAAATATTTTAATTTTAATCATTCTTTCACTATTTCAACTCATAAAAATTTTATTTATTTAATCTGTTTAAGAATATAAATATATTATTTTATTTAAATAACAATATGATAATTATTTTATAATTAATATATTACTTTATATAATGAGAATTTTAATATTCCCGCATTATTTACTAGCAGACGCTTGATTTTGGAGCGCTATCTTGCGTTGAAATTTGAAGACTTCACAAGTGTCACGTGATGAAAAGCCTATCTCCAATTGGTTAACGGCTTGAATTCGAACAGTGAAGTCCGTTGCTATTCACACGGTTTCTCAAAACAGTGCTTTTAAACAGTTATCTGAAAGGGCTGCTCAACTCCTTAGCCTTTTAGAGTAACTATCAAAAAGTTGTGATTATTGAATGAATTGTGGAGTTTTGACTCATTTAAAGTGATCTTGAAGTCAATAGCAATTCACAATGTCAAAAGACGAAAAGGAGACTATCATCCCTGATGTTATTTACGACGTGAATTCTGGAAGAAGCTACATTAAAGGCCGGTTCTTCGGAAAGGTAAATCCATTATCAAATTTAATCTCGTCAATATTTACTTCCTTCAATAATTTTCTTTTATTTTTCCCCTATATATTATTTTGTTTCTTACTCTCATATGTAGATTTTAGTTAAACAATGTTCTTGATGAAAGTCAATAACCTGTATTGACTCCTCATGTACATATCAAACCTCCACCATGTCGACCATATAGACGCGATCCCTCCTAAAATTTCTCATATTCATTGCCTTATACCTTTTTTGCTTCCTGTTCCAAGTTCTATATATAACTTGATATACTCGTTTGATCTTTGCTTAATTTCAAAACAAACTTCATATTTTGACAGATTTCATGTCAAAAGTGTTATTATTTTTGTTGAAAAAAAAATTATTGTTTTTCTAACATAAAATTTTACGGTTATTTTTTATATATATTTTTTAAAAATAATTTTATATTTCACTATTTGCACATATAGATTTTAAATTAAATTGTATTAATTATATTGATAGTGCATTTTTATAATTATTTACGTAGATCATATAACATTTTATTGAATTTTTATTTTTGTCGTATCTCTTGTAAATTGTGTTCAGTATTATATTTGCGATATTTTATTGTGATTGTAATATAAGTTACGTTAATGTTTTACTGGATTCTGATATACTTATTTAATATTTTTGTTATTTTTGTAAAATGTCATATTTACTTTTAGATGTTTATAACTTTTAATAAATATTAACTAACCTCTATTAGATTTTATTTTCAATTTAATATTTTTCTTTTAAGATTTTACTAAATTCATTTAATAAAAATTATTTCTTGAAACAATTTTTGATATTTTTACAAGTTACATTAATTTATGTTATGTAACGTTAATGTCTAAATTATGTATTCATTTAAAATTTAATAATTCTATGCAATATTCATTAATAAACAAAAATTGATAAAATAAATGTAATTTTTATTTAATGAGCCTTATGAAATATAATTCCAGGGTGGCTTTGCGAAATGTTACGAAATTCGAGAGTCGAAAACTCACAATGTGTACGCCGGAAAGATCGTACCAAAGTCAATAATGACAAAAAATAACCAGAGAGAAAAGATGACACAAGAAATTGCCATTCATCAGAGTTTAAATCATAAAAATGTCGTTGGTTTTCATGGATTTTTCGACGATTCGCATAATATCTATATAATTTTAGAATTATGCCGCAAAAGGGTAAACACAAATTCTTTTTATTATTATTATTATTTTTTTTTCTAGGATAAAATTAAAAATATAATTTTTTTTTTAGTCAATGATGGAATTGCACAAGAGAAGAAAAGCTTTAACTGAATATGAAACACGATTTTACATGAAACAAATTTTGGAAGGTGTTCATTATTTACACCAAAATAGAATTATTCATAGGGATTTAAAGCTCGGCAATCTCTTTTTAAATGATGAATTGCAAGTTAAAATTGGTGACTTTGGTTTAGCGACTAAACTTGAACACGAAGGCGAACGAAAAAAGTAAATAATTATATTAAAAATATTTATAAATTTTGTTTAATGTAAAAAAAATTAAATTCTTTTTCTTTTAAAGGACATTATGCGGAACTCCAAATTATATAGCACCGGAAATTTTGACCAAAGTCGGTCATTCATTCGAAGTTGATATTTGGAGTATCGGTTGTATAATGTACACATTGCTCGTGGGTAAACCTCCATTTGAAACCTCGAGTTTAAAAGAAACTTACGCTAGAATTAAGCAAGTCCAATATAAAACACCAACGTCAGTCACCAAACCTGCAATGATCATGATATCGAGTATGTTACAAGGCAATCCATCGAAACGTCCATGTGTCGGCAGATTACTCAAAGATGAATTCTTCAATAGTGGTATGGCAAATATTTTCTAAATATTATTTTTAATAATGGAGAGAAAACTTATAAATGAATGAATTATTTTTAGGATTTTTGCCGCAAAGCCTTCCACTTTCATGTCTCACAATGGCGCCAAGATTAGATACATTGGAAATGCACAATAATCGAAAACCATTATCGGAAATGAATATGAATAATTATAATGCGGGTGATGCTGAAGTTTTTAAAATACCAACAAGTCCACAACGAAATAAACTTCTTAGTCCTTTAAATAAATTAAAAGCCACCGAAGTAAATACAAATGATGTACAAAAAATAAATCAGGAGAACAAGCGAATGCTACAGGCATTAAAAGAACAGCTTCATGGTGTTCTTAAATCAAAACCCGCACAAAAAATGGCATCTTCTGCAGGTATAAAATTCCTTCAATCCATCATTGATATTCGTTTATATATATTGTTGATACCAATATTCATTTTCTCCAGATCCACCAAGACCTTATCAAATATTCCTGAATCACACAGGCATGAATTTTCCTATTTCATTTCCTTTAAAACTAACTTTTTTTTAAATTAATATATAATTTATATATATAATTTGACTTTGACAGATGAAATGACCGATCCGGATGCACAGCCATTCGTCTGGATAAGTAAATGGGTGGATTATTCGGATAAGTATGGTTTTGGTTATCAATTGTCCGACGATGGTGTTGGCGTGATGTATAATGATGGCACGCGATTAATAATGCTCGCCAATGGTCATAATATTCACTACATCAATCGAGATGGCAAAGAACTTTACTATACTGCTAGTAACTATCCCTCCAGTTTGGAGAAGAAAATGAAGTTACTTAATTTCTTTTTACGTTATATGACGGAACATTTAATGAAAGCTGGTGGTGCTGTTGCCGTTAAACAAAGTGATTCGCTCTCCAGAATACCTTACATGAATCAATGGTTCAGAACACAAACTGCAGTTGTTATGCAACTGACGAATGGCTCGGTTCAAGTGAGTTCAATTTCTTTACATCATTTTTCTTGTTTCTAAATTTCTTGTTTTTTTTTTGTTTTTTTTTTTATTTACATCTTTTTGCTTTATACATTTGCATCGTTTACTTTTCTCCAATTTTATTCACTTATATATATTTTTCTATTTACTTGTGATTTCTTGTATTTTTTATCGCTGTGTTGTTTACTTTTTTCGGTACCTGCTTTATCTTGTGTTTTTTTTTCTTTTCTTTTTTCTCTATTACTTCTTTCCTTTGTTTTTTCTATTCCTTGCATTTTCAACTTTTTGATTTTTATTTTATAACATTTTTTATTTTTTTTAAAGATAATTGAAAAGTTATCTTTTAATTTTATGGTTCTAAAACTTTTTATTTAATTTTTAAATGTTTTCTCTTATTATTTTGGATTATTTACAATATTCTTTTTAGAAACTATTATTTTTACAAATATGCGTCTTTGTCAAAATTTAATTTTGAAAATTTTGTTTACCGATTGTTCTATTTACAAAAAAAAAAAAAGAAATTTTTGAAAGTGCAAATTATTTTTAAAAAATAAACAGAAAAGAATAGCAAAATTTAAAATAAAATTAAAATTAATTAAATAATGAACTGTCAAAAGAACGACATTTGATTTAAAAAAATGTTAACTTCGAATAAAAAAAGTCAAAAAAATTTTTTAATTTAAAAATTAAAATATAGGATTAAATTTTGTATTAATTAAATTTTATTTAATATTTTATCTAAATTAAGAATAAAAATTTAATTTATATTAATTTCAAAATTTTGTTTTAAAACATAATGGATAAAAAAAATTAACTTTTGACAAAGAATTTTTTATTGACATAAAAATGAAAAATTATATTTATTAGAATAGAATAGAAAAATTAGCGGATTCTAAATAAAAGCATTTTTTTCCCATTTAGATTAACTTCCAGGATCATAGCAAAATCATAATGTGCCCTCTAATGGCAGCAGTAACGTATATAGACAAAGAGAAGAATTTTAGAACATACAGGTTCCAATCAATTCAACAACATGGCTGTTGCGGGGGTCTCGCAAAGAATTTAGAGTACGCTTATGAAAAAGTATCATTAATGATAAATAGCCCGGCACTTCGATAGTGTTAAAATAATTTATAAAAGAAGAAAAAAAGTATGTGTTAGGCATTCTACAGCCTAGTACCGTATTAACGCTGCTTTTAAAAAAAACCGCTATATTGCCTAAATAAGTAACTTAAATAGCAGATTAACAAGAGTCGTTAAGTTTGACTTTTTTTCGATAAGTGTATAGAATTTTTTTAAAAACATTTTTTTTTAATATATATAGCGCAGTAGGTACTGGGAAACAAAAAAAAAAGAACGTATACAATTTATATTTTAAGTATTTTAATTCGAAGGTATAATCTTCTTTCTTTTTGATATATGACACTTTAAAATACTTAGGATTTTAATTTTCATTCAAAAAATATTGGCACTTTTTATTTGTTTTTTTTTTAAGAAAAAAAAATTGGATAAAAAATTTATACCTAACATGATGACGGAACTTGTTTGAAATTTTTGAATTGAAAGTGAATGTCATAGTGCAATCAGTCGTTCGATAAAACAAGAAAAACAATTTATATAGTCCACTTATTTTTATGATTTTAGTTTTATTTTCATGATTTTATAATTATTTTTAACTAAAGTGAATGTTTTATCAATAAAGTGCGACTGATAATAATAATCTATGTTGTAGAGAAATGAGTATGAATAAAAGTACGACTGATTAATTTTTGAATCTTTGATTAAATATAATTTGTCATGGGCGCTGGTTTTGAAACATGACATATTATTCAAATTTAATTTAATTGTTTTGGAATTAAAAAAAAAAGAGAAAAAGAGAGAAAAAAGAACAAACGATGAGTGAGTTTAAAATTAATTAATGTAAGTCTATGTACATATGCAATTATGAAGACATAGCCTACAAGACTATAAAAAAAATCGAAGGTGATAATTTGTACAATTTACTATATATATAGGAGATTTTTTCTGTATAACATCATTACGACACTCTGTTAAAAAAAAGCAGAAAATAAAATTCTAAATTAATAGCTAAAAAGAATCTTTAAAAAAAAAACAATAGTATTTCCCATCGAAAAGACTAAAAAAAAATAAATCGTGCCAAGAAAAAAAACATTATTAAGTCTTTATTACTGATGGAAGTATTATTATATAGAAAAACAGGAGATTCTTTAAAACAATATAATTTTATAACACGTACTTAATAGAATTTGGTTGTTTTCAATCGCCGTTAATAATCTCATAAAAAGACGATACTCGTTACTTTTAGTTTCAGTTGTTACAAGTTGTTTGCTTTTTAAAGATAAACACAATATTTTTTTTTTTTTTTTTATTAATGATAAGAGAATTTTGTTGGTTTTACAGGCTTCGTCGATTTTTTTCCACATAAAATTACAAATATTTTTTAATATCTTATTCAATAAATTATATTGTTTACTGATACAGAAAAGTTACAAATTATTGATAGCCTTCAATCGTATAAAGCAAGTAATTTATTAAATTTTTTAAAAATATTAATCATTGCACGTTGAATTATTTAATTAAAAAGGTTATATTATACCTTTTCGCACTCGAAACTTACGAGTTCTCTGTGTATTGTAAAATTAAGCTACTAATCAAACTTTTTATACACAAAATAATTAATAAAAAAAAAATGATGCAAATTTTTAGTTACTAATTACGATTAGAAACAGAAAATAAAATTTTTTTTAAAAATACTTTTAGACATTAATTAATTTTAATGACTAATAAAATTTAAATATTGAGCCGCTGGATTCTAGAAGAGCACGTAATTTTTTTCGTCCGGAAAACGAAGTCCCCTGGACACTCAAAATTCATTTTTCGAATTTTAATAATTTTTCGAATATAATAACACGTATTTTCGTTTTGGTTTCATTAAGAAATTCGTAAAATTGTCTGAGTTGTCGTGAGTTGAAGTCAAAAAAACAATGAAAATTTTCTTTTTTAAAAAAACAGTTTTTCTCTTATATTTCGAAAACGGAAAAAGATGGAGAATTTCTTTTTAAGAAAAAAAGATGCGCAATCGAATTCTGTATAAGAATATGCTCGAAAAATATTAAAATTCGAAAAATGAATTTTGAGTGTCCAGGGGACTTCGTTTTCCGGCCGAAAAAATTTACGTGCCCTTCAAGAATCCAGCGGCTCAATTTTTAGATTTTCCTTAAGGTTAATTGAATTTTATTAAAGAATAGAAAAATTTCAATTGTAAAGATTGTATTTCATTTGTGAATTTTTTTCTGACAAAAATATTGACATGTACATTTTACGTATAAAAAAGTCGTCGATGTTTCTTATAACTAATTTCACTTTTTTCCTTTTAAAGGATGAAGTTTTTCTTTCTAAAAACATTCTTTTTGGCTTCAGATTAAAATACGATTCATGCATATTATAAATATATTTTGAAAAAAAAAATATTTATATGTAAAATTTTTATAAAATTTTCTATGGGTACAATATTTTTTTGGGGGGAGATATATATTTCATCACCGGTTCAAGCATTGTTTTTTTTTTTTTTTTGTTAAGTACTACTTTGAAGAAAAAATTCAGTAATCCATTATTTATAATTTTAAAAATGTAAATAATTGATTTTTAACATTTTATTTGAAAATCGTAAAATTTTATTACAATGAAATATGAAAATTTTATGACGAAATTAACATTTATGAAAATCATATTGAAATTAATCAAAATCAAAATAAGTACGATGATTTTGATAAATTTCAAAATATCGATAAATATTTATTTCGTGATTTTGTTGTTAAAAAAATGGTAAATTTGGTACTTTTTTCGTACATCAAAAAAAAATTTTTTTTTCACGTCAATAATTTTTAAAAATTTTCTTCTTCGTTTCAATATGAAAAATTGAAACCTTAATTATATGAATGATCAATTATTAAAAATATAGAAAAATTTAAATTAAATTTTTTAGTAATTTTATTCTAAATATAAAATATTCAATTTTCTGTACTTAAAGAATCCTTAATTTATAGTTTTCATTTAACTAATTAAAAAAAAAACATTTTACCTAAAGAAATTATTTAATAAAAAATTTATCCTTCATTAAAGAATTTCTTTTTTAGTTTCGAATTTAAACAAAAAAAAATTCAGCCTAAAATAGTTACCAAGTTTATCTTTTTTGAACACAATTATTATAAAATTACAAATGTTTTAATATAAATAAGAATGAGCCACAGTCTTTAAAATCGTTTGCAAATAAAATAAAAACTATCCTTTTGTCAGGATGATACGTTCATCATTTTATTATTATAAAAAAAATTATATTAATATCCTATTGTTAATCAGACTCATTTTTATTAACATTAAAAATTAATTCCTAATTAACATTAATCGTAAAAACGTTAATGAAAAAAAGATTTGAGCTGTTTATGATATAAAACTCTGGTTTTGTTTTTAAAAGTCAAAATCTTGTTTTTTAGTTTTAGGATTATTTTTAAAATTTCAGCCTTTTGAGATATTCGAATGTACAATGTAAGGCTCTTTCATTTTTTTACAAAATGCATATTTGCTTATTATTAGGTATTATTTATGTGCACTAGATTAATAAAATAAAATTTAGGGTGAAAATCTAGGTATCCAAGAATGAACTCTTCTATGTCGACCGCAACTACATCTAGGTCTAAGAACTGCCAATAGAGCAAGAGAAGCACCTAAAATAGAAACTCCGCATAGTGCACCTGCTGTTACATCGTGAAGAGGAGTTCCCTTTTTTGGCCCCTTTACTGCAAGGAGCAAAAGTCCTGCACAACTTAATGCCGAGAGTCCCGCCAAACCTAAACCCGTCCAAGTTTTCCTCAAACTTCTTGATGCACCTGCTAGAGCACAACATAATCCACAAACGATGGCGCTATCAAAATAATACCTGAAAAGAAAATTTAAAAAAAATCATTTAGGTGAGTGTGTCAATTTTTATAATTATAATTATAATAAGTTAAGTTAAGTATATTAATTCAATATTATTAAATTATTCTCAGGAATATTTTCTCCCAAAAACTATTACTTTTTATTATAGTAGAAAGAACTCATAAAATTGAACGCGACATTTAAATTTCCCGCACAAATTAATTGTCTACTTTACCTACATTTCATAGATAGAAAACTCGTTGGATAAATTTTGCTACAGGCATGAAAAATTTTTAAATAAATTTTAGACGCAAATGTTTATGTTCAAAAGGGAATATTTTTCTTTTAATTTGAACAACAGTAAAATACCGGATATTATAAATTTTTCTACATTTTTTTACACAAAAAATTCATTATAAAGTGAGAAAAGTTGTCTCTCATCTACACTTGCCTGCACTCTATCAATTATTATTACTAAACAATTATCCAAATCTTTTTCATATTTTTCTACGCTGTGTATGTGAATGTATTTTCAATTTTTTGTGCGCAAATAATATTATAAAAAAATTAGAATTTATTTCTTTTCAATTTTATGACAATTTCTTCAAAATGTTGAGAATAATTTCTTTGAAATTAAGTGTGAATAATTTGGCAGCCATTTTGGACAGATATATTCTAAGCCTCTCTCTCGAAGTTGGACCACCTTTAATTTGGCGTTCATGGTAATTATCGTAATTATAATACCTATATAATTATTAGTTTCCATATTTTTCTTATACAATAAATAAAGCGTTTTGAACTAGTTAGGTATTATATCGTTAAAAACTAGAGGACAATAATTAGTACAGTTGAAGTATTGTCGCGCTTGTCTTCAGTCTCTTTAGGGAATCCTTTTTTTGGTGAAGATATGTAAGTGTAACGAATTTAGATGTGATAATATATGTACTCGCAAAGTTACAAATTAGAAAACATTTTTTAGGAAAGTATATATACATAATTGCATGTAGTGGCGTGAATAATATTTAATTTGCATATGGGATTGTGTGGGTACAATTTAACCTCAAAAAAAATCATCTATTGGTTTTTATACGATATTTATATACACTTTGAAACATTTCTTTTCGATTTGTTTAAAATGCTATTATTAAAAAGTTATTTAAGTGTTAATTTAATGATTTTATAATGTTTGCGACATAACCTAGAAAATATTGTAATTTTCTTTATAGTAAAATATTTATTTAAACATTTCTTCTTAGCTTTTTTATCGTATTCTAGAAGTGCTGACTAGATTTTCATAAAGCCCAGGCCGAAAAATTGATTTTATTTTAAAAAAAATATATTTTGTAATAACTTCAATAATTTTTTCGCATAGTGAATTATTATTTCGAAAAATTATTTACAATCTGCCTAACTAAATAATTAAAAAATTCTAATTTTTTAATGAAGCGAAAAATTAAAAAATCGTTTTTTTGATCTAAAATAGACTCGATTTAATATATATTTCCTAGATATATAATTATTAATTTATCTTGTAAGAAATAATTAAAATTGAATTATAAAAATTTTAGTTAAAAAAATAATATATATATATATATTTTCAAATAAATTAAAATGTAGATATTTTGTTTTCTCTTTAAAATAGGTAAAATTTGCTTACATTCTTCCTTGGGTTAAGGACAAGTAATACGCCAAGCCACAGGTGAGAATTCCAACGAGTACCAAAAGAAGTGGTGCACTATTTTTGTGATACTTTTCTGCTCCACTTACCATCGTAGTATTCGCTTCACTGGTGGGTGGCGATAGTGGAGGAACCTAAAAACAAAATCAATTTGTATGTGTACGAAACAAAATGAAAAAATCACCTAGAAATGCATCTCACACTTGCATTCAGTAAGAAGATTATTTTTATTAGTTTCCAATAAAAACATGTATATATTATACCTGAAGCATTACAATAAGAATACATTCTCTAATGAATTTCAATTTTTATCTTTTTTAAATTAAAATTGAAATAACTTATTTGGAAAGTTGAAAAGTAATTTAAATGAATTGTTTCGTATGTTAAATAAATATAGGGATTTAGAAAAAAATTTCCTAACTTATTGAAATATAATTGAAATTAAAAAATGTAAATTTTGTTTAATAATATAATTTTTGATGAAACTTACGACAGCAGTTCTTGCGATAAATGCATTTTCAACGCTTTGATAACCACATCTTTTTTGATCAGGTGATACAACTTGGTATTTGAGTGGACTGGATACCATTGGCGTCATGTCTGTTCCGCTTTGAAGATATTGATATCGGGATATTGAATATCCCTGATCTAATTGAACCAAGTCTGTCGGAGCAGTGCCCACATAACGTAATTTACCACAATTGGATGCAGGGCAGAGATCTTGTTGACGTGATGAACTTTCGTTGAGTGGTAAACATCGTCTGGCTGAAGATTCCTTATTTGGGGTTGAAGTCTGTGGTCCATTTGGCGAAAATGCTCTATTTTGCGGTGTTCCATGTGGCGTTCCTCTAGGATTTGGACTTAGAGCACGACCTTTAATGGGGGTAATTAATTAATTTCATATTTTTACTAATAATTTATTAAATTTAAAAAGTTTATTTCCTTTTCATCCTTTTTTCAAATTTGAAATAATTAAAAATTCTTATAAATAATAATGATGAAATTAATTCACACCTGATGGTGAATTTCCAGGACTGAATGCTCTTCTTTGAGGTGTTCCAGTTTGAGGAGCTGTGTGATGTCTTTTGGGCGATAATGTTCTTTCTTCTGATCTTGACCTGGGTTTTCTGGGTGTGGTCAAAATTTCATGGAGTTTTTGAGTGGCAATATTATTTCGAGGTGATGCTGGATATTCAGAAATATTTCTGTCTGGAAGTGCCGGAGGTTCCTCTAAAGGTAAACTGGTGTATCGACCTAAAGGAAAAAAGAAATTTATTGAATATTTCAATCTCTACTTTATTAAAAAGGTTAGTCACACCATTTTTCATTCGCATGAAATATTTCGATTAATTATTATATTTTATAAATAACAGTTGTTTCAATTATTCGATAATTATTAATGAAACATTTGCAACAAATCTTCCGAGACTGTAATTATTATTAATTTACTATTTATATAGTAAAAAAAAAATTTAATGAAAAAGGAAATAATATTTCTTATATAGCAATTTGTTTAATTATCTACTCTATTACCAATTATGGTTGATTTGAGTTCATAAAATGAAATTACTATTTGCAATCAGTATGAAAGATAATTGAAAGATATAGTTTCTGAATTGTGAATTTCACGTGAAAAAGGCAAATTTTTTACGATTTTTACACGATTATCTGGTCTTATAAAGAAAAACAAAATTATGAATCAAGTGTAATTTTACGATCGTTAGTAACATATATAGGCTCGTAATTAGTCGACCATTAAAGGATGTTTTTTTCTATCATTCTCGAGCAAACCATACGAGAAAACAATAACGTTGAATTGCTTTTAGAACGAATATTTATTTCAAAAAAGAATAAATTTTCGTTCGTTATTTCTATAAATGATTTTTTAAATATTAAAATGAAGTCTACTTGTGCCATGATAAATATATTAGACCCTGATTTTTTGGTTAAATTTTTATTAAAATAAATTTTCGTCTAAATTTTTATTTCCATGCTAAATTTCTATTTAGCCAAAAGGAAATGCTTTGAAGTTTAAATTTAACCGAATTTTTACTTGGGCTTAATTTTTTAATTAACCAAGTTTACTATTGAAAAAATTTGCATTTAATTGAATTTACTACAAACAAAATTTTTATTCAACCGAATTTAATCGAATTATTATTTTAACGAATTTCCATTACATCACACTGTCCAAAAGTTTATTTTTTGATTTAAATAATAATCTGTTACGTAACAATTATCAAGTAAATATTTATTTGATATTAAATAATAACTATTTCAGTCAAATGAATATTTGTTTAAGAAATTATTGATTTGAATACAGTTTATTTGATTTAAATATAAATGAATCGTTAATTTCGAAAAGGACTCAACTCTGAAAACTGTAAGAGTCATTTTCACTATCAATTTAATTTCCATTTGTTTGAGTTAGTATTTATCTAAATTTCTATTTTATCAAATCTTTATTGTAATTGAATTTTCATATAAGCAAATTGTCACTTAATTAAATTTTCTTTGGATCGAATTTTTATTATTTAACAAAATTTACATTTAACCGAATTTTGATTTAGGCAAATAACAAATTTGGATATATGTTAAATTCGGTTATATGAAAAAACGGTTTAATGGAAATATTCTTAAAGAAAAATTATAATGCTGAAGTTCGCAACGTTTTTATAAACGAAAATAAAAAAAATGTTGAGACGATATGTATTACTTTGAGTTAAAATTAAAGTTCTTCGGGGGCTTTTATAAAAGTATTAATTTCTTGAAAGTTTGTGCAAATTAAAATTTGAGATAAATTGAGTTGATAAAAATTTTATTTTAATTTTTCGTTTTTGAAAACGTTTGCAGATTTCAGCTTCATTAAAAATTCAGATAAATGAAATTTGGAAAATTGTGAAATCATTTATTTTTTTTTAGAAATATGGTCAAATACACATTTTTTTCTCAATTTTTCAAATTTGTTTTGTCAGAATTAACGTTTATTTAAGAATATTTCCATTCAATCGATTTTTGATTAAATAAAATTTTCATATAACTGAATTTTACATATATATATATCTGAATTTGCTTATAACCAAATTTGTATTAATTTGCTACAAATTTGGTTATAAGCAAATTCAGATATAACAAGTGACAATTCACATGTATGAAAATTCAATCGAAGGAAAATTCTGTTACAATGATTTGATGAAATAAAAAGGGGCGCATGATTATTCCATAATGTGAATTAGTTAGCATTTTCATTTTATAGAATTTTACTTTATTCAAATTTATATTTTACGAATTAATGTTCAATCAAATTTAAATTAACCAGAATATTTATACTTAACAGAATTTCTATATGTAATCAAATTTTTATTTAACAGAATATTCTTTCAACATAATTTCCATTAAGCATACTTTTTATTCGAAAGAATTATTTTTAATACGAATTTTTATTTATCTTATTAAACAGAATTTCGTCTGAGTAGAATTTTTAAATGCTGTCAAGAAAATTGTCCTTGATTAATTTTAAAATTTGTGCCGAAATATTTCTACCGTTTCATTATTCGACCATTTTCAATGTAGAATAAATGAAAATTCTAATTTTTAAGATTTCTGTTAAATAACATTTTATATTAATAAAAATTTGGTTTATTGAAAATTTTGTCATTTAAAAATTCTACTCAGATGAAATCCTGTTTAATAAGAATTCTGATAAATAAAAATTCGTGTTAAAAATAATTCTTACGAATAAAAAGTGTGCTAAATTGGAAATTGTGTTGAAAGAATATTCTGTTAAATAAAAATTTGATAACATAGAAATTCTTTTATGTATAAATATTCCGGTTAATTTAAATTTGATTGAATTATTAATTCGAAAAACATAAATTTGAATAAAGTAAAATTCTATCTAATAAAATTGAGCTGCTGGAAAGTAAAACAACACATAAACTTCTGACTCTCATTGAATTATCATGACAGTCAAAATTTTTATGTGATTATGGAATAATCATGCGCCCCAATAAAATTTCGTTTAATAGAAAAAATTAGCTCAAAAGCAGGTTTTTTTTTTTTTTTTTTGATGAAATATACCTTGTGGTGTACTAATTTGCCGGCGAATGGGGGAAATGACTTTGGCACCATTCCATGTAGTTTCATTCTCCTGATAGTCTTGGTCACCCGGTACAACAGCGTATCGTGCCCCGTTGTTCCGGCACGTACGCAGCTGCAGTTGTCCGTTGTTGTTCTCTTGGTTGACCGGCGGAGCAGAACGAAGCACCTGTTGATGTGGTATAAATTCATATCTCGATGAGCCTGTTCTTTGCAATTGAGCTCGCTCAGCAGCATCGTCCTGAATGTATTCATATCTCGAGGATTGTACATTGTAGGTCACCCGTTGTTCTTGAACCGGAAGACTGCCATATCTTCTGTGACTAGATGATGTTGTTGATGATGATGATGATGATGCTGTTGTTGCTGCTGCTGGTGGTCCCGTCTCTTCGAGATAACAATAACGCTCTTGAATTGAGTGATTATTTCGCATTTGTATCTCGGCTGCAGTTTCCGGCTGACTTTGAAAGGCAGCATTAGTTTGTCCATATTGATGATGTTGCATCTGCAGCTGTTGTGGCGGTGGAGGTGGGGGAAGATCGTCTCCCTGAAATTGTGGAGGTGGCGGGAGATCATTTCTGTCATCATGAATGAACTCGGATTGTCGGCAAAAGGATGGATTTGTATAACAGTGCACTGGCGTTGGTTCATTTGGATGATTCATTTTTGCTTATTCTTCTTCGTCTTCTTTTTTTTTTTTTTTGTTTCTTTTTGTCCTTTGTGTGCAGTTTCTTCTTTTGAAAGCTGATTCCAATCAATGGGGAAAGTTGAAGTCACATTATTTGACCCCGGACCGGTTCACTTGAATGACACTGTATATGCATAGCCGATCATTGAACTGCTTGGAATGCATTTAATTCGTAGCAGTTTGTTTTTATATGATACTTTGAATTTTATTGACGACGATTTATCAGTAAAATGATGATACTACTGACGAAGGTGGGGGTTTGCCAGGTTGCCAAGGACCGGGTCACGGACGGACGTAGCGGCGCTACTGGTCTCTGAATTTCCGAAAAGCTCTTTATGCACATTTTTATTTTTCTTCTTTTCAATTTTATTTTCCTTTTTTTTTAAATTTGTTTTTAACTTTCGATTTTTGAGAATTTATTCTATTTTCACTTGTTTCTTTGTTGTCTTCTATGTTCAATTTTCATTTTTTAAAAAATGATTTTTTGAATTTTCACTTTTTTCTTTTTTTGTCTTCACTTTAAATTTTTTCTTCACTTATTCCCTTCATTGTGTTTAGAATATTTTGTCGATTTCACTTCATCCTTGATTTTCACTTGCTTTTCTTTTTGGTTTATTTACTTCCTTTATCTTTGGTGGTCTTTGTGTTGAAATCAATTTTCTGGCACTTTTTCAAATTGCTTTTAAAAATATTTTAAATTTGTTTCTATTATTTTGAGAAAAAAAATTGTTTTTTCTTTTTTGAATTTGGAACACTTTTCTTTTCTTTGTAGACGCGGGAAACTTGTGTGTTTATATTTACTGAAGAGTGGAGGAAATTGTGAGTGCAGTTTATTGAAAGGAAGATTCGTTTGCAGTATTATTACCGTTACTTCCTTGACCTGAACTCGACGGTTGCTGCGAACAAACTGCCTGAATATTCCCTTGTAGCAGATGCGCAAAGGGCGTTTCGCTGGCTTTTAATGCGACTGTTGGAGTTCCAGGATGCAGAGGGGTTGCAATACGGGCCCCGAATGTCAACTTCGTGGGGTAGGGACACGATATAGTCGACTCGAATCGAATTCTTTTTAATGCATTAGGGGGGTGCATTTAAATCACCCTGTAAAATAGAAAAATACGTTGGAATTACTAATATATTTTGAAAGGGAAAATCTATTAGTTTTTTATTTGTCAGCATTAAGTAGAAAATATTATATTTTAAATAAATTAAGTACTTCTCAAAAAATTGAAGATTTCTATAATTGAATCATGAAAAATGGTAAAATTAATTTTTCAATTTTTAAAGAATTTATTTAATTTGCTAAAAATATATTGTTTTTAATTTTAAAGGTTAATAGTTCAATTTTGAATTTTTATTACATTTATGTAAAAATATATAATTTTTTAATAAATTATCAAAAAATAAGTATAAAGAACTGTAAAAAGAATCATTGGGAAATATTCTAATTTTTTCTTTGACTATTTTTTTATTTTTTAATTTTCTTTCAACTTTTTAATATATTGATATTTATAATTTGTTATTAATTTTCTTTTTAAATATCTTTTTAATATTAATTGAAATGCTTGGCACCAAATTAAAAAATGAAAATAGTATTTCAAGAAAGGTGTTTTTTAAAAAAGGCTATAAATATACAGGTGGCACGCATGGCAGATTAACATTTTGAAACCTTCCATATAATACCTGCGAAGGTTCGTAATATTTTTTTTCCGGTATTTCTGTATATATATATGGTTCTAAAGTCATAGGGAACTTGGGTTGTTGAGACTGTAGGTAATTTTCTGGACAGCTGCTGCGACCGTTGGACGCGTGCCTCAATCGTAACAGCTGCCCCAATACTGATGTTCGTTGTGTATGAATACGCACATCCAATCCTTATCGATATCCTTCGAGAGTCCTTTTAAACTGGTGCAACGGTCGAAAAGTCATCAAACGATTTTTGTCTTTACAATTTATTATTTTAAATCTTCAATAATGCATTTTTTTTTTGCACCAAATTATTTTCTGCAATTGTTTCATTATTTATGAAGGAACAAATTTAATTTAATTTCCAAAAAAATTTTGTTTTCATTAAAAAACAAATTCTTTTTTTTTTCAAAAGAAATTTTTTCTCTTTTGTCAGAAAAAAATTTATTTTTACGAAAATGTTTTCTTTTAGAAACATACTTTTTTTTCTTCCTTTTCTTGTTTTTGCAAAAATTTACCTTTGAGGCCAATAAATTCTCTTGGAAATAATTTTAAATCTTTCAAAATTAAAGTAAACCAATAATTTATAGTGAAAGCACTTTCAAAGTAATTTTTATGAAAATCTGAAATAATTTCATAAAAAAAAATTGTTGAGTGTTTTTAAATCGACATAAATTTAAATTATATTTTAAAAATATTATGTTCCGCTTGATACAGATTCTTTTTTACATAACATAAAACCGATAAATCTCAAAGTTGTGTATTACAAAAGCGTGAGCGATCGTTGTATTCGTTCTTATAACATAAAATTAAGTTAACAAGTAATTTTGTAGTCATGATAAATTATTTTGCCGTCATTATTGCTTCATGTTATTCACAAAGATTCTAATTCAAAATCGATACTTTCTAATTCAAGCCATCATCATCATTTCTATTCTTTTTTTTATTGTCAAATAAATATCACATGAATTCACGTAATTGATTTTAAAATATAGTATTTTAGAAACATTTTTATGAGTAAAATTTTTTTAACAATTTAATAATTATTGTTTAGTTGATTAACATTTTTTTTTTGAATGGTTATAAAAAATTAAAAAAAATTAATTTGGAAATTATTTAATTGTTAATTATAAAGTTGTGCTTGCTTTTTTTTGGTCAACTTTCCTTAATAGGTGTCGAGCGACTCGTTTTCATTCTGGTCTAAGAATTAATCCGGTTTTTGATCCTAAGGTTGGTTTAAAAAAACGAAAAATAAAATTCAGATGTGCTTTCTGAACGCAAAATTTTTAAGGAATGTGAATGATATTTAAATGAAAAACCAGATTTATAAAATGTGGATATCGCGATATTTTATAGACTTATTTGAAAGAATGTCATTTGAGAAAATTAAAATTATTCACTATCGGTTGTAGGAAATTTATTTAAAGTATAAAAATATGAATTTTTTTTTCTTTCTTCAAATTTATTGAAGATCCGGAATGCTACTCTTATTCAAGGAAGAGAGTAAAGTAGCTTGAAAATTATAGGACTGCCTTCCGACAATTTCACTTTGTACATTTTTTTGTTGGTGTTTTTTTTTTAAAGTCTCTCATTAAGTGTATCGACAATGGAGATAAAAGTACGTTTTATTTTCTACTTGAATGCACTTCATTGATTGACTTTTTCCCCCCTTTTTTAAACCTGGCTTTGAGAAAGTCAGTTTTTATTTTACATATATACTTTTAATATATTTATGTATATTGATAATATATTATAATTTTTATTATTTGAATTGAACTAATTTCTTTAAATATTAATAGTTTGCGATTCGGGATTGAAATAATAGTAATTGAAGAAGATATATTTTTTTTCATTTCCGTAAAATTTTTTTAATTAATTTTTTTGTAAAATGAATTTTTTTTATAACGACAAAAAAGCTATAATAACCTCAATATTGTAAAATTATAAAATAATAAACTTAATTTGATCATCTTCACTTTTAACGTGAACTCAATCACGTAGTATAATAATAATAATAATGAAACACGTGGTTATTTTCCTTTTATGAAAGACAAAAAAAAAAAACTTTCTCCAAGGGAACAAAAGATTTGAAAAAATTACATTTTACGTATATTTAAAACACCAAAAATTATAATTTTTTTTTAAAACGAATAAATATTTTTTCCAATATAAAACATAAATGTTATTAAAATATAAATATTAATAATACAAAAGCATTAGTTACATAATTTAAAGTAAAGAGAAATATAAATAAATAATATAAAGATATTAAAAATTTAATTATTTTTTTCTTATACTTAAATATTGTAAATTATTATTTAAATTATTTGGTATAAACCACTAATTACCTGACAATGAAGTGATTTTATGTTATAGGCACAATAATTAAGAAATGTTTTATATTGCAAAACAATAAGTATATAACTACTGGAGTAAAAGTACATAATTTGTTAACTGTGAACAATTGACTGAGTGAGTATTTAAAAAATTATAAAGGTAAATACTTTTCAAAAGGAAGGGGTTAAGTTTCCATTTATATACAAATATATATTTATTTGTAAAAATGGTAAAAAAATAGTCCTTCTTAAGAAAATTGCAACTAATTTTTTAATCATCGACTAAAAATGTATTGTAATTAGTAATCAGACATAATCAATGGAATTCCTAATTAGTGAATCAGAATTCAATCACTTAGAATGCATATATATATATACATATAAATATGTAACCTTGACTTTTCTCGAAAGTATGAGTTAAACTACAACAATTGATTAGATTTTTAGTTTAATTCGCAAAAATTCCTAGTATTTTGTTTAATATTTTTTATTTAATTATTTCATATTTAATAATTATTTATTAATTTATCTTATTAGTTATTTAACAAAAATTCATTATTTTGCTTTATTATTTAATATTTCAATATTCATATTCAATTATTTTTTATTTATAATTTTCTTTTTTTGTTATAATTTTTTTTTATTGTAATTTTAATTTTATCTAATTCTTAAATTTTGTTTTTTTTGCATTTTGATATTAAAAAGAAATTATATGAAAACTTTTTTGTTTATATTATATTTTGAAAAATATTATATTGAATGTGGAGGGATGGACGAAATATCTTTTGTAAATGCTTAAGAAAGTAGGCAATGACGTTTAATATATATTATCTTTGTTCAACAATAAAGGTCAGTCTTTCCTAGATTCTTACGTGTTGAAGACCCTGAGACTATTTTGCTCGCTGAGAGACCTTTGATTATTATGCTTTTCTCACACTGTTTGTTTCTTTTTTGTTTATTAATTTGCATTTATGTTTTATTTAATCAATTTTTGTGTTAATTATTAATTAATCCATAATTCGTTATTAATTGTTCATACATTTTTTTAACAATATATTACTTAAGTAAAAAAAAAAATTTAAATTAAAAAAATGATATAGAAATCAAACGAATTGCTTTGAATATTTATTTGAATGGAATACATTTTTATACTGAAAAAAATGTTTCTTCACATCAAACAAATTAAATTGAGATAATTATTTTATTTGGATAAAACATTATTTTTTCAAGAATTCTTGAATAAAGGAATAAATAGTTGTATTTAATTTACCTTTAGGAAAATTCGATTCGTTGATTTGTTATAATTTATTTTATTTTTATTTGAATATTTGGCGCCTGTTTTTTATAACGTGCACACAGGTGTGTTCATTATATGAATTAGACAAAAGCGACAATATAAATTCAAGTATATATAATTTATTTGAAATGAGAGTTAAATTTAAAATTCAAAAGAAAAAAAGGGCCGTGTCAATTTAACAGTGTGAACGACGCCTAGTAAAGCATATATACAAGTTGCATCTATCTGTCGATCTGTTGTCCCTTTCACTACTGCAAGTCGATCGCGTGGGAGGTCGAGACTTTGTATTTCATAGTAATTTCAACTGCGGGACTAGTCTTCGTCTCCATATAGTTTAGTTTTAAACTTGCCGTCTCTATCAAAGAAGATCTTTCTCTCTCTCTCCATCACTTGCGCGAATTACCAGTCAAGAAATCAAAAAAAAAAAAAAATTTAAACGATTTATATTCACGCGACTTTCCGCATTTATTTTCATCGTGATCCTTTTTATCATACAACGTGACCGAAGAATCTCAAACCCACGTGACATAATAATCAAATATTCATCGATTGAACGAAAAAACGAAATTTCCACTAAAATTGACGATTAGAAGAAAAAATTTTCAACAACAAAAAATAAAAGCATTTTTAATTTAAAAAATTAAATTAAAATAAGAAAAATAATTGAAAAATGGAAAAATAAAACAGAAAACTAAAATAAACCCAAGAAATAATGATCAGTGATTATGATTTCAGCATAAAGTTCAGTGATCAGTGAATAATCGAAAAGAGTAATATTAAATTCGAGGGAAGAAGATTTCTCATGCACGAATAATGTAACGAGGTCCAATCGGCGCTTTTATTACACAACGGAGAAAAAGAAGAAAGAAGAGAAAAAAAAGGACAGAACACGGTGCCATAGTTATTAAATTGCCTGAGACTCGTGGTTGACTCGAAACAATCTTTTATACTTATTGCACGAGTCGTGAGTAAATTTTTTGATCCTGTCTTTGTTTTCGTTGACACATTGCACAAGATTATATAGAAAGTAAGTTGACGTGCGCGGAGAAATCCCTACAATACTCTTGTCTCACCGAGAAGATTCAATTAAGTAGCAAAACACGAGTGATGATTAGCATACAACGCTAATATACACAAGTCAAAGATTACGAAAGTATATATATATATACACGAGATATAATCTATACGAGAGTTCATAAAGGCATAAATATAAAATTACATCCAACTATATGTAATCGAGCATTAAATTGTATAAAAAAAAGTTCAAAAAATATTAAAAAGAAGTTTTAAATTAAAATTTCAGAAAAAAAGAAAAAAATCAATTCAATGATTATGAAAAAGTAAATGAAGAAATAAAATGAAACTTGCAAATGCAAATTTAAGTAGATCAGGACAAATAATTTGTTTATGAAAAAAAATTTCAATTTTCTCTATTCGAATTTTTTGGAGAAAATGTTTTTCTACTCTGAATATTGTTTTAAGTGATAAAATAATGAAAATTTTATAAACAGGAAAACGTAAAAGTGATTTTCTTAGATTTTATGTCAAAAAAATAAATATAACTGTGTAAGTGGACTATCTATTATAATGAAGTGTATGAAACTGGAGTGAATTTCAATCCGTGAACTACCAAAACTAAAATATTCAGCAATGTGCATTGGAGAATTTGTAAAAATTCACAAAAATATGAGTAAGTGCATTAAATTTGAAAAAAAAATGTAATCTTGAACCATAAAATTTTATTTGTTTTAATTTTATTTTTATAATAATAGCAATTGCATCCAATTATTGACAGAATTAAGATGACAAATTTTACTAGTAAAGGTAAAAGCAGTTTTTAAACACTAATATTATTAAATAATTTTATTCAATTAGAATAAAAAACTCAAATTTGCGAATGTTTGTTCGATTTTATTTATTTTACAGAAATTTTTTAAATTATATTTTATTTTTGTACATTATTTTGGCAACAAGTGGGAAAATATTGTTAAAAAATTTTTCATGAATAGATTTTTAAAATATTTTTGTAAGTAATTTTGCTATTTCGATTATATCGAACTAAACGATCAAATTGTCCCTAAAAGGTATTGAAGTTAAAGATTATTTATTTACCATAATAAATATTATTAACATTTCTTTCCAACCGTTTCAGTACTTAATTTTTTTTTGGGACTAAAATGAAAATTAAAATGCGGGAAAAATAAAAATATCTTATCTTTTTATTTAAAATTTTAATTTTATAAAAAAAACACAAGGTAATCATAAATAAAATTTAAAAAGTACTGAAAAAAAATAATTTTATACCTAATTCAAATTTCTGTCCAGAAAAAAATTTGTTTATTAGTATTTTCAACTTTATAAACTAAAAGTAACATAGACAAATTATTAAAAAATTAATTTTTTAATTTGTTTAGAAAAAAAATTATTCAGTACTTATTTTGTAACAAAATATATATAAAATTAAGTTCCTAGCAATAATTGGATGTTATATGTAACATATTTATTTTTAAAAAATAAAACAAAAACAATAAAATAAATAAATAATAATAATAACAATAAATAAAATAAAAAAAAATTGTTTCGCGTGAAATTAAAATAAAGATCCATAATATTATTGACAAAGATTAAAATATTACGTTTTATTCATTATAAACAATGTAAAAAATAATTAAGAAACTATATATAAAAATTAAGTGTAGAAATTTATTTTTACACATATTTTTGGGATCTCTGAATTTTTTCCAATTCTTGTTAATATAATTTTTATTTTCTCAAAATAATGAGGATTAAAAATTAAAATAGAAAAGAAAATTTATATTGAAAAACTCTTCTATTGTTTAATTTTTATTCATTTCAATTTGTTAGGTATTTTAATTTCCATTTATTAAATTAAGTACCTGTTTGTTAAAAAGATTTTGTTTATTTAAATTGTCTAGCATTAAGCATAAATACAAGATTTATTCAAATTGTTGTCATTTTCATTTTTTCGAATTTTTAATTATAATTAAAAATGTAATAATATTTAATTAATTTATTTTTTTATTTGCAGTTAATTATAAATAATAAATCATAATAAATAATTTTGAATGATATTAAAATAATTTTTAATTATTCTAAATTTCATTTTTTAAAATTGATGTTCTAGTTCTTATAATATTCTTTCACTTTTTTTTAGAAAGTGTGAAAAATGAAATGATAACATTTAATTTTTTTATATGGAAATTTCCATCAAATTAAATGAAAAGTTTAAGTAAAAATTTTGAAATAAAAAAGTAGATAATGAATAAAGAAATAATAGAAATTTCACAATTTATTTAAATTTAAGAATTTCGTCTTACCTTTATCCTATTTATATTTTTATTATTTATTAATTCTATTTAATTACATAAGGAAATAAATTTTGGTTCCAAAAATACAAGTTTTATTTTTTTGTGTAAAATATACATACGTAAAAATGATTTTTTTTTTCGTAAAACAAAAAGATCTTCCAAACGTAAAATGAAAATTCATGAATGAAATATTTTGGATTTTTACTTTAATGTTCACTATAGAATAAAAATATAAAGTTGAATATAATTGACAATATGAAATTAAAACAAGGGTCTCTTTTGGTAGGTGGTTCACGGTCAAGTGCATTGAAGGCAGGAAACGTCGATGGACTTCCTGCGTTGGAGGGACTGGAGTGATTTACAATTCAATACACCGGACTTGAGGAGGAGTCACTTTCAATTTTATTATAAAAAAAAAAAAAAAAAAAAAATTTATTTTAATAATTGAAAAAAAATGGAGGAGGTATATATCATAAGAATAAAGACGAAACCACTTCTCTCGTCCCTTTATCCTTCGGAGAGAAGGTATTCAGCGTCGACAGTTGGTGGTTTAGCGATGGTTCACTTTGGACTCGGTGTCCTTGCCCTTTTACTTGGATCGCTTGCTGGTCTCATTCAGGGTCCAATTTTGGCTCTCTTTTGTCTGATACCGTTTATTTCCGGTCTACTAGCTTGGAAAAAATGGTACATTGACCGCAACATAGGTCTCTTCTTTTATGGCAGTCTCATATCATTGATCGTTGCATTATTCTGTTTGGCTGCAACTATTTTTCATATGATTACAATCCTTCAGGGAAATGACACTTCTTCTTGGTCCATGGAGCATATATTTAATTTTAATTCATCAAATGGATCTCTTAATGCTTTTGCCAAACATAATAATTCATCGTTCAATGATGAATTATCAATCGATAGGATAAATTTTAATGATAAAATTTTAAATGACAATTCATCGGATGATGAGGATGATTTTAATTTACCATTTAGAAGGATTGACACATTAGATGATCTTGTGGCGGAATCGTCTATGATTGAGGAGAAAAGAATTTTTGGTAATGACGTTGTGAATAAAAGTGGATTACCGGAAATGATGAAAGTTGGAGAAAATGAGGATGGATTATTACATTCGAAATTATTGTTGGCTACAAATGTATTAGTGGCATCATTATTGGAAGTGGCTTGGTCGTTTTTGAGCGCAAGAATTGGACTACGTGGAATGATAAATCGTGTTGAAACCATTTATGGTGGGGGTGGAAATGTTACAATTGGTAATAATAAAAAACAGAAAATTGGTTGTAAGAAGAAGAAAATGCAAGCACCAAGACCGGACATACTCAGTCATTATCAAAAGAATTTTGGTAGTTTGCAGAGTTTGAATTCCTTTCAAAGTTCCATAAATTCGGGACCAAGACTTCCGTTGCCGGAATCCAGTAGAGAATTTCGGGAAAGGGTCGAGAGATTCTTGGTCAATCAGGCCGCTTCACAGAATTGTTGAAAAAAAGAAAATATTACGGTTCTCGAATCCTTTTTTTTTCACCGTAGATTCCCTCCGAGATGTAATTTAATAATTAAAGAAAGATTTTAATTACATTTTAAAAATGAAGAAAAAAACACAATTTTTAATTATTATTTTTCTTTTTATTGTTATTAAAATTTCATTGTTAATTTTATTAATTAAAAAGCATTTAAAAACTTTGAAAATTTTTTTTTTTTAATTTTGTTTTATTTTCAATTTTAATGATTATTAAGTGTTTAAAAATGTAACAAAAAAAAAAATTTATGAATTTAGATCGTTTTAAGAAGACGAGAGACGATTATATTTTTAGGTAATAAATTGTAATGTAATTTTACTCTTCCGATATTATACCGAACGATGGTGTGACTATCATCAACTTTACCTTGATATGAGATATTTTTTACATTGAAGATTATGTAATGAATATTTACATAAGTAATAGATTTGAATTCTAAGAATCCTGCAATAGCGTAATTAAGTTTTTTAAATATATATTTTTTTTGAATGATAAAAAAATAAGGCGTTAACAAGAAATATTTTCGATAAAATATTTTAATTATTATAAATAAAATAGTCAATAAAGAAAAAAAAATTGATGTATGTACTTATATATTGATGTAAAAAAAATGAGAAATATATAAAAATATTAAAAAAGCTAAATTAAAATATTATTTTTTTAATAGCAAACGATTTGTAAAAATAGTTTTATTTGCAATTCACATAATATGAAGCGCAACAATTGATTCTTATTTATAGAATTATTATAATAATCACGATTTATGCTCTTGTATAAGTTTGTTCTTTTATGCAAAATATGAAAAAATACCCAAAATATGATCAGCTAAATTGATTTAAAATTTTCATTAAAATAATTAAACTATTATTAATTTAAATAATTAAATCTGATTAAATGCAAATTCGAAAATCGTTTTGATTTTGCATTTTTGTTTTTTAATTTATAAATGTGTAATTTTTCATAATATTTGAAGAAAATTGTCACAATCTTGTAATAGAAAAAAAAATGTAAATATATTTACATTAAATATATTTAAATATCAATATTTTACTTTTTTTTGAAAATTACTGACAGTAATAATAATCTATTTACATTTTAATAGAGTTATAATTTTGTAACGTCTAGTCTTTCAACCGGAAATCAATATAACATGAAATAATTATTATTCGTGAATTATTAACTCTATTATTTCTGGTTCACTCTCTATTATTTTACCATAATTCCTGCCAATCATATTTATCTCCAATAAAATCTCTACAAGAAGAATATCTATTTCTCTATTTTAGAGTTGTGGAAAATTTAAATTATGATTCAGACTTGTTCATAAATAATTTATAATCTTTGCGTATAATATTATTTTTAAAATCGTCGATTTTAGTTTTTTCAATCATTAAAATTTATAACAGAAAGTTATAAATAGAAACTCCCCTTTTACTATTTTGGGTTAATTATTTTATATAATAATTATTTAGTAGATTATTCATTATTGAATAATAATATTTTATTATTGTTATTTTATTTTCAACATAAAATAACAACATAATCGTAATAATTAAAAAAAAATTTAATTATATCATTTAATATCTAAAAATTTATGTTGAATTGTGTTTATATTATTGTTTATTGTACATTTCAATGTGAACTAAAGCAATTGCACTTTGTTGATTTCGATATATATCTTTTGCAATCTGATATTTCCCAATGAAGTAGTAGGTGCGGTAAAAAAAATACAAACAGTCGACAGAAGTAACACAAAAGTCTAGATCTCGTGTTTCTATCTAATGCCATGAGTTTTACATCTATTTATTTTATTTATTTTTAATTAATCTTTCCATCGTTTCTTTCAATTGATCAATAATTGATTATTTAATAGAGACAATAGAATTGTAATGTATCTGAAACAATTGTTTTTATTCCAGATAAAGTAAATTTTTCTCTATCACTTTTCCGATTATATTATATAGATAAAAATATTAAAATTTTACCGAACCTGATTAAGAGATAATAAGTAATTAACATTAAAAACATTTTAATTTCATGATTTATGATTTTCAGTTTAATTAATAACTATACAACTTTTAACAGAATATTGTTATTATTATTATTATTATTATTATTATTATTTGGATAAATAATTTCAACAATAATAGTTTATTTTACAAAACAAAGCTTTATTTTAATTGATAATACACACAATACATCATTTGGGCAACATTTGGAATTTTGATACAATTCCACAAAACGTTACCGTAAATGAAGAATTTAAAATTAAAAATTTTTTTCGTGAAAATTCACATTTCTTTTTGAAGATTTGCTTTTTTTTGTTAGAAAATATTTTTTTTTATGTTTATTATACAAGAGTGCCCACAGATCTTGTGATTTTGTTTTTTTCTTTTAATTCACGCTAAGAAAAATGTTAATTAAAAATAAAAAAAAAAAGATTATTAACATAAAATATTTTCTGATATACTTATCAAATTGATTCATTCTAAGTAGCACCGTTTATTGTCAACTTGCATTAAAATCCTAAAATATACGATTATGTTCACAAAACTTGTGGAATGTCTTGTATATATGTATATATACGCTTTTAAAATTATTCTCGCCACAATTTCGATAATTTTTTTTTTTTACTTGAATATTCGATAATATCTCTAACTATTCTATTTCATAAAACAATACTTTTATATTTTTTTTTTATTTAAGTATTGTCCTTGGTCCATTGCGAATTTCAAGATTCGCCTCGATTGTTTCAATAAATTAAATCAATCATCCTTTCTTGAAATTAATTAATTATAATATAATTTAATCACTCATTAGTGAATAACGAGTATGTAATTTGTGACATTATAACAAATGGGCGTATTTTTCTATATATATATTTTTTTTTTTTAAATATATTTCCACACATGATAGAACTATTATTACTCTTCAAGTAATATTCTAAATTATAATATTATTTTTTTTTTGTAAAATAAACAATAATCGCACAAATACTTGTTGTAAAAATAATGTACTTTGCTTTCAACAAAGTTGATATGCTCACATATTTCTATTTATACATTGTCAGCTATAATTAATATTTCTCTTTAAAATAAAAACTTGTCACATTTGCAATAAACAATCAATGTTGAATGTCACATTTTTTAAAAATTAAAAATACAACAAATTAATTTACTCTAAAATCTATTATTTAAATATAAACGCTGACTCGGCAAATTATTTAAAAATATTCTTTACGAACGAACAAAGCAAGAAATATATTTTTTTATTTTTTTAAATAAACTACATTAAATTGTAATTTATTTCTCGTCATGAGAATTATTTAGAGACACATTTAAAGCAGAAGTAGATATCGCAGATTGATGCAAAATTATAAAAATTCTATTGGCCTTGTTGAACGATTCAGTTATAATTTATTAATAAATATAATTATGTAATGTAAGAAAAAATTAATTAAATATTAATATTTAATGATTATTTGAATAATTTCGTTGATAATTAATGCTAATTTAAATTAAATAACGAATATTTTTGTTTAGAAAAAAAAATTAATTTAATTATATTTAAATAATTTTCCAAACATTTTTGAAAATTATTATTCTTTAGAAGTATTGTTAAAACTATATTTTACAATTTATTATTATTAATTGTTGATAAAGAATGACTGAAAAATTCAACAAATGGCATACATTTTTTTTTTTCTAAAATGCGAAAAGTATTTGATTTTTAGTAATAATATTATCAGATACTTTACGAATGTTTATATGTATATTCACATAGTACATACTTCTCATAATACGACGGAAATGCTATTTAATAATTTGATGTAATTTTTACCTATACGATATTAAAAACATACGCATTTCGACCTCTTCTATACTATCAAAAGGTCGACCCTGACTTTAATAAGAGTAAAGCACATGTTTGTACATGGACGTTTCGAGCGACAGTCGACAAGAAAAAAGATATCTCGAATATAGAAAAAAAAAATTTTTTTTATAGTATCATTTATTTTTCATGCAATAAATCTATAAAGATGTAAATTGAATTTCTAAAAGTGTTTATTTTTTTGTTCGTTGAAATTGATGGACGTTTGTTTATCTTCAAAAAAAAAAAATTTTCCAAGTCTCATTAAATTTTCAGTCTCAAAAGTTAATTAATTCGCAAGTTAATTGTTTTTTGTATAAAAACAATTATTGTTTGGCAGCCTTTGTCATTGACTTATTTTTCATTTTTGATATTTTGTTTGTTTTTTTCAATAAAATGAATAATTATTATAAATTAAAATATAAAATGAAAATATTATACAAATAATTGCACTTTCTCTGGACAAGTGCAAAAAAAAAGTATTCGAGACATCTTTTAATCAAGTTCACGTCGTATATATTTCTCGACGATTGTTTGCTAATTGTAATTAAATATTGATACATAAACATAAATAGATTTGCATTCGGGATGATACGTACATTATAATTATATATTAATCAAAACGATAAAAATACATTATAATTTAATTACTCTATATTTAAAAACAGTCTATAGAATATGTATTTTTATTATCACGTTACTATGCGAGGAACGTTTTAACACACTCTCATAGACACACATCACGGATAGTCCTCTCTTATTTATGTAGCACTCATTAATTAAAAATTCCATCTCAAATTCCTCATATTTCAAGATTTGTTCGGTAATTTATTAAAAAAAAAAAAAAAAATTACATTATTATTTTCAATCTAACTAAAATACAACTTTCTTTTAGTTATATAAATTAATCTTATTTCAATTCAATTACTTTTAATCTCTCGCTTTTAATTTAATTAGATTGAAATTAAATTTTCAAATTCAGTTTAATTCAATTGAAGTCAAATATCAATTAAATTAAATGGAAGTCGAAATCTATTTAATTAACTTCTGAATTATATTCCAACTTGAAATTTCAAAATTATATAAATATTATTCGGAATGGATAAATATCTTCTAAATTTCATTAGTTTTTTATTTCCAGTGGATTGAATTTCTATTTTATCGAATTTTATAAAGTAGAATTAATATTTAACTGAATTTTTATTTAAGCAAAGTTTTGTTTAACAAAATTTTTATTACATTAAAATTTTATTTAAGTTAACTTTTTAAATTTTCATATAATAAAAATTTTATTTAACCGAATTTTTATTTAACAAAATTCATATTATTTAATCGAATTTTTATTTAGCAGAATTTTTATTTGCCAAAATTTTTATATTTAACAGAATTTTCAATTGGTCGTATTTTTATTTAACTGAATTTCTATTTTATCGAATTTTCAAATGTTTATACGTACAAATTCGGCAAAGTAGAAAAAAAATTCTATCAAATGAGATTTCTGTTTAATCAAAATTTGTTCAAATTAAAATTTTGTTTAAATAATTAAGTTCTATTGTACGGAAAATTCTTTTAAATAAAAAAATATATTCAATAGAATTTTGGTTAAATGGAAATTTAATTTAAATGAAAATTTATATAAATAAAAATTCTGGTTAGTCGTTATTCGATTAAATGAAAATTCTGTTATTTAATAATTTGGTTAAGTAAAAATTCTGTTACATGAGATTACCGCTAAATAGAAATTTATTTAAAAAAAGTTTTTTTTTTGCGGAAATTCTATTAAAAAAAGCAATTTTTTGAAATGAACAAATGTGTATAAATGAATCCGTTATGTAAAAATTAAATTGAAATTTTATAAATAAGATTATTAAATTAGAATTCGACGAAATTAAAATTATTCCGTACGGAAATTTGATGAATTATGAATTCTACTTTATAAAATGCCATTAATTAAAAATTTTGTAAACACTGGAATTTCTAACTAATGGATATTTTTTTTTTGAAAAATATTTATTACAAATTCGGAATTAAATTTAATATTTTGAAGATGAATTTTCCAAATTCATAACTAAACTAAATTTTCCAGTAAAACTATAATTGAAACTAAAGAAACTCTTAATTTTAGAAAAAAAAAACCTAAGAAAATATTTTCCTAAATTAGAAATGGCAGAAAATTTCTAAATTTGTAGAGAAAAAATTTTTTTACCAGATTGTCAGACATTAACGGGTCGAACATTATCATCGGAATGTTGTTGCTGTTGTTGTTCAACAGTTTGCCAAGTAGAATCCAAAGTTGTCGAGTCATTTAAACAACATTGGGGTGGTGATTCTTCTTCCTTATTGTTTCTGTAGTCTCTATATTCTCTCTCTCTATTTCTATCTCTTTCGCATTCCCTCTCAATATCGTCTTCATGAAAATAAGACGATGTTGTGGGTGTTTCTTTATGTTCATCATCTACTTTTGATGAATAGTAAGCATAACGTCCTTGTTGAATGACTTCGTATTGTGCATCTGGTGCCAAATAGGGACCTCTTGCATTTCTTGTTTCTTCAGTGTTTGAATAACTATTTGATGGCACATCAACTCCATCGGGAGGAAGTGGAAGCGGATGTCTTGATCGTTTTGACAGCTGCCTCTTGCCAAGACGAGCTGCCAAATAATCCACACCCTCGGGACGTTCAGCAGCTAAAAATATCAAATCAATTTTTGTTTTTCTGCAAATATTTGTCTATTTACTTTCTCATAGAGAAAATATTTTTGTTTTTTTGCAAATATTTGTATTTTTGCTTTCTCATAGAAAAAGTATTTTTTTTTTTTGGCGTGTAATAGAGTAAAAATCATTGTTTGAAATAAGTTAAATTTTTCGGAAAATGGGAAAATAATAATTTAATTTTGTTTATCAAAATATTATTATGGATGAAAATTTTTTGCATAATGTTTTTTGGTAAATATTCTCTAGGAAAATATTTTCAGTATATATTGAAAAATAAAAGAATTCATATATATATATATATATAAAGATGTCATAAAAAGGAAGAAAATAATAATCAATTTATACTGACCATCTTTGTCAACGGCAAGATCGTAAAAGCTACTTTCTGGTCCACAACAAGAAGAAACATCCCCAAAGTATAATTCACTTTCAGATTGCTTTGGAGCTGGATTTGGTTCTTGTTGAAAGGCGCCGTTTTCGACTCCCTTCAGTGGTTTTCTCAATCGTCTGCTTTTAACGGTGCCCTCGTTTCCACCCTCCGGATCAGTGCTGTTAGAAATCTCCTCGGTGTTTTCGTAATTGTCCGATGGTCGTTTCGTTACCCGTGGTCTATAATCTGACAGCAACGAAAAATGTGTTTGGTTTTCTTTTGCTGTATTAGTTTTTATGTGAAAGCCAGTCACCAAATAATTTTTTTTTTTTTTTCAATTTCAAGCCCATTCAATTATAAATTTAATTACTTCTTTTTTCTTTCATATTAGTCAATTTTGAAAAGCAAAATAATTTTACTGTTATATTTTACTTTTTCGTACTTTTTTTAAAAAAAGATTTTATTTTTTTACAAATATAAAATAAAATCCTCTACAATGATAAAAGAATTTTAAAAGTAACAAAATATACTCTAACCAGAATTCAATCTCATAAAAAGAAAATATTAATTAAAGTTTTTTTAAAAAAGGTTGGAAATTTAAATAAACGGTGACTGACATAGACGAATATAATTAACTGAAAATAAATAAATAAAGAATATAAATTTTGAGTACTGAGTATAAGAATTGTTTAATGTCCCTGAAGTTTTAAACGATCATGTGAATATAATTTATTGTTGTCATTGAGAAAAAGAATTCTGGTTATTTTAATCTCACACAGTTAAAAAAAAATTGAATTTTTTTTCACAGGTTAAATACATTATAACCAGATGTTTTTCCTAATTTCTAGTGAAAGAAATTTCATTTTGTAAAATGTTCCTTGAACCAATTATATTTATTGTAGAATTTGTGTTCTACTTTTTAATTTATCTAAATTTTTGTTAGCAAAATTCCCATTAAACCGGATTTTTTATTAGGTAGAATTTTTATTTAACAGAATTTCGAGTTTGATGAATTTTTGAAATGTTTTTTATGACCAAATATAAAATTTCTTTCAAATGAGAATTTTTTGATATTTTTAATATACATACTTACATATGAATGTTTGATGAAAATTAAAATTTCAATTAAATAGGAATCCTGTTAAATAAAAATTCGATAAAAATAAAAAATTCATTAAATGAAAATTCTGTTAAATAAATAAAATTATGTTAAATGAAAAATTATTTAAATAAAAAATTCATTTCAATAAAAATTCGATTAATTGAAAATTCGCAATTAGATCCAAATTTTGCTAAATGAAAACTCTTTTTTATTTATTTAATTATTTAACACAGAAACCCGCAGTTGTATGAAAATTTGAATTTCATTTGCCAAATGAAAAATCATTTAAATAAAAAAATCTGTTCAATAAAAATTTATTTAAATGAAAATTTGATTAATTAAAAATTCTGTGGTATGAAATTTGGTTTAATATGAAAATTCCTTACACTGGAAATTCGGACTAATGAGTTTTCTTTGGGGACGAATTTATTAATGAGTCCCGATTCATAGGAACTTTTAAAACTTCAAAAAGACTATATTTTTTATGATGTGGAAAAAAAAGAATATAGTTACCTTCATTGCTCTCGTAATTCTCCATTCTCTTAGAGATTCTGGGCCTTGATTCTTGCACTTGAGGCCTTCTTGCAGGACTATTTGGATCACTGTAGGGTGGTGGTGGACCCCAAAGTGGTACTGGTGCCTCCAAAACACTGTAAGAGGCAGTGCTCGCTGGATATTGTACATTTTGACTATTTAAAACCGTATATGGTCCGCTGGATTGTGAATTTAAAACACTGTATGGTCCAGTTGTATTTTCAACACTAGATTCCGCCTGCATTGCTTGTGCGTGAAATCCATAATTTGAATCTGGGCTCGGTGCTGGTCCTCGTGAACGACTCCAGGGCAAGCGCCATCTTCTACAAGAATAAAATTTTATTTTTCCCTTATAATTTGAAAATTTTCATTTATTTTATTAAATTATTTCAAATAGCAAAAAAAATGTATTTTACAAAACGTTAATTTTTTTAATTTCTTTTCAATAACTAAAAATTTGTTTTCTTTTCAAATAATTTACTCATTTTTCTGTATACGTCAATTAATATTAATAAATTGCTCAATAGTAAATTGACATTATTGGTATAGCAGGCTTCGAAGTGACACAATTTTTTACTTTTTTGATACTTTTTTTTCGACAAGGCTGTTTTTTTTACTACTAATTTTTACCAAAAGCCACTAAATGTTACTTTTTTCAAAAAATAATTTTAAAAATGACAGAATTCAAGAATTTTAAATTTTAGCGCATTTTTTTATTCTTAAAAGCTCGCCAAATTGATGATTTTTTATTGGCTGCGTGAACTACTGCTTTATATAATTATTTTTTACAGGAATTTTCATTTTTCAAAATGGAATTTAACATAATTTCTTTTTAAACGACCTTTTACTCAATAGAATTTTTAATTTGGCAAATTTTTTTTAACAGAATTTTTATTTTACAAAATTTCTCTTTACTCAACTGTTTTTTTTTTTTTTTTTTAATAATTCTAATTTAACCGAAATTCAGAGAATAATTAAATTTTAGAGTATTTTGAATTGAAAAATGTTTTAAATAATTGAAATGCCAAGATCTTGATTAAAGTTATTAGAAATAATTATTTCAACCAAAAATTTAAATCAAAATTTTTAATAATAATTGAATTTTAGGAGATTTTGAATTAACATTTTAGTACATTAGAATTGATGAAAATTATTAACAAAGTTTCAAACAGTAATTGAATTTTTGAATAATTGGATAAAATTTATTGAAATTATTAAATTTAGCAAAGAATTTTAGATACAAATTTTAGAAATAATTGAATTTTGGAAGACTTCAAGTTAAGATTTTTAGAAATAATTGAATTTTTGGAGATTTTTAATTAATATTGTTGTTTTAAAATACTAAATATATTTTATATAAGCTTCCGATTCTAATTTCTAGGATTTAAAAATTCGAATTACTTACAATTCTGCGGAATGAGAATTCTAATAAATTAAAAATATAAGTTAAATTAGAATTCTTTTCAAGAAACAGTTGGGCAAAGACAAATTTTGTAAAATAAAAATTCTGTCAAATAAAAATTCGGTACCTTTGAAAATTCCATTTGAGTAAACATTCGTTTAAAAAAATTCTGTGTTAAATGCTATTTTGTAAAATAAAAATTTATGTGAAAAATCATTTTTATGGAATAATTATACGCTCCTACCGTTGTGCCAAGAACAAAAAGTTAATCGAATTTTAACAATGGATAGTTTTTTTTTTTTTTTTTTTAATAATCAGGAGAAAAATGATGTTAATTTTATTACTCAGAATTTTTCCTACAATTTTTTTAGACAAGAAAATATTTACACTTTAACGTCAAACTTTAGAAAACTAATTTTACTTCATTTTAAAGATGCCACTTTTTTGATGGGTTTTTTTTTTTGAAAAATGATACTTTTTCATACTTTTCTTATTGTTAGTTTTTTACTACGCTTCGAAGCCTGGCAAAGAAAAAAATAAAAATTCATATTGCAACTTTTAATATAAATTATATTCCCTCGTGAAATTGTTTTAGAAAATAAAAGAAGAACAACTAAAAATCAAGTTTATTTACTTTTATCATATGGATAATATTAAAACGGAACTCGTTACGGTTAATGCTTGAGTAAAAATGATGATGTGTCGTCAGAAGAACTTGATTCCACTTTTTTCCATCTTTTTCAAAGAAAAATGAAATGCGAAAAGAAGAATTTTTGTGCTCTCCCAGCGCATAATCGCACAGAGAGATTATGAAAATATATGAATACCACGACGCGGCAGGAAAGACAGGCTGTGCAAAATATATCAGCGGCGCCTTTCTTCCATGACATTGAGTTTGAATTAAAAAAATTGAAAAAAATACAAGCTCCTCGGCACTTACGCTTTCTTCAAGTCCGCGGGAATGTCACTTTAATTAATGCCATACATTAATCGATTATACACCATTCCTCACTCTCTTTAGAATCATCACTATTTCAAAAAAGAGCAAAAAAAAAATTTTCATTCTAAACAAAGTGGAATGAAATAAAAATATTTCATTTGAGGAATTTTTTTATTATTGAATGAAATTGTGTATGAAAAATTGTAAAAAAAAAATGAAAATTTTCTATTACCTGGAAGGCGCCATGTCTGGATTGGGAGTGTACAAATTTCCTGGAGTTTGGGCCCACCAGGGACTTGTTCCACCGCAATCGCTACAGCATCCACAAGATCCAGTAACAGTTCTTACTGCACCCCCTTGACCATAAAGCGATCTGCATCTGAGTTCAAGTTGTTCCCAGTACATCTTCTTTTTCTCATGGCTCAATAATTGATATAATAGCATACATGAAAATATGCACACTAGAATTCCAGCTACTGATGTTCCAAATAAGGCTCTCAAACAAGAATATAGTGTCCCCTGAACTACTTCACAATGTGGTGTTGCTTCAAATGTAACATCAGGATCACCTCGATTTTGTGAATTTGCCCCATTACATGTACACGTTCTAAAATTAAAATTGCATAATATATTAATTTCTTTAGCCAAATTCAAAAACTCAACTGCTCTCTAAATTTTATTTTTTCGTAAATTTTTTTTACTAAATTTTGTTATTTTGCTTTGGGAAATTGAATCTATTCGTTTTTTTTGGCGAAAATTGAATGATGCAATTTTAAAAATGAAAAAAAAAATATAGAAATAAATTTTAAGATTAGGAAAGACAAAAAAAGTTCGGATAACAGAAGTTCGAATAAAATGTTTTACGGTTCGGATAACAGAGGGTTCGAATAATTGAGGTCCTACTGTATTTTGAATTAGTGAGTAAAAATTCAGTCACTAATTCAAGTTAGTTAAAATTTTTACTCATTCAGATTTAGAGAGTGATTACATTCATTTAGTAGAATAAATTATAATTTATTTCTTTTTTTAATTAAATCAAATTTTTATTATTTTAATTGAATGAATTCTTATTGTACAGAATTTTTATTTAACCATAACGTTTTGTTAGAGAGAATTTTTATTTGTACAAAATTTTGTTTATCAGAGTTTTCATTGAAGAGAATTTTAATTTAACAGAATTATTCTTTAATAATATTTCTATTTATTCAAATTGCTGATAAAAATAATTTTTAATTAATTAAATTAATATTTTACAGAATTTATATTTAACAAACATTTTATTTGGCGGAATTTTCATTAAATTGAATTTAAATAAAATCTGCTTGATAAAAATTCGTTTAAATAAGGAATTGAATTTTATTTAGTACAATTCTCATTTAAAAGAATTTATGTTTATCCGAATTTTTGATAAATATAATTTTTACTTGAATAAATTTCCAAATAGCAGAATTCACATTTAACATAATTTTTATTAAACAGAATTTCCGCGTCTTTCATTTTTATTTAACTAAGCACACAATTTCACAGATTTTCTATTTAACCAAATTTTTATTTAGCAGAATTTTCATTTAACGGAATTTTTGCATTAAGAAAAATTTTGATTTTAGCGAATTTTATTTTACATGAATTTTGGCATTGAATAGGATTTCTGATTATCTAATTTTTCAAAAAACAATTTTTATTTAATTAAATTCATATCTATTTAACAGATTCTATATTTAACTGAATTTTTATTTAAACTAAATTTCATAAAGCAAAGTTATCATTTAACCGAATTTTTATTCAGACAAAATTTTATTTAGTAAAATTCTCATTTAACTAAATTTTTGCATTAAAGTAGAATTTTTGCTTTTTCAACTATTCAAATAACAGTACAAATTTTTATATAACTTAATTTAGATATTTATACAGATTTGTTCTTTTATTGAATATCTACTTATCCGAATTGTAGCTCAATATAATTCTTAATTAATCGAATTCACATTTTACAGAATGTGGTTTTAACAACAAGTTTTATTTATCCGAATTTCGATTAAACAGAATTAAAAGAATTTCTGCTAAATGAAAATTCGTTAAAATTACATTTGCAATTTGAGATAAAGAAAATTTGAGATAATTGAAATTTATTTAAAAAAAAAACCATTTTTAATATTCGAACTGTGAACAATTGATTGAAGCTCTACAATTAGTCAGAGTTATTGTTCTATAATTATACTGTAATTACATGCATATATTGTTTGAAACAATGTTTAAAGTTACCAATCGGTGATTAAAATTATAATGGTAAAACTATACCATATTGTAATTTTTGTGTTTATCACAAGAATGTAATTGTTAAACAGATTCTCTAATACGAAAATCCACTTTATTGATGATGATAATAATAAAAAATAAATGGTAATAGTAATACAGCATTAGTGAAGCCATTAACTTTCGACAATAATTAATTTATGGAAAATGATAATTGATTACCAGAGGGAAGTGAAATAATGTATTATAATTTTGAAATTGAATAACTGGATGTATATAGATGTACATTGTACCATGCATTTATATATATATGTTACGGTCAAAGACCGAAATTGGTCATTCTCCGAGAATGACCGGTCAATGTCGACATTGCCAAAAATCGTTGGTCATTGTCGACATTGTCCTGAAAATTTTACCAATGCTTATAAATATTTGACAATGCCCAAGCATTGTTGACAATGACCGGTCATTGTCGACATTGCCTAGTCACGTTTGGGCAAAGTTGTTAATCGTAATAAACAGAAAGGAATAAAAGGAATTTATTAAAATTAAAATTTATTTAAAAGGATTTTGTAATTAATTTATTTATTGCAGCATGACAAGCTACCGTGGCATTTAGAATTGCATCTTTTGTCCTGTTTTAAGCCTCGTCGAAACGATCTTTAAAATTGTTGGAATCCATTTTTGCGCGCAGAAATCGAGTGTTTCTGTACCGACAATATTAACGGCAAACTAATCACTATGAACTTCGTTTATTTTGATATGACTGTAATCAATACATTATTGATGGCTCGATCACAAATGAAATTCTATTAACTTTGTTTATATCATTAACAGCGTATTCTGTGTCTACTGTTTTCAAAAATTATTTCCGAATAATTACGGAATTAATCATATTTTAAATGATTAATTAAAAATTAAACAATTTTAATAATAACAATTTTAATTAATAATACATTTTAACAACTTTGTCCAACTTGTATCGGTCATTGTTGACATTGACCAAGAAGAACACATAATATGCATAATTTTGAACTTTGTTCGCAATTTTCAGGACAATGTCGACAATGACCAACGATTTTTGGCAATGTCGACATTGACCGGTCAATCTCGGAGAATGACCAATTTCGGTCTTTGACCGTAACATATATATATATACCTATATTGAATCTCATCATTCAATAACCAATTTTTCAATTTTCCTTGAGGTCAATTTATACTCTAAAACAAAAGAAAATGGAAGATTCGAGAAATTTTCACGAGTATATATAGCGATATATAGTAAAAGCGGAGGTTTAATTATTGGATATTCAATATTTCAGCGATGCAAGCACAGTAAATCGAGACATAGTTTTCGAAAGTCTAATTAGAAACTCCATCATTTTTATTGAAAAAAAAAATATGTTTTTAATTAAAGGCCCGTTAAGGGAAAAAGAATTTTAATAAAAAAAAAGTTCAATTGATTGAAAAACAATTTTTTATTAAACATGTAAAAATGTTTTAGGGTCATTCCATTTTATTTTATTTATAGTCGTTGCGGTCTACTTTTAGAAAAATCTGATATTTCGTAATAATGACTTAATATCCGTACAATTTATTTTTGACAATTATTTTATGAATTTTTTTTTTATTTACGTTAGAATTTAGATTTAAAGTTGATATAATATAAATTAAACAAAAAGTTTAAATAAAATAAATAGAAAACTTTCATTATATAAAGATTGTTTGAAATTATATTTAATATAAAAATTGAAACATTTCAACAAATCTAATAAATAATAATTAAAACGATAATAAATTTAATGATTAAATCTAATGTAACCTATATTTTTAATTTATTATAATTCTCATTCAGAAGAATTTTAAGTAATTCGAATTTTTAAATCCTAGAAATTAGAATCGGAAGCTTATATAAAATATTTAGTATTTTAAAACAATGATTTTAATTAAAAATCTCAAAAAATTCAATTATTTTTAAAAATGTTAACTCGAACTCTTCCAAAATTCAATTATTTCTAAAATTTGTATCTAAAATTCTTTGCTGAATTTAATAATTTCAATAAATTTTATCCAATTATTCAAAAATTAAATTAAATAAAACATTTTTTAATTAAAAATTCAGTAAAATTCAATTACTGTTTGAAACTTTGTTAATAATTTTCATCAATTCTAATTTATTAAAATTTTAATTCAAAATCTCTTAAAATTCAATTATTATTAAAAATTTTGATTTAAATTTTTTGTTGAAATAATTATTTCTAATAACTTTAATCAAGATCTTGGCATTTCAATTATTTAAAACATTTTTCAATTCAAAATACTCTAAAATTTAATTATTCTCTGAATTTTGGTTAAATTAGAATTAAAAAAAAAAAAAAAACAGTTGAGTAAAGAGAAATTTTGTAAAATAAAAATTCTGTTAAAAAAAATTTGCCAAATTAAAAATTCTATTGAGTAAAAGGTCGTTTAAAAAGAAATTATGTTAAATTCCATTTTGAAAAATGAAAATTCCTGTAAAAAATAATTATATAAAGCAGTAGTTCACGCAGCCAATAAAAAATCATCAATTTGGCGAGCTTTTAAGAATCAAAAAATTCGCTAAAATTTAAAATTCTTGAATTCTGTCATTTTTAAAATTATTTTTTGAAAAAAGTAGCATTTAGTGGCTTTTGGTCAAAATTAGTAGTAAAAAAAAGCAGCCTTGCCGAAAAAAAGTATCAAAAAAGTAAAAAAGCGTGTCACTTCGAAACCTGTATTAATTTTTACCTAGTATTTTGGCCTTTTTTACACAATCATCGATTAATATTAGTAAATTAGACTATTTTGAACAAATATAAATAAAAAAAAAAATTTATTAACTAAATTATTTCTGTTCTTTTTTATTAAATTTTCAAAGTTTTCAAACTAATCTATTTTCCGTGCAACTCAACTTAAAAACTAAATTCTAACGTAATACTAAATAAAAAAAACTTTCAAAAAATAATTGTCAAAAATGAATTTTGTTAAAAGAAAATAATAATAATAAAAAAGAAAAAATATTATGATATTGTTTATTTAAAAAAATTGTAGAATTTATTATTTTTTTTTTTTTTTAATAAAGTGAAAACTTACTTTGCTCTGGCTGTGTAGGTACATTCTCGTAAACCCTGCAGCCTTGACATGTGTACCACGGTAGTTGTGACGGTGACGAGAACGCAAACAAGTGCACATACAACAGCAACGGAACCGCAAACCTTCATCTGAAACGTGTTTAAAAACATGTCTTTACAATGCAGACCGCGAAACATCATAAAAACTCTCGGACATGTTTAAGCGAATGTATGAATGGGACTTACCAGGAGTCCATATCTGTGCTTCCGCCTTGCCAGTAGCATCGTGAACAACCCCATAAGAATTAACTGCAAACCGAGAATATTGATCCAAGATAAATATCATTGTGTTCGTCAACAAAAAAAAAAAAACGATTCACTTTTTTTTTTACTTTCAGTTACTGGAATTTTCTATTCAAACAATAAAAATAGTAGGATTTTTCATTTCTCTGGATTTTCATTTGTTTGAATTTTTAAAACATTGAATTCTACTTTTGATATAGAAGTTTTATTTGCTCAAACAAACATATTCGTGAAAAATATTTTTTATTCTGTACTTTTAATTTAACCAATCATAAATAACAACAATATCTGTATGTGTGAAAAGTTTTAACAATATTTTTGCCTTTAGAAGGGATGATAGGTTATAACTTTTTTTGATGAAATCTTTTTTTTGATGAAAAATCCAATCGTTTTAAATTTCAATTTTCAATAAATTTTAATTTAAATTTCAAGTGATTCAATTTTCAATAAATTTTAATTTTTATTGATGAAAATAAATTTATTAATTAAAATTTTATTCAAATGCAAATTCAATTGATCGAAATTTAAAATTAACAAAATTTCAATCTGTTTAAACGATTTATCCATTTTAATTTCAAATTTATTATGATAAATTTGTCCAAATTTTAATTGATTTACTCTCTAAAATTGATTCAGTCGGTCAATTATAAAAATACCATCATTTTAAATGAAATTCCAAATTTCAATAAATTCTTAATGAAATGAGAATCCGGGAAATATTGTGTACAAACAATTTTCCAAAAAGGATCTATAAATTTTGACTTTCTTATTTTTTTTTCGACTTACCATAGTTCCTGGAATGTAAGAGGGTACAGATTCGAAGAGAGCGAGACTCGCTGTATTGGCAGATATGACCACATGTATTGTTAGGAAGAGGCTTCCAACCGTAGCACTCAATCCACCGCAGAGGCAACATAGAACAACGTATTTCTTGCAACAACCACCCTCACTCGTGTGACCTGAAAAATACATAGACCGTTTCAAGCAAACATAAAAAAAGCACATACCCTCTGCAATCTGACATAACATATATAGACGAAAGTATATAAATCCTATTCAAAAGTCCCTTATATAGAAGGGGACAATTCATATATATGTGATCTTCCTTTTTCGAGAAAAATATTTTTCGAATAAGATTTTTCAGATATGGGAACTGTGGATTACTCGAATGAGTTCACTTGAATAAAGCTTCTCTCGAGTAGATTAAGGTTTAAAAATATTTGTATGTATTCCGGATTTGTAGGGACTTTTAATAAGTTAGTCGTTGCAATATATATATACCGTTTAGTATATATAGTTTCTTATAAATATATGTATATAAATATATTTTTACATGTATTCAGGCCTCAGATTATACGAGTTTTTCGGACTTTTTATTCAAAAATACGATTTTTTTCGACTTATTTTAATAAAATACGACTTTTTTTACATTTTTTTTACAAAATTTTTAAACAAAATACGTTTTTTAGTATACAATACAGATCTTCTTTATTTCAATTATTTAACAAATTCTTCACTAAATTAATTATTTTTAATAATTTTAATGAAATTCTACACAAATTTAATTATCTTAAACTATTTTTCAATTAAAATTTTTATGAAATTTAATAATTATTTATAATTTTTAAAAAATTAGCAAATAAAATTACTAAAAAATTTTAATTCAAAATCACTTAAAAGTTAATTATTTGCAAAAATTTCAATTATTTTTAATGATTTTTATAATATTTTTCGAAAATTCAATTATCTGAAAGCATTTTTCAATTAAAAACTTTTAAAATTAAATTTTTGAATATGATTTCTAATAAATCTAGAAATTTCTCTTATTATAATTATTGTCTGAAATTTAACACCATCTTTTGAAATTCAATTATTTTCAAAAATTTCAATTTAAAAGCTTCTAAGATTTAATTATTTCTAAAATTTTTCATCTATAACTTTTTGAAATATAATAATTTCAATTATAACTCTCCTGAAATTCAATTATTTTTAATGATTTTTATAATATTCTTCAAAAATTCAACTAAAACTATTTTTCACTTAAAAAATTTTCAAATTATTGTATTTTTGTCTGCAATTTCTAATAAATTTTTAGTGAAATCATCAAAAATTTTAAATTAAAAATCACTTGAAGTTTAATTAATTTCAAAATTTTAAATTGTAAATTTTTGAAAATTCAATTATTTTTAAAAAATGTTATCTAAAATTATTTAATAAATTATTTTTAATTCTGTAAAATTCAATTATTGTCTTAAAATTTTAACAAAATCTTTTGAAATTCAATTATTTCTAAAAATTTCAACTTTATCTCTTCCAAAATTATTATTTAAAAATCTGTAAAACTTAATTAAGTATTGCCTGAAATTTGTTTGACTTTCAAAACTAAAAACTATGACAAAATTTTTAATTCGAATAAATTGCTTAAATCAGCCTTCAATAAATTATAAAAATGAAACTTTAAAAATTTTTTTATAAATTTGTCCTACTTAAAATAAAATTTTAAAAATTTGTCTTACAATTGGTTCGATTCTGAAATATTCGAAATAAATTTTCTTGATAATATTTTTATAGAATTATTCTCATTACAGAATTAATAAAATGAATTTAATATCTAATAACATTAGTTATTTAAAGTAAAATATTTATTAACCAATTAAATTTTGTTAATATAAAAAAATCGACTTTTTCGACTTTTTTTTGTGCCTTAAAGTCGAACCGAGTATTTTTTATTGAAATATTTTCATATAGTAACTAAAATTCAAAATTTTAATCAAAATAATAATAATAATAATTCATTGAAAATTTATTGGAAGTATATCAATTAATTTGAAGTACTTTTAATTGAAATATTGTAATTAAATGAATTTGCAGAATTATATTGACAATGACAATATTGGTTCAATATTTAAATATTACATGAAATAATAACAGATTTGTAATCAACGTGAAAAGAAAATGTTATATTTGGATTTCAATATTTATTCATTAAATTGAAATAGAAAATTGCAATTTTTCAATAACTGTTAAGTTATATGAAAAATGTGACAGATTTAATGAAGTTATTAAAGGGATTTTCTATATATATATATATTTCTAGTTGCAAAAACTTTTCTACAATCTGGTTTTCCTTCGATGGTTTTCTTTCAATATCCACATGCCAGAATCGCGAAGTAACGTTTAGAATTAAGGTTTGCTCGTTGAGAAAAATTTTCTTTCCTTGCGAGAAAGATCTCTTTTGCTCAAGAGAACCTCGTTTTCTTTGTGTGTATGTGTGTGTTCACAAGAAAAGGAGAGGCTTCGTTAACCGGCTGTATAGATGTAGGATGCGTGCGCTCCAAGATCAAGAAAAAGGCAAAAGGTATAATAATTGTCCTCGCGTGAGAACCATCTCTCTCTATCTATATATACATATATACCCTCAACGAGTTTATAGAAAAGAATGAAGAATGTACCAACATATTGACAATCTTTCAATTTATTTTTATCATATAAATTAAACAAATTTTTTTTTTCTTTTGAAAAAATAATTTTATTTTCCTTTAACGAGACGAAAAATTTAAGAAAAAATATAACATTAAAAGTGAAAAAAATTTCTCTTTAAGTTAATAAAAAGATGGGGTGTAAAAAAAGTGACCTCGAGAGATTTGTTTTTAGTGGCGGGTAAAAAAAAAAAAAATGAAATCTCGAGTGTAATTTGTACCGACCAATGCCGTCACTTTTGATAATGACAATCACCCTCCTGAGATGAGGGGCATTTAATATCTGAGAAGAGACGTACCTAGGGAAAACTGTTAAGCACTAATTTACTTTCGTTTAACGTGCCCTCAAGGCAAAATGTTATTTTTAATTATTTTTTTTTTTCAAATCTAATCTCGAATTTAAGATCATTAACAAGTGATTATCAAAATAAAATCATTATTGTCACTTAATTCTAAAAATTATTAATATTATTTTAATATATATTTTTTGAGATTTTTTTTTATACAAAGTCTGATACACTGGAACTCTAATTATTGGGACAGACAAGATAAATTTGCCATAAAAATAAAAGTTCTATTTCCCGAATAGTGAAATATTTTTCAAAAATTGTAACAATTAAAAACGGTTAGAAATAAAGTTATTATGAAATATTTTACGATTCTGGAGGAAATGTATAAAATAAATACACTGGAACTTTATTTATTAACCCACAAGCAAAATCGTCTCAATAATTCAAATTCTATTGTTTCAAAAATTGATAAATTTCAACTATATAATATTTTGTGATTAAAAAAGAATAAATACATTGTTATCTCAGTTATATTTGAAACGTTCTCCACTGTCTCAATAACACAAGTTCTAGTGTATTTACATTTCATGAATCGTAAATAATTTTAGTATAAAATTCATACAATGCTTAGGACTCAATTATACGAAAATATATTACGATTCAGCGGGAAAATGAATACACTGGAACTTTAGTTATAGAGACACAATAGTGAATGACTCAAAAGCAGAAAAGATTTATAGTTTTCCAGAAATTAATAAATTTTTTAAATTTTTATTAGAAATATTTTACAAATTAATGGAATAAAGGTAAATACACTGCAGCTTCAATTATTGAAACAAATCTTGTGTCCCAATAACTGAGGTTTCAGTGTATTTTCTTCTTTCCCCTGAATTGTAATATCTCCATTGTAGTAAATTTTAGTAAAAAAATGTATTCAATTAAATTTTTCCAGTTCTAAATATTCAAAGATAAAATTTAAGAAAAATTAGTTAATTAAAAACGCTTTAGCAATTAGCAATAATGCAAAATATATAAAATAAAAAATTTAATAATTTAAAGTAAGAAATAACTAACGAAACGATAAATAACATAAAAAATACAATAAAAATTATTCTGAATGGAGAATATTTTTTTCTTTCAAAAAAGACAAAAAAAGGAAAATTGTTAATATTCGCCGTGACCTATTCACGACAAGATGTGACGATCTTACTCAACGAAAAAATAGTGTTCCCATGTTATTTTAATAGCCAAGCGCAGAAAGAGGGAAGAAAAAAAAAAAAAAAAAAAAGAAATCGCCTTGGGCTTGAGAAAACTGAACATTGGCACCGCCTTTTAAAGAATGCTGAGGTCGGACGTCACGATTTTGTCGTGATCGTGAGATGTCAAAGACGCTGATACTGTTTAATCCGCAAAAAAAAACGACGAATCGGATATACATAGTCAGCACGTTTTTTTTTCAAATTTTTAAACAAGCGTTCAAAAATTTGAGTGACAAAATTTCAAACTTCACATGAGGTCCTAATTCTTCAAAATATATATAGTCTAAACACATACAATTTTCCATAAATTTCTATAGTTATTTTCACGCAACTTTTATATTAGAATATAATAGTGAAACGGACTCAACCTCCCATGAGCATCTTATTCAGAAAAAAGAAAAAATTTTTTTTTTCAAATATAAAGAATGAGCGCGTCAGAGGCTACCTGAGATTTTTTTTTTCTACGAAAGAAAATATATAATAATCGTGACGATTGGAAACTACCTGAAACCCAAAATGCACTTGCGTGCACTCAGGTTGTACTTTGGGGATATATATGTATATATTCGAAAATGTCTGCGTGAACATTAATCAGTCAGGTGGAAAAAAATGCATAGAACTGCGTGAAAATGCGAGTTAAATGTATATATATATATGAAAGGACACTCTCAACAAGGAGGAGTTAAATATTGCTGTACAAAAAAAGGAAATGGTCTTTCAAAAATAAGAATGAAAAAAAAAAAAAATCACGAGACACTCTTTCGAGTAAGATTTCGGACTAAAGAAATGTCAATGATGATCTTCAATATTTGTTATTTGAAAATTCGAATTAATCTTTCATCTTCACAAAAAGAGATGCCCTCTATAAATTTCTAAATTTTAAAATTATTTTTCAATTTTGCTTTTAAATTCGTTTTTCAATTTTGAAATT